AATGTTTCGTGAAGTTTGTTGGCGTTCTCTAGTCCTCTCAAATCTCAATAGTTATGAATAGGTATGAGCCCTGGTAAAACAAACCAAACCAAAACAGAACAGAGCAGAATAACCTTGATCGTATTGAATTCCAGAATTGTGTCTGACGAGGTCAGTCCCGTCTGTTCTCAATAGTATTGGGCCTTCGTTGGTGTTCCCCGAGAGAAACATGATTCAAATCCCATGGTAAGAAAGGCGAATAATAATATGAAATGAGTACTGTACGTACATACGGAGTAGATAGATAGATACCTAGGTAGATATTTTGGATTCCAGAATTCACAGATCCTTCGTTCCTCAAGTTCTGGCGCAGTCGAACGCTTCCCGCTTCTCTACATTAGTAGGATCCCATTCTACGATCCACCGCCCGTTTAGACTTGCGGAAATCTTGCAGCTTGCCTTATTTGCATTTGCTCTTCCGTGATCCATCGTCGTCTCGTCTTTCGGCATCATTAGGCCCCGATGACTGACTTGCCGACTGCTTGCTTGAGCCATCTCGATCAGCTTGCTGCATTGCAGGGACGCTGTAGTGGTGTTTGTAGCGGCGAGTCAGCACTTTGACTTTTTTTTTTTTTTCCTTTTTTTATGCTGGAATGTGATTGAGAGATTCTTGGTTCGCGTTGTTTGGGGGTGGGTCTTCTCTGGCTCTCGTGGAGACAACATGATCTTGTTATCCATGAATTGATCTTTTTTAAGTATCGTTTTCTTCAGATATCTAATGTGCTCCATACTCCGTAGGGGTCACCTACGGAGTAGATAGGTACCTAGTAGATAGGTAGTAATGGATGAATTACAAATCAATTCAAGAAACAACATCATTTTCCCGTAGATACTCCGTAGCGCGACCAATTTGTCAATCTATTCGGTGGGTAGATAGTTTACGAAGGGTCACCTCTTGAGGATTAGATTACTCAGGTTGGGCCAACTGATCGTCCGAACCAGCATCATCCCAGCAGCAGGCCGATCGAATTACTTACAGCAGCGATCGGTCCCAACACTTCACTTCATACAGAGGACGGTGGCTCTCTTTTGATTCTTTGGTGTTGATGATTTGATGAGCTCCTAGATAGGTCTCTAAGTTACCCCAGAGAAAATGATATTGGATTTGTTAGTTAATCCTGCAGAATGGGAATTTCCCTCATTGACGATAGTTCATCGTCTGCCCAAGCGAGCCATTGATAACTTGATAGCAGGGATTCTCCTTCATCTAGGAAGCTGTATACTTGATTGAGTCGGGTCTACTCCGTACACTCCCTATCGAGATTACTAATTTCATCTCAAACGTACACAGTATGCCTGTATCTACCTCCAAGATACGTAAGTACGGAGTAGGTACGAAATACATAGCCTCCATCCATATCTGTGCCATAATTATCTCAATTCTTTCTGGACCAATGACCACGGCCGAGTCTGCCAGACAGCGCTTCACCAACGATCGGCGTGCTGTTTAACCCAAACGGTGGTTCCTGTTCGGAGTCCTGTTTAGCTTATCCGGTGGTGGTCCTTGCTTCGTGGCGGTTCTGCGAGCGAGGATCGCTCCCAGTCTAACTAGTAGTAACTAACTCCGTCAATCTGCTGTCTGTCTGTCTGACTGACACCCAGCATTCATCTTGAGCTTGCTCCTGTTGTTCAACTTTCGGCTTCGGAGTTCTAGCCTTTTGGACCCTGCCACTGCCATGGATATTCATTCAACAAAGTACTCCGTAGGTAAATATAGTAGATTCGAGCCCTGTACTATATAGGTGGTTAATGTAACTGTGCAAGCCACGGTGTACAATTGTACATACGGAGTAAATCCCTCTCAGCGTGTTTTTCGCTCTTTTCATTATTCTCAATTTTCCCTCCGCCTTCCGCCAGAGTAAACGCACGGTCTTCTACCCAGAGAAATCCCACTTCGTCTGCTGTGGACGCTTTTCGGCCATTTTTTTTTTCTATTTTTTTTTATTTTATTTTTGTATTTCAATATTCCCTCTTGTGCTAAATTATTGTCATTTTATTATGTTTTGGAACTGATTCTTTTTTTAATCCTTATCTTTCCTGCAAAATACCCTCCCTTTTCGCCCCAGCTCGGGTTCACTTTTATTTGTTATTATGTATTTATCATTTATTATTATATTTCTCTTCATTTTAATCATCCAATTTCTGATCAACTAATGATCGCTCAAGACCAGGGATACTAAGAAGTAGTTTGTTGACGGACCATCGAGTGATCCACCGTGTCCACCCTGTCGCTGTTGCTGGCTGCTGCTTTCTCAAGCACTCCAGCACCAAAGGAGCCATACCTGGTAGGGGGGGGGGGCTTAGATAAAAAGACCCAGCGAAGAGCATCCAGCAGAGAGTTAGAGAGAGAAACATCTTGCAACATCCGAGTTGAGTTGCCTTGCAGCTTAAGCTACCTTCCTCTACAGCCGACTCTTACATTCCTGCGCAGGTCTGTATTCACCTCAGTCAGAATACAGTAGATCCCTTTTATTATTTTGCTCTTTTCCAGAATCCAAGGGCGATCGAAGTCAAACGCCGTCATACACGTGTTGGTATGTTGAATTTATTTTCTTCTGCTTGCTTATTGCCTACTATTTGCTTCCATTGATTGTTGTTCGGTTTCATGCTGTCCCAGCCGCCATCCCCTTGGAACAGAGGATACATCCCATTATTCTGCCGCAGAGTGGTAGAGGAACGGGTATCCAGAGAGAGAGAGGCTGTTGGTACTTGGGAGCTTTCCCCTTGGAGCCCCTTCCCATGGTTCTTTTCCTGCCTCTTGTCGACTTCTCCGATAGTTCCAGTGCACCAGAGTATCCCCTCTATGCCCATAATTACCCATATCTTTTATCCTCTCTTCTCCTTGTCCGGGACTGATCCACCCGCCCGGCTTGTGCCGTCTTGCCTTTTTATTTTTTATTTTTTGATCAGTCTTTTTTTTTTTTTTTTTTTTTTTGCAAAAAAAAAGAAAATCGTTTTTCTTGCTTTTAGCCGCTCCCCCCTCTTACTCTTTGCCCTCATTACTGTGTCTGAGAAGGAAAAGAGAGAGAAGAAGAAAAAAACAAAAAAAAAGAATAGCTCGAGGACTGAGGATATCAAGGAACCCACCAGCCTCCCACTATAACGCGGAAGTTCAAGTGGCTAGGTTGAGGTGGTCTCCCCTCCTCTCTTCCTCTTTCTACTCTCTCCCTTCCCTTAATCCCAAGGATTCCCCTCCCCAGCCCAAGTCCTAAGTTTCCCAACCTTTCCCCTCCCCGCAGCCCATCCACACAATCTTCAAATCTCGTTCCATGGATGAGAGCTTGCCTCTGATCTAAACTCTTCCTTGCCCCAGCTTGACCTTATATATGCATGCATACATTATTTATACACACATGCAGCCGATTGAGCTCCTCCCAAAAGAAACAAGCACCAAATCAGGTCAACCAAGAATATTCTAAGCAGAGAAGAGGGAAAAAGTCGGTACCTTTAGTCTTACTATCACCTCTGCAATCTTGATTTATTTTCCTTTTTTTTTTTTTTTTTTTTTTTTTTTTTTTTACTGTTTTCCTTGGCGCACCAGAGACTATTAAGGTTTCCATCTTTCTTTTGCTTTTTTTGGATTGATCCTGCACCATTCTCCCTTGGCCGCGTCGCCAACGTATTATCCCTTCCGTTTGACGCTTCTTATACATACCCGACATCAGCCTGTCGTTGGACCTCCCTCCACCTCGAACTACTTCTACCTTGCCTTTAATGCTTCCATGCCTTCTGTTTCTTTTCTCTGCATGATCATGTTAATGACCTGAACGCTTTGCTTACTTCGATCCTCGCGTGTTCTCTAGACTGGCTCTGACCCAATTGTTGACTCGCCCTGATCATCGTGCCGGACGACCTGCTTCAACCTCCCGCACATTGTGACTGACACTCTGCGCAATTTGTCCGAGCCGTTGTCGTTCGTGGGAATATACATAGTCATCTTCATCTTTCCGGACTCGGCATATACCGTTGATCTCCGTGGAATTCGATTCTCGAAGTTGTTTCGACGTTCGATGCTGGACTGTCGCGTCGTCCCCCACGCCCCGTAAACTTCACGATTTGATACGAGACCTATGATTCCGTGCTTCTGACCTGGTTGAGCGAGTTTTGTTGACCATCTGCCATCACTTTCCATGCTTGCTTATTTGTGACGGCCCCTCCCAAAAAAAAACCGCCTCTCTTCGAACGAAAAGTTTCTGGATGTAGATTTCTCTCAGTACGCACTGCATAGCGATTTTTCTCTGTCAGCGGCAGCATTTCACGGTTACGACTTCGACGAGCTTGCCACGATTGATCAACTGCATTACTACAGAAGCATCCTTTCCTCGATTGCATCCCCTTTGTTCCCCACGAAAAACCAACAACAGATCTTTGAATCCGGACATCGAGTTAGTTCCGTGAATTCCCCAAAAACAAATAACCACAAGAAAGAAAGAAAGAAAGAAAGAAAAGAGAAGAGAAGAGAAGAGATCAATCCGGGAACTATACCAGGGTACGCCGGACACACATCGTTCGACGTTCCTCAGTTCTCTCTCACTACTACTTTCCCAACCGTTACCCATCAAACCGAAAAGCTGGAGCTACCGTCGATCTCCCAGGTCCACACCAGAGGTCCTGTTGATATCCCTTGGTACAACCACCACGCCGCGGAACGACCCCTGTTGTCTGGCGACAAACTCCCGGCTCTCAGTCTCCCCACGGCCTCGCAGCCGATCATCTCGAGCCAGTCCTACCGGGCTAGCTACGAAGACTCGGCTCCAGGTTCGACCACTTCCAGCGCTCGAACGAGCCTGTCCTCCGCAACCGCGCCAACGATCAGCGAAGCCCGGACTCCGCCGCCGTCTGCTGACCTGGTGGCTGCTGGCCAGGCCCGTCTGTCTCTGGACTCCGCGTCTCAGGACTACACCGTCGCGCAACACCCCGTGACCGATAGCTACTATCCAAACCCCACCCCTCTGGGCAGCATGAACCCATCCCAACCCTACATGGACGTCCATTCCTCGCAATACTCGTCCGGGCAGCCGTACGCATCCCAAGCAGCCACAGCCGGTGGTATGGCTCACTATCCCCAATATCATCAGCAGGCCCCGGTCCTTCCCCCGGCCTCGACAACTTATGGGCCTGCGAGTTCATATTCGCAGTACGCCTATCCCGGTGGTGTTGCTTCCGCGCAGTCTGCGCCACCTCCGCCGGCGACGTCAATGAGCGGTCAGGTTCCGGCTCAGCTGCTTCCCTTGCCTGGTAGGGATCTCTCTCTCTCTCTCTCGGTTCCGATGCCGATGTGTGCTAACTTTGATCAGCAGTTACCAGCCATGCTGTGTCAACGCCAGGCTATGGCAATACTACAGGTACACCGATGCAGGGGTTTGTCTATGATGCCACTGGGCAAATGGCCCCTCCAGGTGCCAAGCCGCGAGTGACTGCTACCTTGTGGGAAGACGAGGGAAGCCTCTGCTATCAGGTGGAAGCCAAGGGGGTGTGCGTCGCACGACGAGAGGGTATGTACTGAATCTCCGCGTTGTTCCTGGGAGTGATCTAATTGACAATTGCATCACAGATAACCACATGATCAACGGTACAAAGCTGCTCAACGTCGCTGGAATGACCCGAGGTCGCCGCGATGGTATCCTCAAGAGCGAGAAGGTTCGCCACGTGGTGAAGATCGGCCCCATGCACCTGAAGGGCGTGTGGTAGGTTTCCCTCCACTGACGCTATAGTGATTAGAAACCCATACTGACTGAGGCTAGGATCCCATTTGAGCGCGCCCTGGAGTTCGCCAACAAGGAGAAGATCACAGATCTGCTGTACCCCTTGTTTGTGCACAACATCGGTGGCCTGCTGTACCATCCTACGAACCAGACCCGGACGAACATGGTAGTGCAAGAGTCGCAGCAACGGCGATTGGAAGGTCCAGCATCAGCACGGACCCCGCAAGTCTCGCAGCCTCCTAGTCTGCACCACCATCACTCCATGCAAACCCCGGTTCCTTCGCATATGCCTCAACCCGCCACAATGTCCTCCCAGTCCGCCGCACGGCCCAACCTTGACCGTGCCCATACGTTTCCTACCCCTCCAGCCAGCGCCTCGAGTCTCATGGGCCTGCCCAACCAAGGCAGCTCCTACGACTGGAACAGCCAAGGCATGAACTCAGGTGTACCCCACACCCAGCCCTTGTCGATTGATACGACCTTGAGCAATGCACGGTCAATGCCTACAACCCCGGCGACCACCCCTCCCGGCAACGGCCTGCAGGGAATGCAATCCTATCAGAGCCAAGCCGGATATGATGCTTCGAAACCGTATTACTCAGCTGCTCCTCCTTCCCACCCCCACTACGCCCCACAGCAGCCGATGTCCCAGTATGGTCAGAGCATGCCTTCGAATCCTTACATCAAGAATGAGATGGCGCCACCGTCTGGGCGGACCCCCGTGGGACAAACGGAGACAGAGGCCTCGGACGTTAAAGCAGCGGATCGGTACTCCCAGAGCAATGGGCATGTTGGCGGAGCAGGCGAGTCGGGCCCCGAACATGAGTCGGACTATGTGCAGCATGACAGTGCGGGCTACGGTGCGGGGCGGGGGTCATACACCTACACCAGCAACCCATCTGTAAACAGTCTCACAGGTGATCACTCTCAACTGCCGGCTGATCTGACGGGATCTCCGTCGCAGCAGAATGGGTCTGGTCGCATGACTCCACGAACCAGCGGCGCAGCTCCTCCTCAGTGGGCCTCTGGCTATACGTCTCCCCGGCCGGCGACTGCTGCTAGTAGCCTCTACAATATCGTCAGCGATACAAGGGGAACACCAGCCAATGGATCTTCGGACAACTATGCCGTGGCCTCCCACCCAGCGTCGGGATATTCGTCCATGAACGGGTCGCTGGGCTCTGCCAAACGAGGCCGCGAGGACGATGACCTGGACCGTATGGGTCGGTCAGATAGCCAGGGGGAGTACGAGAGCAAGCGCCGACGGACCATCACCGAGTCCACGGTGGGAGGACCGGTGGGTGGTGTTCCTCTGGGGTTGCAACCGATGAAGGCTGGCGGCGCCATGCCTCGTCGGGGTCGGTGATCGGGCAATATTCCATCATATACTCCCTGAATGACAAGGGCTTGTCCCATCTGCCGCATTCTCTTTGTTTCATCTTTTTTTTTTTTTTCTTCTTCTTCTTTTTTCCTTCTCATTGTTCAAAGATGTTAGACAGGCTTAGGCTGTAGCCTACCTGGATGGTCTTTCAGCAGACCTTGGTTCTTCAGTTCATTGTTTGCGAGCTCCAGGTCCCCGGTGATGGGAACCGCCGGGGTTATTTCTGGGTCATTAATGGTGCAGTGTCGGTCACCGACGGTCTTTGTCTTGTTTCATTCTCAGGATGGTCTGCGTTATGGTGCCTTTTGGGTCATTTGTGGAATGTGCGGTTGCTTTCTGCAAGGATATACTGCGTATTTTGACGACCATGATGACACGAATTTCCTTTGACGAAAGCTTTGATTATATTGACTCTCCATTCTGCATGGACCTGGTCCTGGTATAGTTAGGGAAAAATTGATTTCATCTAACACTACACAAGTGTGGTTCAGAGTATAAGGATCGGAGGGTATGTTGTAGCCTGAGGCACTAACGGTTTTGATATCAACCAAAGCAAGGAGTTGTATATCCACTAACCAAAAGAGGAGAAACATCAACATCCGACCCAAGGTCCATGGATTTTTCAACTTCATTTGCAACTTCACTCCAGTTCTCCAGCCATAGGTTTTCAACCTCCAACATCCAACCCAGCAAGATGCCCCAACCAACAAACCACCGCATCTTCGACCCCTGGAACTCGGCGTCAACTGGCCACCAGCGCGCCGAAAACCCATTCTCCAACACCACCGCCTGGCGGGAGACCCGCATGGCAAAGCTCGCCGCACAGTTCTCCTCCGCCTCAGGGGATTGCCTAGGCGATGATGATGATGATGATGATGATGATGATGTCCCACCCTCTTCGCAAGCAACAGCAGCAACAGCAACAGCCGCCCCCCACCACATATCCCAGACCAACACCAAGAGCAAGACCAAGACTAAGACCACGAACAACAACCGCGGAGAATGGACCTGGCTCTCGGCGGCAGACGCCCGGCGCCAAAGCCTCGGGTGCAGGGATATCAGGAGTATGTTAGGCGGACGGACAAAGAAACGCGGGATAGACGCCGTCGATAACATCAACATCCATAACCATAACCATAAACCTAACTATAAACCTGACTATAACCATAACCCCCCAGCCGCGAAGAAACAGCTCGTCTCCGTCTCCGTCTCCGTCTCCTCCTACCCCTCCTCCTCCGCAAACACAGAACCCGAACCCGAACCCGAACCCGAACCCGAACCCCAGCCCAAACGACCAGGACCAGCGCCAGCGCCAGCGCCAGCACCAGCGTCGGCGTCGGCAGCAGATGCAGTTGCAGTTGCAGTGGCAGATGCAGACCAAACAGACACAACCACAACCACAAACAATACCACAACCACCCCCGACATCTTCTCCGGCACAACCATCTACATCAACGGCTCAACGATGCCCCATATCTCAGACCACCGGCTGCGCGCCCAGCTTGTCGCGCACGGCGCGGCGGACGGTCTCGCATGTGATTGTGGGGGAGGCGAATGGTGGGTCTAGCAGTAGCACTGGCAGTAGCACTGGCGGTTGTCCTGGCGGTGGTACTGGTACTGGTACTGGCTTTCGCAAGGGCGCGGGCGGGGGTCTGGCGGCGGGGAAGTTTGAGAGGGAGGTTATGAGGGCGGGGCGGGGGGTGAGGGTTGTTACTGTGCAGTGGTGAGTTTTTTTTTTTTTTTTTTTTTTTTTTCTTTCGTTCTTTCTTGTCTGCCATTTCCGGGTTGGGTGATGGGTGGGTGAATGATGCATGAGCTGATGATGATGATGATGATGAGGATAGGGTGTTGGAGAGCATCAAGGCGGGGAAGAGGTTGTCGGAGGCGCGGTTTGGGGTGAAGATGGCGGCGCGGGGGCAGGGGAGTGTGTTTGGGATGTTTGGGGGTGGAGGTTCTTAGGGTCTACATAAGTAGGTTTTGTGGATTTGAGGGATACGTTTATGGTTGTTTGGATGGATGGAGATACCCCGGCGTTGTATGTGATATGTTTGGTATCAGGTGTGGTTGACGTGATATAAAAACCTAAGTCATCGTTATGGTCATGTCATGTCATTCATTATCGTTATCATACATGCATCATCCATCACATTTCCCAAAAGACAACCCACAGACGAGCAACAAGACTATATTATATAAACGCCCCCTGTCCCCCCCCTCCCCCTCCCCCTCCCCCTCCGGCCCCACGGCCATCCTCGGCCGGTCGTCGCCAGCCTCGTCCGTCCGTCCCACCAGGACTCGTCGGCGAACGGAGCTCGACGCGCACGTGCGAGTCGCCGCCCGTGATGAGCGACGGCTCGTCGGGGAGCGGCGGGAGCGGATTCCCGCGCGGCCGCGATGAGGAGGGCGTGACTGCTGCTGCTGCTGCTGTGTCGTGGCCTGCGTGGCCTGCGTGGCCGTCTCCAGCCACTGGCCGCGTTGAGGGGACGTGCCAGCTGCTGTGCGTCATCTCCGTCGGCGACGATTGCACATCGTATCCGTATCCGTAGCCGTAGCCATAATCATAAGACTCATACGGGTTCGGGCCGGGCATGCTGGAGTCACTGGATGAGGTGTCAACGTGTTGTAGCTTCTCGTGCAGGTCCGAGTCCTCGTCGTCGGCGACGCGGGAATCGCCCTTCACCAGACCCAGCCGCTCCTCTTCCGTGGCGGCGCCCTTCATGGCCTGCCGCTCGCTGCCAGGGCTCAGATGGCTGCGGCGCAGGATGCCCCGCGGCGACTGGGGGGTTTGGGGCGGCTCGGCCTCGTGCTTCGGCTTGATCCGGCTGAAGACTGTGTTGAAGGAGAATTGGCGTTTGGCCTCGTACGGCGGCGGTTCCACGCCATGCGTCTCGTCAGCCCAGGCGACCGACCGCGTCATGTCGCTGGGGCTGGAGACTTCGCGCGAGTGATAGCTCGTGTCCACCGGCCGGTTCCCATGCACGGGTGACACGGTCAGGTGCACCGGGTCCACGTGGTCCTCCGGGTTGTGCACCTGATGCCATTGCCCGGGATGGATGAGACTCGAGGCTCGCGATCGCAGACCATCGAAGAAGGACCGTTCACTCTGTCTAGTGCTCGGTCGACGGTCGACCCCATGCTCCTCCTCCTCCTCCTCCGCTTCCTCGGGAAATCGCGACATGCCCAGGGGCGGAAGTGGGCTTTTCGGCACCATACCAGGCGTGTGCGGCCGGGCCATGGTCGGTCCCTGGCCCAGGACGGTCTTGCGTCGTCGCAGCCCGTCCCATTCAATGATCTCGTTCTCTGCGGGAGGTTTGAGCTGGTCCTCCCGTCGGTCTCGGAAATACCGTCGGGCTTCCTCCTCTTCCGTGTGGCGCCGTGCCGTCGACACCTGTCGAATAATGGCCGCGGCACCGCGGATCGAGTCAGCCTTGGGCTCCGTCTCGGGCTCCTCCTGGGCGACGACCTCGCGGATCTGATCCAGGTCGCCTTTGAAGACCGCCGCATCGGGGACATCCTTGGCGGATTTGGAGAGCTGCAGCAGGACCACCCCTGCACAGATCTGGAGGAAGCCCAGGATGACGGTGGCGATCTGCATGCCAGACCCTTTGAAACCCTGGAACAGAATGGCGGAGGAGACGATCGTGGCGCTGGTGAAGAAGACGTAGTAAGTGGGGGTGACGAGGGCGGCATTAAAGAGATTCAGTGCTTTCTGCAACGGGGTCAGTCAGATCAAATCGCATCCATGAACGACGGTCGGAAGGGGGTTAGGGTAAAGAGAAAAAAAAAAAAAAAAAAAAAAAAACGAACATTGAGGTAAATAATCTCCGTCAACAAGGTGGCAATCACGAAAACCAACAGCACGTAGAGAAACCACTCCTTGAACTGCGACTTGCCGTTGATCTGGGCCAGAATGGCGGCCCCCAGACCCTGCGTGGCCACGACACTCAAGCCGCCGATCATACTGCAGATGCTGATGTAGACAAACATGCTCTTCTTGCCCCACCGGGGCCCGGCCCAGAACGCGGTAGCCGCGCACCCGACGACGACGACGCCGGCATACGACAGAAAGCCCGGAGCGATGACATAGTGTTTCATGTCCTGGATGTCGCTGACGGACGACTGCTCGGGGGCATTCAGCGCGATGACGACGGAGCCGATGATGCACGAGAAACAGCCGACCTTGCCGACGAAGCTCAGGCGCTCCTTGAGGAAGATGGCGGACAGGATGGTGGTGATGACGACGGAGAGGGCGCCCAGCGGCGTCACCAGGATCGCGTCGACGAAGGCATACGCCACGAAGTTACAGATCTCGCCCACGATCATGAGGATCATCCCCGACCACCACCAGACGTTCTTGAGGTAGCCGTACCCTTCGCCGGCTTCTTCGTTGTACTTGACGTTGGCTTTGAGGAGGCCGGTCTTCTTCAGCACGAAGGACGTCCCGATGAAGAGGCCCGACGAGACGGCCAGTGCGATGCCGACGGCTTTGTATGCGGGGGGTCGTTCGCTGGTGGAACCTGACATGCCCGAACGGGCCGCCAGTGTCGTGGCATGGGCCACGAGGGAGTGGGAAACGTCCATAGCAGATTGTTCAGAGCATTGGGGGGGAAGGATACTGCCAGCAGTCCTGCCTGTTATGTTGGGAGAGAGATCGAGGATTGAACGACGGAGTATGTGTCAGATCGATTATTGATCCAGATATCCACGCTCGTAGAAATAATAGGTACGATAGAACGGTGCGTCTGTCGTCGTCCAAGCCGCGGCAGGCGTTCGTTTGAGGGAGGATCGCGGGCACAATTGGCGAAGTCGATACCGGTCCAAATGAATGGAGAACAGACAGAATCACTAGGAGGATACGAGCGATCGAAGCGCTCCAGCGACAAATTGGAGCTGAGGAGGAGGAATCGATTGGTGTGGCTGAGCGCCGCGCGGTTTCAGGAATGTCGATGTAGGCAAAAAGCCACGAGACAGACCGCTGCAAGGGAGGGAGAGTAATCAATGAAAAAAAAAATCCCCCGTAGACACTAAGGCGATAGGAAAGGGAGATAAGGAATCGATGCAGGTAAAGCTGTTGGATGATTGCGAGAGAGAGAGAGAGAGAGAGAAAGAAAGCGAGAAAGAAAGAGAGAAAGCGAGAGGCTGGGCCATTTGAGTTTTGCCCACAGACTCAGACCACAGTAACTACGCAGTAAGTATCTGGCTAGGAGATGAGATGCGCAACCACGGATAGGAGGCCTTACGACTTTTGGTACATTGGATGATCCGTCTGGAGTTCGGGACAGCTATCAATAGTTGATGCTTTCAATTCGCCCATCCAGAGACATGCGGATGGGTAAAAATAGATCGATTCCACACGGCGGAAATCGTTGGCTACGAATTGCACTTGTCCGCTGAGCCTTTCTGATCTTGAACGGTGGTGGAGGATACATCTGAAACAAATCTCATCATTCATCATCAAATTCTCTTCTAGGGTATATCCATCCGTAGCAAGAAAGAAATCATAAACCATGCCTAGAAAGGGAGAGAAAAAAAAAAAAAAAAAAGACAGACAACAGAAAGACAGTAGAAAGGAAACGGAATGCGCCAGCGCCTGAATTCCACCCTCATTAGCATATCCTATACCACATGCAAGTAGAAATTGAAAGAAGAAAATTTAAATAGAAAAAAAAAAAATTTCAAGAACACAAAATCATGATTCATCGCACATGATAGCTAGGCTTTCGCTGCTTGTTCACAGCCGGAGGAGTCTCGTCCACCGGATACGGTGGCCGGACTTTCCCAGTCGATCCATGGCGGCCATGATGTGGTATCACCAGCGGCATCGGCATCAGCGTCTCGTTCACATTGTCCGGATACGGGATGGGCGTCTTGGGAGGCACGGGGGGTGCGAAATTCCCCTCATGCACCTGCTCCATGCTCAGCCGGGGCGATGTCGTCTGCTGCTGCTGCGAGCTTGGCCGACTCACGTCGCTATGGCTGTGGGTGAAACTGAACTCGCTGCCGGAAACCCGCGCCGATGGAGAGGACAGGTCGTCCGGCGGGGGTGAGGCCACCCGCCCGTTGCTGGGGATGGGCAGCGGTGGGTTCGTGGGCAGCGGGACAAAGTCGCCCGGCAATTCCGCGGGCAGCTCCACGGCCATGGGGTGGGACGGCGGCGAGACGGTGAACGTCGGGCCCTGCGACGATTGGTAGCTATGAGGGGTGAACGGCATGTCGTCAGCAGGCTCCCCGGACCCCTCGGAACCGCCGGCGGCGGCATGGGCCGCCAGTCGACGGTGCATGCGGTCGATCTTGGCGAATTTGACGCCGGCGTCCAGGATGCTCTTTTTGACCTCGGTCTTGGAGAGGTAACGGCGGGTACCGGTGCTGATGTCGACCAGGCGATTCCACTCGTTCATGCCAAACTCGCCCACGCCCACCTCGACGTTCAAGCGGTAGTAGTTGTCCTGGCTGACATTCCGCTTGGCCAGGTGGCTGCGGAGCATCTCCCGGTGGATGTCCTCGCAGCCCTCAATCTTGGCAATGAGCCGTCGCCGGGCCTCGGCAAAGCTCCCCAGGCCGTCGCCGACAAAGCCCTCCCACCACTCGTGCTGGCGGCTATTTGTGCCTGCCGGGCGCTTCCCGGTGCCCACACTGACAAACACGCCGATCTCCCGCCCGGGCCACTCGTTCACGGCCGCCTCGTCCAGAATCTGCGGGGCGGGATTGTAAGTGCCGGCCCCCTCGTCGATAAACACATGCTGTCCGATCTGAATGGGTTTGAAGGCAAGGCCCGTCGCCGAGGTGGCACGACCAGCCTGCCAGATAGTACAGTTGAATTCGGGTGGAGGCTCTTTCCGCGAGTCGTAGGATCGGAGGAGCACGGCGGATCCGTTGCGGGTGGTGCCTTTGTAGACAGCCGTGACGGCACTGGAGCCAGATTAGCGCAGGTCTCTCTTTTTGGTATGGTTGTCTCTCCCACTCACGTCTTTGTCCGGTTTTCCCGATTATCATACAGTAGAGCATCTGGCTTCCCCCACCGTAACCCATTCACAATCGCCGAATGTCGCTGGCTGACCGGTGAGGAGGGATGGGCGGCATAGGAGGCACTGAAACTGCCTCGACTCACGGAGCGCTGGGGGATCGTGCCGGGACTGTAGGGCATGCTGACGATGGAGCTGCGCGAGCTCGAGGGGGGCATATCGTTCCCCTCGGCCTCGAAGATGGTATGCTCCCGCACACATTCGCGGATGGCCTCCTCCAGCTTGGAGGCCTTGAACAGCGTCGATCGGTAGGGGATGCCGGCGATGGTCTTGTCGGTCTCGAAGACGCGGCGGGTCATGCGCACGTAGACCTCCTTGCAGGTCTCGAGGTCGAGGCGCAAGCGGCCCAGCATGAGGGCGATCAGACCACCGGTGCCGGTGCCGGCGATGAGGTCGAAGTGGTCGCAGGGTTTAGGGATCTCGTCGCGGCGCGGGGGTTTGCCTTCACATTCGACATAGATGCGGTACATGAGTTCCTGGAGGATGATGAGCATCGAGTAGCCTCGCACGCCACCTCCGTCTGTTCGATCAGTTTTGAGTGTTTTTTTGTTTTTTCTTCCCCCTTCTAGACTGTATGGGTGATTTTGTTTTGACATACCTAACGACAGGACCCTCAAGGGAGGGCCCTTGGTCGTGTCTTTGCGACGCAATGTCACAGACTCCATGGGCGCAACCGTCCACAATAAACAACGAGATTGCGCGTTATCTCAACAAGGATTTGACCGACGCGGAGGTTGAACGTGTAATGACGACTTGGTGAGAAGAAAAAAAAAAAAAACCTAACAATAAAATCCAAAGGGAGAAGTGGGGATGACAGGCGCAGGTGGGATTCGACAGGCGGCCTGATCGGGCGAGTCGGAGGCAAGTCAGGAGGGACCGTGATAATAGTACCTATCAATCGGCGCTGGAAAGAAGATCCGATAAGTAGGCAGCAGAATTTACATATCAAACAGTTGTAAGTTTGGGGAAGATCGGAAGATCGGCACGGGAGGGGGAAGAAGAGGAAGATGAAGAGGAAGATGAAAGAAAGAGAGCCTAAGAAAGATGGTGGTTCTTGTGTCTCAGGTGAAGAAGAATGATGATGGAGAGAGAGAGAGAGAGAAGAGCCCAACGGAGTCAGACGCAGGTAAGAAATGCAGTCGATATTGATTTGATTATGCTTTTGGTCTACCACTACTGGAACCAGAGTAATAATAATAATAATAATAGTATTAGTACTATAGCAATAGTAAAATAGTAACAAAAATAAAAGAGAGATTTGGGGAACCAGAGTATGACATAATCATAATCTGGGTCTGGTGTGGCGGTGCTCTTGTCATGCGTCATTGAGGCTGTGCTCACCATAACAGTGATATACAGAGACAATCCACAGTCCACAGTTTCCAGTCCAGAATAGACTCAATCCCGGCGTAGCTATTGATATTGGAGGAGGAGAGGAGGTGAGCAGCCACAGGAACAGGGACAGGCACAAATACCGTCTCGGCTACGGAGATAGTCTCGTTGCGGGCTTTGAGGAGGAGAGATGAATGGGATTATGAGGGAGACCGAGACTGAGACCGAGACTGAGACTGAGACTCAAGAACTGGATGAAAGGAAGCGGGAGTAATGCTTTGTTGGGACGGGTTTGTTTCTCTGTAGAAGAGAAGAGGTCTTGCATGGGAGTGAGACGCGAGGATTGCGCCAGTCTCTTCTACAAGTGACTATAAGAAGACTGCGAAATATTTCACAAGGGGTCCAACCGATGTATATCTTTTACCAAGCCTAAAGAGTCTCGTGTAGAGGCACCGGGCCTGAAAAGCATCTCCCAATCCTCCAAACAAGTCATTCCCCCTAAAAAAAAAATGCCATTCTCCCATCCCTACCACAACCTCCCCGAATCCATCCGCATCCGGAGTCATGCCTCGCTACCCGCTGATCTAGAAGTCGATCCCGCGCTGCACGCCATGGGCCACCGCCTCAGCTACCGATCGACCGAGGCGCCGGAGCTCGCACGCGACCCCGAAGTCCCCTTCCAGCCCGCCATGGAGCGGCTCCATGGGACCTTGACCGAAGCCGTGGAGTTCTTCGGGGAGATCATGGCCGATTTCAAGCGGGAGACGGACTCCATCATGTCATATACCCGGCCCGAGGTGCTGGATGAGGTCTGGCGGTGCAAGGTCCGAAACAACGTGCAGGTGGCAGTGGTTCCGTTTACTACGAAGAAGAAGAAGAAGAAGAAAAAGAAGAGGAAGAAGACGACGAAGAAGAAGGTCAACAACGAGAGGAAGGGCGCGTGGTCGCTCGGCCAGCGCCTCATGCCCAGGTGGCATGAAAAGCGCAGGGCCAAAGCCCGGGGAAAGGAGAAGTCGCGGGCTCCGAAGCGGCATCACTTGGATCGGATCGTGCGCATCGGGTATAAGGACTGGGTCAACCGGGTGCAACATGACTTGTCGTTGGTGGAAACTGCGCGCTGGCCGACGCAGCAGATGACGGACGATGACAGGAGCAGCGATGATGACACACCGGTCATTGAAACAACTGTGGACGGACTGTCTCAGCTGCAGAGGATCTTCATCGGGGTATGTCCCGACATGAGAAGGGAGTGTCGGGACATCGACCGGGTTGAATCGTGTGAGAAGTTCATCACAGACGCGGAGCGGTTCCTGCTCGCCATGGCCCAGAATGAGAGTTGGTGGCGTCCGTTGAGAGATGAGAGGTCAGGGTTCAGGAGGTGGTGGTTCTTCTAGCTGCGATGCAGTATTGCGTCGTGAGTAACTCGATCAATTCATTTCATTCTTCGCATACACTCGACAGAATGTACTTGAGTAAGGGGACGAAGAGAGCTCTAGAAGAAGGTCTGTTGCATTATGCAATCCTTTTCCAACAGTTGGCTTCAGGCATCTGTGGAGCAACTATAGACTCAGAATCGGACCATGGCCAGTACTGCCAGTTGAAAGTGAAAGATATGGATAGCATCAACTCATATTCGGCCAATCTATTCCCAAGTTAGCATCTCCTGCATCATCCTCAAAGAGAAAAAAAAAACAAAAAAAAGCAGCCTAGATCTCACCAAACACCGCGCGTTCCTTCATCCTCCTCACAACCTCCACCGCATCGCCCACCCTCACCACCGAATTCTCCGACCCGGGGTCCAGAAACACATACCTCCCAAACACAGGCGAGTACTTGGCCCCCGTATCCACCCGCCGGTCGTTCATCAGCTTCTTCAGCACCGTCCCCGCCTCGCCCGTGCCCATCTTCCCCGTCGCATAGTCCACATTGACACTCTGGCACCGCACACAGTTCGCCGTGAGTAGCAACTTCGCCTTCACCTTCGCCTCAGCATCCCCCACCGTCAGCACGGCCCAGAAATCCTCCTCAAACGCCCCCGCCGCCCCGGAAACGACAATATTCGGCCGGAACTTGGTCATATCCGCGCGCGCATCCCCAGCCAGCCGCGCCGACACGTTATCCAGCGACGTCTGCGACGTAAGCAGGTACGGCGCCGCATCCGCAAACGTGATCGTCTCCTCGTCCCCATCCCCATCCCCCTCTCCCTCTTCATCCACCCGGCGGAGTCGCCATACAAGAGCATACGACACTACACCCGCGACCGCCGTCGCCGCAAGACTACTAGCCCAGTGGACCTTTGCCCCCGGCCCCAATCCCGCCGCGAAATTCAGCAGAAGCGTCACCGCCGCCAGCACCACCAGCGCCCGTGTCGAAAGCACCCCCTCCAACGATGCCCGGCCGGAGGCGAGCTTCTCCGCCCGATGCGCGCGGTGCTTCCCCGGCGCGAACGTGCCCAGCACGGGCCGCGCGTGGCCGCCCAGATACGCCAGCACGACGTCGTATCCGAAGCGAGCGCTGAACCAGTCGTTGTACGCCGTGCCCATGTCGTAGGCCTGTGTGGGGCTGCGGTGCATGTCGATGTTGAGGGCGCGGAGACCGTGCGTGGACGGGTGGAGGGGGATCTCTAGGGAGTGTTTCTCCGAGGTGGGATCTGGGGGGTGGTAGGTTACGAGGATGCGGTCCGGGGCGTCATCGCCGTCTGGGTAGATGAACTCGGTCGTGAAGAGGGCCATTTCTGGGAAGTGTGGGACGTGCATGTTCTTCAGGGTTGGGGTGTCGTCGGCTTCCCCCTGGGTGGCCTTGAGGAGCATGAAGCGGCGGTCATGGTGGAAGCCGGTGCGGGTGAGGGATGCCTTCGAAAGGGGGATGCCGCGGAGGGATTTGATGGGGTAGACGTAAAGCTGTGGGTGGTGTTGCTTGTTAGTGATGCTTTTCAAGGATGGAAGGGTGGAAGGATGGTTCTGTCTGACCTGGCTGATTTGCATGTTGGCTGGGTTCCTTGGGGGAGGGTTTTCTGGTGGTGCAATTTAAGAATTATCATTAAACTATTCCCATGGTAACTAGGTATTCAAGAATGGGATCTGGAAGGGAGGCAGAGATAAATAAATAAATCCAATGCGCAATGATTATTGAGAGTCATCGTGGATGGGATGTGTGTTGTTTCTTAAATATTAGCAGGACGAACCCTTGTAGCACAAATGGCCCAATATGGAGAAGATATGCCGGCCTATCGGATACTACGATAAAGAAACCTAAGCACAGAGTACTTATTTTGATAGACTATCTGAGAACTCTCAATTGGCTAATCTACTCGATGTGTTGAACATTTGTACAGACATAGATACATCGTAGACACAGGCCGGGTGTAGAAAAAAAACAAAAAAACAAAATAAAATCAAAATTTCATAACAATCATGACGGTCACTTTTCCTCATCCCAGGGAAGGCTAAAGGTTCCCACCCAGTCTTCCACCTCCTGGCGTAGGAGCACAATCTCGGAAATTTCCTCGCCCTCGCCGACGTAGTCCAGGAAGGCCTTGACGGTGTTGGGGTTCTTGACCCCCTTGGCCGTGGCACTCTCCTTGGCCGCCTTGTCCAGCTTCTGGGTGATGATCACGGCCCGGTCCACGATGTCGGCCACCCGGCGGAAGTCCTCGGGCTGGAAGCCGCGGGTGGTCATGGCAGGGGTGCCGATGCGCAGACCGCCGGGCTTCAGCGCGGACCTGTCGCCGGGAACGGTATTCTTGTTGCTGGCCACGCCGCACAGCTCCAGCACGCGCTCCACCCGGGCTCCGTCCACGCCCCGGTTCTTCAGGTCCACCAGGACGAGGTGGTTGTCCGTACCGCCGGAGACGATGTTGTAGCCGAGACCGCCATTGTTGATGGGCCCACCGAGCCGGTCGGCCAGCGCCTGGGCGTTGGCCAGCACGGTCTCCTGGTAGGCCTTGAACTCGGGCGTCTGCGCCTGCTTCAAGGCGACGGACAAGGCGGTGATGGTGTGGTTGTGCGGGCCGCCCTGGTGTCCGGGGAAGACGGAGGCATTGATGGGGTTCTCGAGATCATACATCTCCTTGTTGCCCTTCTTGTCCGTCCGGCGGAGACCCTTGCGGTAGAAGATCATGGCGCCCCGAGGGCCGCGCAGCGACTTGTGAGTGGTGGTGGTGACGATGTCGGAGTGGGGGAAGGGCGAGGGGACGACACCGGCGGCGACCAGACCCGAGATGTGGGCCATGTCATTTAAGAGGTATGCGCCGGCGGCATCGGCAATCTGGCGCATGCGGGGGTAATCGATCAGACGGCTGTAGGCCGAGGTCCCGGCGATGATGAGCTTCGGGCGGTAGAGGAGAGCCAACTTCTCGGCACCATCGTAATCGATGAGACCGGTGGACTCGTCCAGACGATAGGGTAGGGTCTCGAAGTACTTGGAGATGAAGGAGATCTTCTTGGTGGGGGTTTGGTAGCCGTGCGACAGGTGACCCCCATGGGGCAGGTCCAAGCCCATCAGACGGTCGTGGGTGTTGAGGATGGCGGAGATGGCGTAGAGGTTGGCGGGCGATCCGGACAGTGCTGTGTGCATCGGGGGGTCAGTCAATTCGCGTCTCGGGGCTTTGCTTTTGGCAGCAGAAGAGACGCACGCTGCACGTTGACACCCCATTCCTCGGGGCTGAGTCTGAAGGTCTCCAAGGCACGCTGCTGGCACAGTCTCTCGGACTCATCGATGAACTCGTTTCCTCCATAGTATCGGGCACCGGGGTATCCTTCCGAGTACTTGTTCTGCATCACACTTCCGAGCGCATCGAGGACGGCTTGCGATGTGAAGTTCTCGGAGGGGATGAGGTTGATGAAGTGCTTTTGACGTTTTTTCTCCTGCGCCGATGTGAGCGTGGGGATCGTCAGGGGGGTGGACGGTCAGAAAATGGCAAACCTTCTGCAGGATGTTGTAGACGGTGGGGTCCTCCTCCTCGAGGGATGCGGAGAGCAACTACGATGCGGTCAGTCCGGTCACTCGATCAATCGTGAGCCACTGCCATTGGATCCAAGACACGAGGGGGGTTCGCACATGTTGCTGGCTCTCCCGGCTCGAGTGCGACACACTGCGCCATTGCAGAGAGTTGCTGCACACAGCAGGTGTGGAAGTCTGAAGAAGCTGGCCTGGACGGCGGGAGAAAGTGGTGATGGTGGTGGTGGTGATAGCTCTGGAGTTTCCGGACCTCGGGAGCAGGCGCGAGACCTGGGGTCCGCACCGACTGAGAGACATATTTTTTTTTTTTTTGTTTTTTAACGATTGGTGTTGGTCAGTCGTTCGCAAGTGAAAGACACAAAAAGCGAAGAAGTCTACCCAGAGAAACCGGAGCAATAATATAATACCTACTGGCCGTCTGTTATCTTGCTTGTCGGACAACGGTGGTTCATGATACGGACGACTCCGTTGCCCGCGGGAAGCTGTCTACCGCTAGTCCGGTTTGGGACATGTTTGCTCCGATTGGCTGTAGCTCCGGAGAATACATATTCCGGAACGGCCCCTCGCTTCGGCCGGTTTTTTTTCTTTTCTCTCCGCGTTTGCGCGCACCACGTTTCTTCTTTTCTCTTTCTTTCTCTTCATCACACAACTAAATCCAAGATGAAGAGATGGCGTTCTATCTGTGTCAGTTCTCGTGGACGGGACGGCTTCCGGCTGTCTTTTCCACGGGCGCTGCTGATATGTCCCGCGCCCACTCACCATCCATAAGGGGCCAGGAACCGTCTGATTGGAACGTGTGTGAGTTCGATGGCGTTGGACGAGATCATGGACCATGAGTAGGATGGGGTATCTATTAGGTGATGGGTGGAGTGAACGATGCTTGGCTTAGCAAATATCGATCTTTGCAGTTAGTATCTCTATATTCTATCTAGATGGACTATGAAGATGGAGTACTCCGTAGTAGAGAAGATCTGGGTATCCAGAGGTCCTTCAGTCGGGAGTCACACCAATATTACAATATCTACATCATCAACTGTCTGAGTGAGTCGTGCAGTGCCAAGATCGAAGTTCAGTCAGGGGATCGCCTTAGAAAAGAATCACTGCCATTGAAGTGATCGTGGCGGTCAACAAGGCTGGAAGACTGGGACCTTACTTCCCCAAGAGGTCTGCAAGGATGCATTTGGAGATATCCTCCTCACTCTCAACTCCTGGAGGTTGACTGAGTGCCGAATTGTAGTTAACCCCTGTCCATCTGACCAGAGGCGAGAGAGACATTTCTAACTATTTCTGTCATGGGCTGGACTGGGACTTGGAGACTCGGCAAAGTCAAGAAACAGGAGACATCCAAGTATGATCTCTAGGGTAGATCACTAGATATACTACTCATACTACTCCATGCTATACTCGACTCAGCAATGATGATGGGCAGAAGGACGGCCGAGAATACTTTCCATCGTTCATCTGAGTAGTTGAGTAGTTCATCGACGGCAACAACGACAAGAAGAAGAAGAAGAACAAGTCTCGACTGTGACCTCTTGAACCACGATGTGTCGATGCCAGCTCAGGCACGGATCGATCCTTTAATTTCAGGGGGAGAAAGCAACGTGGAGATTAGTGCGTGGGTATATCTCTGTCGGGGAGTATGATAGTATGAGAGTATGACAGGATCAATCTGATCGACAGCAATCAGCCGTACCAACACGCACTTTCCCAACCGCCCACGCCACTAGTCCGTCAGCTAACCCTTAGCCTGTCCACTAGCCGTGTCAAAAAGTGAAAAGCCCCTTGTCCTACTCCTGACTCCTGGGACCTTTATCGACTTACGGAGTACTTACTACTGCTGTTGGTTTCGCTGGAGATTGGACGAGATTCGTGGTTCATAAATCAGAATAATCAGAATAATCAGAATAATAATAGTCAGAATAGTCAGATCATGTTTAATTAGTTGAGTTTAATTAAATTACTCTGAATACTTCATCTCTCTTTTTCCCCTTCTTCTCTCTTTTCTTTCTTTCTCTCTTTCTCTCTCTCTCTCCTTCTCTTCCATCATCTACTCCATACACTCACTCTCTCTCTACCACAAACCCCCGGTGTTCATACCGAGTACATTCTTTTTTGTCTTTCCCCCCTGCAAAACCTGCAAAACCTGCAAATCCCCCCCCCCCCCCCCCGGATTTACTACCAACCCAGTCCACTCTTTCTTTTCCCCAACCAAACCGAAAGTCATCATGCGTTTCTTCGCTGCCGTTCTCACCACCCTCGCCGTGCGCGCCCTCGCCGCCAACGCCCCCGACGCCAAAAACGAGGACTACTCCACCGTCGTGGTCACCGACTACGCCACGTTCTGTCCCGAGGCCACCTCCGGGGCTCTGCCTGCCAGCACCGGTGTATGAAATCCTCAGAAATGGAATTGTGTGAATTGTTGGCGGATCAACTAACACTAGAAAAAAAAAAAATTGGGGGAATAATTTAGCTCCCCTCCATCACCGTCTCCAACGGCATCACCTACTCCATCTCCCGCCCCCTGATCACCTCCACCGTCACCCGCTGCAACAAGTGGTAAGCAATCCCATCCATGTTGTATTTTATTTTTATCGATATGTGTGCTTCGTATATGGTTTCAGTCCTCAGGTTTACTAAAACGAAAAAAAAAAAAAAAAATAGCCCCAGCTCCACCCCCACCGCCATTCACACCCCCTCGACCAGCTCCATCGTCGTCGTCCCAACCTCCCACCCTCTCATCCCCTCCGCTCCCGCCCCCGTCCCCCCCTCCGCGCCTGCTTCCTCCGTCCCCGTCCCCGTCCCCTCCGGCGCCTCCCCCGACACCAAGTCCACAACCACTGGCCCCTCCGTTGCCCTCTCCACCGGTGGTGCGTCGCGCGCGGCCGCCGGTGCCGGCGCCGGGTTGGCCGGTGTGTTTGCGCTCGTTGCGTATTTGCTGTGAGCGAGCGGGAGCGGAGCGGAATGGAATGGAGTGGAGTGGAGTGGAGGAGTGTTAATCTGATGATATGATTTTGGGGGGGGGAATCGAATGAGTTGAATTTTTGGATGGATGGGGAGGAAGGTGGATGTTATTTTTTTTTATTTTATTTATTTGAAAGATCGAGAGGAAGGGAGGGGGGTTCTGTTCTGAGTTGAATTTGTCGGATATATACCTTTTTTACTTTCTTGTTCTTCTTCGTCTTCTAGTAACTTGTATACAGGGGGTTGAGTGGTTCCCATCTTTTGATTTTTCTTTTTCCCCTTTTCCCGGTGGATTGGGGAATGGATGGAACTGAGAACTGCGTTTTGGTTGTTTTGTTTCTGATTCTACTTACCTCGCGAGCCTTTTGCTTGTTCTCTCTTACATGATGATCGGATTTGAATATTTAAGAACTTGCTGTTTTTTGGCTCAATTGTGCCAATTGTGCCAATCGCGTATTTCCAACGAGGACCGATGCACCAGGGACGATGCACCAGGGACGATACACCAGGGACGAGCTACAGCTACAGCTTCGCCTTATGGCTGAAAATGAAATATTCCCTCACCCGCGCCCGCGCCACCTCCACCACCTCCGCATCCTCCACCGTCGGCGGAATGCTTACCGTCCCAGCAAACTCCCCCCGCACCCCCTGCTCCACCAGCTCCCGCAGCACCCGCCGCAGCGTCTTGCCGCTGCGTGTCTTGGGAATCATCCCCCGTCCCTGGATCATGCCCCCCAGCGACGCGATCGCCCCAATCTGCTCCCGCACCGCTGCGTTGACCGCCGCGAAGAGCTCCGCGCTGGGGCGCGCCGGTAGCGCCCCGGTTCCGTCCCGCGGCTGGATGAACGCGAACGGGAGGTGGCCCTTGAGCGGGTCGGGGATGCCCACCACGCTGGCCTCGCCGATGTCCGGGTGCGAGAGGATAGCCTGTTCAATGGCGCCTGTTATAGCAATTGTGAATAACATTCTCAACCCATGCGCGAGGGAAAGGGGAGGGGTGGGGGTGTTACCCGTGCTGAACCGGTGCGCCGCCACGTTGATGATATCGTCCGACCGCGACATAATATGCACATATCCCTCATCGTCCACCATCCCCGCATCGCCCGTATCCATCCACTGCCCGTGAAACCGCTTCAGGTACCCCTTGTAGAACCGCTCATCGTCGTTGAACAGGCTCGTAAACGCCGTCGGCCCCAGCGGCATCGCCATCACTATGTTCCCCATCGTCCCGCGCGGGACTTCCTTTCCGTCATCGTCGACGATGCGCACGTCGAACCCTGGCATGGGTAGACCGGCGGACCCGGGGCGGACGCGGAGGGGCGCGGGGTTCGTATGCTGACCGTCCTGCTGCGGCTGCTGCTGCACCAACCCGGCCACACTGCGCAGCGCCAGCCCCGAAATTGGAGACCCGGACTCCGACGACCACCAGTTATCCACCACCATGGCGCCCGGCGCCGCATGCTGCGTCAACAACTTCTGATATGCCTGCACAATGCTGGGCTCGCTCCTCTCGCCCGCGAGAAACAGGGCCTTGAAATGCTTCAGCCCGCCGCGCCGCGCGACCTGCAGGAAAAATTGATCATCCGGGTCGTCCTTGCGGATCGCCCGCATGGCCGTCGGCGCTGTGAAGAGCACCTTCGCCCGGTGCTGCTCGACGATGCGCCAGAAGGTGCCCGCGTCCGGCGTCCCCACGGGCTTGCCTTCGAAGAGCACTGTCGTCGCGCCGACGAGCAGCGGCCCGTACAGTATATAGGAGTGGCCTACGACCCAGCCAATGTCCGAGGCGCAGAACATGACGTCGCCGGGGCCGTGGATGTCGAAGAGATACTTGATGGAGAGATGGAGGCCCACGGCGTGGCCGCCGGCTTCTCGATACACTCCCTTCGGTAAACCGGTTGTGCCTGAGGTATTTTTGTCAGCAGCTACCGACCTCTGTATCCCATCTGAGGACATACCGCTGGTATAGATGATATACAAGCCATCTGTACTCTTGACCGGCACCGGGCCGGCCCTCACCCCGCGCATACGCGCACTCTTGACCAACCGCTGCCAGTTGCGCTGCCCGCTTACCTTGTCCGGGTTATCCCAGCGCAGCTGCTCGCGCTGCCAGATCAGCGTCTTGAACGGCTTGAAGCTGCTCGCCGCAATGGCCCCCTCGACCAGCGGCCGGTACGCCACGGGGCCCTTGGACCCTTCAATGCCACACGACGCCGTCATGACGACCCGCGGCCGCGCCGCCTCTATCCGCTGCGCCAGCGACTTGGCCGCGAAACCCCCAAAAACAGCCGAGTGGATGGCTCCAAGGCGGGTGATGGCCAGCGCGGCGATGAGCGCCGCGGGGATCATCGGCACTTGCCAGTCATCACTATCACATTCCAGGATTGTGGACACAGGGCGTACATACTGTAGATAATCACCACATCCCCCTTCCGCACCCCTTCCTCCCTCAACACCCCCGCCAACACCTCCACTTCATCCAACAGCCGCCGATACGTATACGTCTCCTGCACACCTGTCACCGCTGAATCCCAGATGATCGCGGCGTGGTCGCCCCGCCCCGCCGCCACGTGCCGGTCGACGCAGTTGTACGTGGTGGAGATCTCGCCGTCCGGGAACCAGGCCCAGTGCTCGTGGGTGACGCCGGACGGGAGGGTCTTGGGCTGCCGAACCAGGGCGCGCGAGGGTGGCTTATGCCAGTGCAGCTGGGCGGTATGGTGAGACCAGAAGGATTCTGGGTCTTGAAGGGAATGTGCGTGGACGAGGTGTTGGGGGTGGGACATCTTCTTTTGTGTGTGTGTGTGTGTGTGTGTGTGTGTATATACATATATATATGATAAACAAACCACTGGGGAATTTAAGGACAAGACGAAGACAGCAAGGGCCCCCTTCAAATTTAACCCTCTGAAATGAGAGAGAACAAAAAATGATTTGTCACAGCCTGCGAGGCCCGACAGCTTTAGCTGCACTGTCAGTGACAGGGAGGGGATTCGGCGCCTCGGTCAGGGACAGCGCAAAAGAGGAGGTATCAAGTGGATGACGGGAGAAAGGAAGGAAGCAAAGCAAAGCAGACTAGTTCGACTTGGTATCCCACTTTGTCTATCCTTGACTGGCAGCTGCAGGTAGACTAGACGGACGTCCAATAGTCTAGTAGCGGAAGTATATGTCTGTTCTGGTGCTGCATGCGGCGATCGCCAATAAGTAGGCAGGAAGCCATCTGCGCTGCTCATGATTTGAGACCACTCATTCACCGAGGATGGATCAATCTGCATGCGATGCGTGGTAGGATGGATGAATGGATGATGAATGGATGATGAATGGATGGACGATGGAGGAGAGACAAATGGACGCAGCCGAGGATGACTGACAGCTTTCCCCGCACGGAACGATTTCCGGGGTGTCTCACTTGTATTTGTTGTAGTTACAAAGTTAGTTAGTAGAAGCGGGCAAGAGTACAGTAAATACCAGGTCTAATAATATCAGGACAACTGACAACTCACTTAGAGCAATGGACGTCGAAACATATGAGGTTGCAACTATCAGGTTATCCGCTTCCGTCGCTTGCCACCTCGGCCTCAAGTGACCGAGTCAGATGATCCCAGTCCTTCCTTCAGCTTCCTTCGGATTCAAATAGAGTCAACAGTAACGGTAGTATAGTCTTGTCAAGTCTATCTAAGTGGTCAATGCACTTTTGGTCTTTAAATTCGCACGCAATGCATCACAAGTAACAACAACAACAACAGTAGTAGCAACAGCAACAGCAGCAACAACAACTCAAAGCTCAGCCGTAGGGTATCATATCGGAAATGCCTGCTAAACGGTCGACTGCTTCATCGAAAACAACCATGCGTCTTCTCTCGTCTGCGTCTTCGTCTTCGTCGCCCTCTCGACAAGCCATCAGCCATCTCCCTCACGCGGTATCGCCTCCCACCGGTCTGTGCTTCCATCCAACAACCATCTTTCTCCACAATCACATCCCTCCCCCCAGCCACATGAAGCAGCACCGGGACACAAACACTGGGTGTGTGAGGCGAGTTCCACCCCGAGGCCGGAGAACAAACAGCAGAGGGCCGAAAATATGCTATTATCCGAAGGGGAAAAAAAAAGTTGAGAAAAGAGTCTATAATTCCCCCGGCTGCTTTGTGTTCCAGCCTCTGGTTCTGCAGCGAACTCGAACAGAACACCATCGCGTTGATCCATGTAAGCAGGGAGATTGCATCAAGCATCTCCCGAAACAGCCGTATCATTTGCATCCACCTGGAGACGAAAAGACAAAGAAAAAAGAGGAAAAAGCCCAAGAAGACGAGAGAGCCTGAAGGTGAATAGAAGAAAAAAAAAAAAAAAAGGAAAAACGATGACGGGTATGATTGGCGGTCTGGAGCCCAGAGACCAGTAGAGGCTTCATGCGGCCAATATAAACAATAGAATGGGATGGTCATGGAGCAGGCTCACATGGCATTTCGGTAAGGGGGAAAATAAAGTTGAAAAAGTGAAAATATTAGAAGTGGAAAAAGAAAATGAGAAAAAAAATTGGGTTGGGGAGGGTGAGATGAGGATGCGACGATGAACGCGAAAATCCTTCAAAGAATCACGCACTTGAGGCCGCCGCGGTGTCGGGGACGATCGGTTCGAAGATTTCTGGGATACTCGGGGCCCGCATCGCGATCGCGCATGGCTCCCAACCCTGTCGGTCGGCGATCCTGGGCTCGTCCACCTTGCTGTTGTTGTCGCTGCTCTCGGAGTAAGCGGACGACATCGTAAAAGGCTTTCTCGACGTTGATGCAATTCTTGGCGGACGCCTCCACAAATTGACAGCCCAAATCCTTCGCCAGGGCCTGTCCTTCCTGCGCCGAGACCGCGCGCTCCACAGCTTTGTCGCTCTTGTTGCCGACCAACATCACAGGAACAGGCAGAGGTGGGCCCGAGGGGGCGTTGATAGGCGATCCCAGATAGCTGGCTCCCGACGGTGACCCGGAGTGGGCTGATTCCTTGACCATCTTGATCTGGTTGTAGAATTTGTGTATCCGCGAGAATGAGCCGCGCGATGTGATACTGTAGACAAGAACGAAACCTTCGCCGTCACGAATCCATTGATCTCGCAAGGCCGTGTACTCCTCCTGGCCCGCGGTGTCCAGAACTTCCAGCATACAGGACTGGTGGTCGATGACCACCTGCTTCCGATACGAATCTTCGATGGTGGGATCGTATGTTTCGACGAAATGATTTAAACAAAGCTGTTACCGAGCAGGGAAGAAAGAGACCCCCAGAAATTCAGTCACAAAGGTTCATCACTGGGAGAAAGCAGACAGAGGTCAGAGGTCAAAGCTAACCTGAATTGTGAGCGCGGTTTTTCCGACACCACCATCTCCCAACACCACCAACTTGTACAACGTCATTTTTCCGGTCATGGCGCCAGTGATATCGCACCCGTAGGTAGCGATTCAATCAAAGAGTAAGGTGGTCGAATTGTTGAAGAGCAGCGATTTGAACGGGAGCCAGATAGCACACACGCAAAAAAAAAAAGAAAGAGAGAGACAGAAGAGATAAGAAAAGGTGGAAGAAGAAGGGGGAGGAAGCGAGAAAGAGAGAGAGAGAGAGAGAGAGAGGAGGGGGGCGAAGAAAGAAAGCTATGAATGCTCCACGGTGGGCACGGACGCGGATAACGGAGTGTTGCGAAACTGGGGACCCAGCGAAAAAGAAGTTAGTTCCGTTAGCATCTGACTAGGATTTAGGAGCGGCTATTATTTCTGGTCAATGTTAGTGCGGTTGATTATTAGCCACCGGAAGAACCGTCGTGGCTTGAGGCCAGCACGCACCACCGAGAGAGAGGAGGAGAAGGAGAGGGAAGAGGAAGAGACGGATGGGAAGGAAGAGAGAGAGAGAGAGAGAGAGAGAGAGAGAGAGAGAGAGAGAGAGAGACAGAGGAATTAGAAATCACATACATACCTCGTTGATAGCGAATCAAAAAAAAAGATAGAAATTGACGTCCAGTTCGCTGAATTGGAGGAGAAGGAAAAAAGGTACCTAGACTCGAACGGGAAGAACAACCAACGACTGCCGAAGTTGAGTGGTTCAATTGAATCCTGAAGGTTTCCGGGCGACCAAACATCCACCTGCAGTAATCCTCGCCAGCGTCACAACAGAAAAGGTCAAAAGGATCAAGAAACGGAGGCTTGCCAGGGTTTCCGATAAGTGACACAGCGCTGGTTTTGGCTTGTTCGATTCGATGAATTTCCCTCTTCTCTCTTTGCTCTTTTTTCGCCTGCTTGCTCGCTTCTTTTCCCTTCCCTTTTCCTCTTTCGCCTCAGACTGTTTCCGCCACGCTGAAGTGGATTCCAATCGAGGAATCACACGGACCGATTGAACTGGGATCGCAGGGGTTCCCGGATCTTGGTAAATCCTTGTTTTCGTTTGATATCGATATATAAATATAGAATCTATATATCTATATCTATAGATATATAGTATATCTCGATCGATGGACCCTTCTCTTGGGAGAGGGGGAGGGGGAGAGGAATGCTGGTTAAGGGATTCAGAAATAAAGGCTTGGCCAGCAAGAAGATGAAAGATGAAGATGAAGGAAGAGAGATGACTCTGGAACGGACTCCGAAGGTGATGGATAGAAGGATAGATAGGTGGGTAGGTAATAGATAGAGAGGAGAGAGAGAGAGAGAGAGAGAGAGATGGATAGATACAGGAGAGGATTGAAGGGGAGGAAGAAAAGATTATAGCACCAGCACCAGCAACAGCAGTAATAAACTAGTCTATAACTACCAACTCACAGAAGCGAAGAGGGGGGAAAGAAAGGGAAAAAAGGACCGAGTGTTAAGTACTGTAAATTAAAGTCAAGGCCGAACTACCAAGATGAGGTAGTTATCGACTATAGTAGTCTATAAGGACGCCCCATGTAATAGATTATTAGACTGATTCGACTGAACATTATGTACTTTTTGGTCTCTCTCTCTCTCTCTCTCTCTCTTCTATAGTATCTACAGAGTAGTCGCTCTCAAGGTAGTCCAGCTATGTTTTATGTACCCACCACAGCTTCGGTTTCGATCGAATCCTTGACAGTCAGTTATACCTTTTCAATGTATGTATGGACAGAGTCCATAAATCGTAGACAGAGACCTCCAACGGACAATTGCTTACAGGATACCCTTGAGATCCAATCTTTCTCTCTCTCTCTCTCACATCTTCCCCTCACTCCTCTCTTTTCCCTTTCCCTCTTACCTTATACATATCTACTGGAAAAGTCTCCCTCCCTGTCTGTTTCAGACCTCGTCTCGGATCTTCAACACCCCAATTCCCACTTTTCGCGCTCAAGTGCTGAAGAGGGTTTCGGGTACACACCAAGTGGGCGCACGGAAGCACTAACCCTGGACTCCCCACATCAAGAGAGCTGTAGCCTGTAGCCCCGTAAAGGACTAGAGCTCCATCATGAGTGCAGGTCCTCTGCTGAATCTGGATGGTAGACCCCAAGGAGAGATTCGTTTGTAGATAGATAGATAGATCGTCAAAGGAAATGAATCACTACGGTACCTACTATCACGCTATCTATACCCTGATAGGCCAATGGCCAACCATCGAGAAAAGGATATCAAAGCAAGTCAACAGTTGGTTTCTTCTAGTCTCTTATAGAGTAGGTACGAAGTACTCTCTCCTGCTCTAGCCTCGACTTGCAAAAAGATAAAAATATAAAAAAATAAAAATAAAAGAACTTTCTCCCCTAGTCCCGGTCTAGTCTGCAAGTTCCTACGGGGAAGGATATCGAAGATTCCGCGAGCCTTCCTCCCCCCCCTAGCTTCTCAGTTCTCACTAAAATCCCGTCTTCCAAAGGCTTGGGTTTTCGTTTCGCGTGGTCTGGCCCCGGAATGGCAGAAAGTTACAGGATGACAGTGACAGTGACAGAACTTCCCGTACCTAACTATCTACTCTCTCTCTCTCGGTCTATGAGTATGGAAGGTAGATAGTCAGTTGGCTAGACGGAGATCGATGCGGCTTCTTTGACTTTCGCCTATCGAACTTTCTGGGAGATTGGAAAGTGGGAGTTTGAGGTTAGAGTAGTCCTGCTGTCGATACTCGATACTTCGTAGCACAGATGAGTATAGACAAGGCAAGAAGGGAGCGATATGGGGGTGGTCAGCACCGATTCGAGTCATCTCCAACTCCTACGGAGTAGTACTTCTTTTACAGGACCGACGGGTGTTTACTGTTTACTGTTTACTGCTTAGCTGTACACATTATTACTTATGACACAGGTCAAGGTGATTTGGCTCCACAGTCCATTGGGGATGCAATTTAAGGGGGAGGGGCAATTGATCATCCCCTACGGGCTGCGACGGTTGAGAGAAAAAGAAAAAAAAAAAAAAGCTTGTTCTGAAGTTGCTGATGACTTGTGTAAATAGATAGGTACTGAAAGTCTGAAAGGTGCAGATATAGAGCTGATGGGAATAAAATAGACTTCTGCTCGCTGGCCAGCAGGGCTTCAGCTGCAGGGAATATGGGTGCATACCGCGTCGACCGTTACAGCGACACTACCGGATAGATAGATAGACTCTTTGTCAAAGCTTTAAGCACTTGTCTAACCCCTGCCTTATTTCCATTTCCCACGTGGTGGAGGCACGGTACTACTGTAGTGGCCGAGACTGTGCATTGAATTACTTGACTATGGATTCTAGTCTAAATAATCAATTGCGACAATTGGAGAGTGGATATGATTCATATGCTAGTGCTCTTGCCGATCTGTTGGATATATAGATGGATATTATTATAGAATTAGACAGTGAGGTCAGATACTACTTATCTTGCATTTTCTAGCCCAGCGAATGATCACCCGAGTCCCGGGAGACCGCGGAGTAGGTACATAGCCAAGTTCTGTTGTATAGATTCTCGTAGTTCCACTCCCGGATCCTCAACCGAGTCCTACATACTGCAAGTCTACCTCCGTAGCTACTAGCTAGTCTTTGGTAAATTTTGGCACACTTGCAGAGAAACAATGAGATCATCCCATCCATGCTCCATCAGCAATCCCGCGTTCCACGGTTCACAGTTCGGATGGTGGGAAAAATATTGCCTGTTTCCCTGCCGCTTTAGTCCATAGTGTGAACTCTGACAGGGGGGTATTCTCCAGTCTAGGCTCTAGATTTTAGACGTGCCAGATTAGGCCATTTCAGTGGCACCCCGGGTATACTTGAAGAAGAAGAAGAGGAAGAAGAAGAAGATTCTGTACTGTATGGGCCCATACTTGATGCCCTGGGTATGACTACTACGATCACCTCGATTGAATCAGCGAAGTATCTAGGTAATATCTATGGATGCTTTGTGGAGAGTAGTACCTGCCTTACGGTAGGTATACCAGAGCACTGGCTCCAGAATTTATTTTGGATTTTTATTTTGACAGCGGACCCGATCCACCGTTTGTCTTACTGTCATTTCATATCAGCCGGCACCTAGACCGTGTCTGCGCCCTACTATTTCGTAATACTAGTACTAGTATACCTTGCCGTCCTGTCGATCTGTTGGCCTGGTGGTCGGATGTTGGCCGATGGATCGAGGTATTATGTACAGAGTATGCTATATGATGTGTAATCCAGTGGTGGATGGTACATGAACATCTCATCTGCCTCGTTGCAGAGGCTCGTTTGCACTTCCTTTTCTTTCAAGTGTATCATGCTGATGGAGTGAATTGGGAGAGCAGTCCCGTGCAAGGTATGAGTATAGAGGACTGGGCACCGAGACAAAATTTGATGACTTAATGCAGTGGACGTCTCTCTTGTCTGTCAAGGTCATATTGTGTCGCTGCAGAGAGTCGGTACCAGTCTTAATGTTAATGGTGAACACACCCCTAAGCTTAAGCTTACTCTATACGCCTTATCGACTGCTGTAGGCTGTAACTCAGAGTAACTCAGAGTATATGGATAATAAGAACACAGATCAGCAAGTTGCATAGAAGGATTAACTACAGTTACACATCACCCTCAATCGCAATGCCCAACCGCCGCGCAACCTCCACAAACCCATCCCCCCCGGCAACCCAGATATCCACATACCCCTCCCTCCGCTCCTGCTCAATATCCAGATCCTCCTCCTCCTCCGGCCGCTCAACATACACCGTACGCATCCCACACGCCTTAGCCGCCTTCAGATCCTCTAGATGCGCCGCGACCATCGCACACTCCCCGGGCCGCAGCCCGAACCGCTCCGCCGCCCCGTGGTACACCTCCGGCGCGGGCTTGTATGTGCCAAAGTGCTCCGCGCTCAGGATGTGCGTGAAGGGCAGCGCGCCGTACCGCTGCAGGCCCTCCAGCAGGGCGATGTTGCCGTTGGAGAGGGTGCAGGTGCGGAACTTGCGGTTGAGCAGGTCTAGCCCGCGCACGGCGTCCGGCCACGGCTGGAGCCGGTGCCAGCTGAGCGATAGGTCTTGGGTTTCTGCGGCCGTGAAGAGGTCGGTCAGGTGGTGGGTGTGTAGGAGGTGGATGAGGGCGCGGTGGTGGTGTTCGTCGACGGAGATGAAGGGCTGTGAGGTGGTGTCGGCGGTCGAGGTGAAGTGTTGGTATGACCGGCGCCAGGCCTCGGCGAGGGCGAGCCAGTCGGTAGGTGTCATGTTGGAGGCTTTGGCGCGGAGGTCGTCGGGGAGATGTCTGTCTGGGTCCTGGAGGGCGTGTTGGGCGGCGTCATGGAGAGCGTTGGTCACGCAGGTGCGCCATTCGACGACGGTGCCGAAGACGTCGAAGAAGAGGACCTGGAGGGCGGGTTGGGTCATTGGGATATTTGGATGTGTGCGAGTGGTTTCAATAGTTTCGCAAAGCGGGTTCTATCGACGATGGTAGAAACACTTGCTCATACATGAGTTGCATGGCCTGGGCTGTCAATCCACTCGGCTCCAATCTCCTGTCGGTTGTTGGTGAGTCAGTCTGTGAGGGGTTGAAGATACCCCGCAAAGGCGTCATTTCATTCATCCGAGAAGATCAACAGTCAGCATAGCTTTGGTTCTTCGGTTGTTCGGGATCAAGTCTGCAGACAAGCGTCGACACCCGAGGCAATGGAAACACATTCATCCTTGGCGAGCTTGCTCAACGTAAAAGTCAAGCCGGATGAGGCACGACATGCAGCACAACCCTGCGCATGGTCAATGCATGCACGATGGGCTCTAACAGATCTATCACGTCGCACGATAAGGGTCGCAGCACCCAGGCGATTGATCAGTCCAAGCCTCCAAGGTGATGGAGAAGGAGGGGAACTGTTATTTATGGGTTGAGTTATTGAAGTCTGGATCAATTATTGGCTGCCTGGTGCATGGACGACAGCTGCAGTGTGATCTCAACGGTCACACCGAAGACATGTCCACAACTATGCATACATCTTCTGTATCTTTGGTCCCGCAATCTAACGGTCGAATTTATGGTGGGAAAGCGAATGGAGGACCAGATGGGAGTGCATCTTGGTGATAAGTGACGCTATTCCAGAGCCACAAACTCTCTGCGACCAGCGTCGGTGGGATACTAATTGCATAGCCACGAGCAATACAATTTTACAATCTACGTGATAACAAAACAATATCATTCTTTGGTTCTCACCCTCAGCCTGTTTCTTGATCAAACAGCCGAAATTATTATCACGGGTCGCGACCAAAGTACGGAATATCTACGCTCTACAGAGTACACCGTCGTTAACCCCTGAAAGTGACCTTTAGATTGCAGTGGAGTCACCACCAACGCCAGTTGCAACTAAGCAGCTTAGTTGGCTTAGTTGGTTTTAGTGACCATCGAACTCCTATGATCCCGTCACGATGTTCTTTTTTTTTTATCATTATTAATTATTCCTCCAACCGTAATGGTACTTTGGTCTCTGGGTGCATAGCATAGGTTATGTGTGACACGTGCAAAAGACAGATAGATACCTTCGCAACACCCTGTCCTCTCGTTACTCTGTACAGCTTGCGAATGCGAATGTACAGAGTACTAATGTCTCGAATTCCAGATGCCGGATATCTAACTGTGTCTGTCAAGATATCCGATCATGGCAGAAAAAGGGGCAACCAGACTAAGACTCCGGAGGACCGACTCCATCCCATCAAGTTTAGGTTGGTTACCCTGGAGGCTTAGACTATATTGTAGCCACTATTGACTATTCATTTCGGATGATTTTCTTTGTCTATCAATCACCACAGCCAATCCCAGACTGGACAAGCTCCCCATCTTCATTTCCGAAGCCGCGGTGCCTGCAATCCGTAGTGGATTGGATTGGGTGGATAGGACATGCGGCCCGTTGGGGTTTGTACTTGGACTCTCCCAGCCCAGGAACCTCCCGCATGTTCCTTTTGTTTTTGAGTGGATGGCGGTATGGTCATTCCTCAGTGCTCTTGCATACACAGTACACCATTGACCACACCCCCGGTTATTATGATCTCTTTAGAAATGTCTGCAAAGCGCGACTACCCTGCAGTAGTCTGCAGTAGTCCACATACTCATCATTGCAGTGATGCAGGGATGCAGTCAAGTATAAAAAAGAACCGATCGTCATGAACCAATCGAATCCCCCTATCACACGCGACAACCGATTGGAAATTCATCGCTACTACTGACTGCTAGGATACCCCCAAGGCACTAAAGCTCGTGTCTCGAGTCTCGACCTACCACATGGTCAAAGTCCAGCAAACACCCTCCATCCTGAGACACGGACCACAGAAGGTCATTCTGCCCATGCCGATCACTTGCGAAGAGGCGCTGGGTTCAAGCACGACTAGTTTGGAACGATAGGATATCGTCCATCGTATGATTCCGTGTCGATCAGGTTCAGCGCGCTATCATTTCGTTGTCGAGGGTGAGGGAATCCAGCGTCAGTGATTCAGACTGTAGAGAGGAGAGTGTCAGTGATTGCTTAGTATCTTAGTATCTCTGGATGGTCTTCTCCTAAGACTTCCATGACTCTTTTTTTTCGAATTGTGGTGAAGCAGTAGTAAGTAGATGGTGGATACTAGATAGTCAACGAACACGCGGGAGCTCGTTGATTCTTCCTAGCTAAGGAACTATCTAATTAATATTATTATTAGTACGGAGTAGTAGTATTCTGACTGGTAAACAACAATGGATTCCTCTCTCCTCTCCTTTTCCTTTTTTTTTTTTTTGCTTCTGTTGTTGGACCTCTCTGATTATTAGTCGAGTGACTGTGTTAGTATTACAAGGCTGAATGTATTCTTCTTCTCTGTTTCATATTGACTCTTTGCTTTTTCTCCCTCTCTCTCTCTCTCTCTCTCTGATAATAAAGATTCTGTGATACAACAGCAGCAGCAAAGTGTATGCTGTATCGAGTTCCTCCTTTTTCCGCTGTGAATCAATATGATATGATATTTTCCTTCTCTATCTAGTTATTATTGAAACCTCCACGACGACTAGTCTTACCGGTGGCAGCTCTGGTGGAGTAAGTAGTTCGATATCACAATCGTGCTCCTTCGAAGTTTTCCACTAATCGGGTCCGTCTTTTTGTTTGGTTGTTTTTTTTTTATTTCGTGTTTCTCCAGTGTCCTACTGTCAGTGCTCTCTAGTAGAAGTAGTAAAAATTAGATGGGTAGTGAGCCCGTTGCACTGATTAATGAGTGATGCACTGATGATATTGCCCATCAGAGCTAGGATCAACTAGATACCCTCTTGAACTCTCCTCCTCCGAATCCACTTCCCCCCTAACCCGTTCTACCGAAACCCGCCCCTGGAGCTTTTTTTTAATATGATTTAGGAATTAGGCCTATACTACGTAGGCTGTACGCCGATGGTGCCTTGGTCTGATGTCCTCTTAGTCCTGTTCGGGATGTTCAGTCTCAAAGAGTCACTACGATCGCTGATCTAACAGACTTCAGCTACATGGGGCTCGACTCTCCTACCTTTTAGATCGTCTGGCTAGCCTAGACTCGGAGAATGAACGGTTCTCTTCTCATCTCGCAAGTATCGAGATCTCTCTTCCTCTCTCTCTCTCTTTCTCTCTCTTTCTTCCCCCCTCTCTCTATCTCTTCCCGAAGGCTCAAGCCGCCTCGAGTCGAGCTCGATCTGCCTTCTCACCTCCCCCCGCGCGCGTCGAGCGTTCATCTTTCCTTCCCTTCTGGCGGTTCTATATTTCATCGTCATCCAGTAATTGGACGTCAATCATAATTCTTAATCCCAAATATCGACGGTTTAGCTTCTTCTCGGAAACAAAAGCAGCTCCAAGCCGCCGTGAATCGTTTTCATTCTCGACACACGGTTCGACCGATGTGAGTGCCTCTGGGCAGAATTGAAGTCTGCATTGTCGCTAGTTCATGATTAATTGACTGCTTGGATTTGGCTATAGTCCCTATTGGCGCAACAAGATCCTCCATATCATTGCTGCTGGCCAGCGTCACGGTATACGCGCCGCTCTTGCTTTTCCTTCCCCTATCTTCTTGCCGTCGCGGATCGAAACGGTAGACTTGATCCATGGATACTGCATGAATTCTCCTGAATCGATTCTGCGAGGACGGACGGTGTATTCCTCCACTGGATCGTCTGCCCGCCATGGCCACAGAGGTAGATTTCCAAAGCCCCTCGGGTTCTCAGGCTTTCCCTACTCCCTCAACAACTCCTCGTCGGATCCCTTCTATTCATATCCGTCACGATTCGTCACCCATTCGCTCGTCGTCATCTTTGGTCTCCCCTCAGAACTTCCCCCCCGACGGACCGAGTGATATGGATGATCTTGTGGACGAAGATGCGTTGTCACCACTGGATCCGCGAAGGTTCACGCCAACCCTCCATGCCTCCTTGGTGTCCGAGATCCTCTCGCTGCGGCGAGAGGTGGAAAACAAATCCAAAGAGATCGACATGCTCGAACGCACCTTGCACGAGTCTCGCGATGAGAACGAGGGTCTGAATGATCGGCTTTCCCGGAGCACCAAGGAATCCCGTTCCCTGAAGCATCAGCTGCAGCTGTTGGAAGGTGGCTCTTCCTCTGCTCTGTCCGAGCTGGCAAAGGAGCGTGATGAAGCCCTAGAGAATATCACGGACATGCGGAGGAAGCTGGACCAGGCCCAGAAGAAGGCTCGTCATCGAGAAGAGGAGCTGGAGCGAGCGCAGAGCCTCTGGAGCCGGGAAAGGGATTCCTGGGACGGCGAGCGCCGGAGCCTCGAGCGCAAGGTCCACGTGGTGGAGGGCCGGCTCAAGATGGTCCTGAGCGAGGTGGCGGCCGCGCAAGCCACGCGCACTGCGACACAAGATGCCCCGGATCCAGTTCGACCATCCACTACCGAGCGTAGTGACTCGACCAGCCTACATTCCAGCAGTCCCGGCCGCCGCCGGGCCAGCGTCACGAGCATGAGCTCCGAGGGCGATGCCGAGTTCCACAATATCCGCTACTCGGTCGCCAGCGTGGCCGGCATCCATGGAAACAAGCCCAGTGCGGTGAGTCTCGCCCAGGAGTTGGCTTTCGACGAGGAGGATGAGTTTGATACTCTGCATGATGACATGATTCTGGACTCGCCCGAGGCCCTGCCGGAAGAACGACCAATGTCGGTGCTCTCCCATGCCTCTCTGGCCATGAGCTTGAAGGCCAGAAAGATCCTCGGTCTATCCATCGACAGTAGCACTGATGGACCGGCATCCACGTTTGACAGGGGCGTAAACAGCCCCGCCAGAGTGTCCTCACCCAGGCTTGGGTATCGGGACGCTGGGATACAATATTCTCTACCGCCGTCCCCAACACTATCGGAACACACGCCGGTCGAGCCTGCCGCCGAAGTGTCGCCGCAGCCATACCAGGGGACTGACAGCAGCACCGCGACCTTGACCATTGACATGAAGTCGACCTCATGTCAAACGATCGGTGATCTTCCCAGCCCTCCATGGACACCGCAGGTCGCTGAGATTCCCATACCGCCAGTCACAGACCTGGCCGCAACGGCTTCGGCATCGACGCAGACGGATCTAGCATCGGTTTCGGAGGCGGTAAAAGAAGAGGCTCCGGCACCTACACCTACCAGGCCTGCCCTCTCTGCCATTGAAGTGCCGATGATTGCCATCCACCCTCCGCGCTCGGAGCCCCCCTCTCCCCGAGGAAGTGTGGTGCTGCCACCTCAGACGAAGAACGTCTCGTGTCAGACCACTTTTGCATCTCTTGTGGACAATCGGTCTATTGCGATTCAGACCGAGGAGATCCGCATCGATCAGCGGCCAGTCAAACTGCCGGCCAGTCTGCTCCCCTCGGCCATCCCCGATTTGCCGCTGAAAGTATCGCGTGCGCAGAAGACCGTGGACTCCCCCATCCAGCCGTACCGCCCTCCATCCCCTAAGCTAAGCAAGGGCGAAACCAAACCTCCTCCCCTCCCAGCCAAGGCACCGTCCAGGAGCAAACCGGTCGCCCCCATGCAGGCCTATCCCGGCAACAACGACAATGGACCCTTGACCGAAGGGTCCAAATCTGAGCTGAGACGACCCTTCCGCTCGAGCAGTCTGTTTGCGGGCTTTGACGAGGAAGGGATCGACGGAGAGTCACCCGAAGGGGTCAAAGATATCTTCACCGATGACGAACTGCTGAATCGGCCGTTCGCTTCTTACCGACTGAGAAGGGGCAAGCTGGTCTCTGCGCTGGAACGGTCGAGCCTGGAGGACCATGTCCTGGCGGAGCTGACGAGCAGCTGCTTGATGCCGAGTCTCATCTGTACGAGCATCCTGGCGAGGTGGGACCTCTGGACCTGGGGGGATCGCCACCACGCACCCATCGGGGTGGCGCTCCCGGGATGAAACAACCGGATATTCGCCGAGCGGCGATGATCTCCAGGGGGGCAGCAGCACACCAGCGGAGAGCACGCAGCCCCAGCGAGCCGAGTATCGACAGCGGCAGTGGTGCGTCGAGCACCGCTCCCCCCTTCCCCGTCCCCCATTCGCCTCAGCTCGAGGAGATTCCCCCACAGCGGGAGCGAGGGGCGACAGAGCCCAACCCCCTCTCACCCTCGCAACTTCTCCGATCGTGGGCGAGGCCAAGGTGTCCGTCGACCATCGCTGCGACGCGTGCGGTCCGCCGCGGCCATGTCACAGTCGGAACATCTCGAGCGGCCGACGAGTCAATCGTCTCCGTCCTCGTACGGGCTGGAAAGCCCGCGGTATCCGCCGCTGCCCTTTGATGACATCACGGCGCCCCGGGATCGGATGATGGGCCGGAGACAGTCCTCTCACCGCGCCTCCGTTTCCCGCCCCTTCGCGCATGAGCGGCAGGACTCGAGCGCGACGACGGCCATCCAGCCCACCAGCGTGGTCGACGCCATCGCGCAGACGATGATCGGCGAGTGGATGTACAAGTATGTGCGTCGGCGGCGCTCCTTTGGGGGCGTCGGCGAGTCTAAGGAGAACTGGGAGGGCAAGAATGCCGACGAGGTGTCCGCCAGCATTACCAACAGTGGTGTGCGGCACAAGCGATGGGTCTGGCTGGCGCCGTACGAGCGAGCCGTGATGTGGAGCAGCAAGCAGCCGACGAGTGGTCCTGCGCTGCTGGGCAAGAGCGGTCGAAAGTGTAAGTGATAGTGATTCAGCGGGAGATATCCTGGATGACAATGGGTTCCAAATCTAATGACGGCTACAGTGATCATCCAATCCGTCCTTGACGTCAAGGACGACAATCCACTCCCCAAGGGAGCCAGCGTGACCACCGCCTTCAACCGATCCATCCTGATCCTGACGCCGCAACGGGCGCTCAAGTTCACGGCCACCAACATCGAGCGCCACTATGTGTGGCTGACGGCGCTGTCCTTCCTGAGCCATTCGGCAATGGGCATCCACGACCTCGCGGCCCTGCCCCCGGTGCCGCAGGCCGAGTTCGAGACGCCCCCACCCATGGCATCCCTACGCCGCAACCCGATCCGCGATTCCATCCGCATCGCCAAGGGTCGACCGCGCCCAAACCTCCGCGGCAAGCGCAGCCGCCAACCCGAACCCGTGCCGGAACTGCCCCCGGCGGCACACGGCCTTGGCATGGCGGACGGCGATGCTGACGGCGCCGCCGACCCGCCTACCGTGCCCCGGTTCTCGTCGCACTCGCACTCGCACTCCCGCAAACGCAGCAACACCACCACCACCACCCCGCGCCTCCCCATCATGCGCAGCTTCTCCAGCCAGGGCGCCATGCCCTCCATCCCGTCGTTACACAGCATGGCGGTGCGCGGCGGCTCCCCGGACGTCTACCTCCCTAGCCAGGGAGGCGGCTACGGGCCCAGCTACGGCCCGAACAGCGGCCGCAGCAGCTTCAGCCGGCGCACGTCCGAGGCCAGCGGGCCGTCGAGCATCGGCACGGGCAACTTCTTCGACGCGATCGGCACGGTGCGCATGGAGGCCTTCATTGACCAGACCGACTCGAATCGGTTCCGTGCGGGGACGCGCACGAGGACGCGCACGGGCACGGGCACGGGCACGGGTACGAGCACAAGCACGATGGGGTCGCGGTCACGGCACAGCCGCAAGGCTTCGAGTCAATGGGGGTCGGGCAGCCAGCGGTTCTACGGCGAGTCGGTGCATGACGGCGAGCATGATCCGTTCGGCGGCTTCTGATGTCTGATGTCGCGGCCCTGTCTGTATATTACTGTAATGTCTACTTTTTGCACGAGATACCACCAACGCTTGTTCCTGAGCTTAGCCTGTTATATCATATCATATCATATCGATTATGCATCCCCAAATGAAGAACTCTCTCTCCATTGTAATAGCTCTGGTAAATACATACATTCCTCTCCATCATCAAACCAGGAGGGAACAAAAAAAAGAAGAAGAAAAGAAAAGTCGCCCTCACAACTTCGCCACCTCCTTAACCTCCCCAACCTTCAGCTTCGGCGCATACTTCTTCAACACCCCATCATTATGATACTGGCACAGTAACCGCATCAGCCCCATCTCCCAGGAAGGTGAAAAAGAGGGGGGGGGGGGGGGGGTAAGGTACATACCTTCCAGAACTGCTTCGAGGCATCCTTGCCCGCCACGCGTTTCAGGATCTTCGCCCCGCCCGGATGCTCGTCGACGAACTTGGTCACGTCGTAGACGGCCTGGTCGATGATGATGTAGAGGCTGTCTGGGGTGTTGTGGGAGGAGACTTGGGCGGGGGTGAAGGATTGGGACATTTTGATATATTCCTTGGTTTTTTTTTTTTTTTTTTTTTTTTCTTCTTTTCTTTACTTGGTGGTTGGATTGGATTGGATTGGATTGAGGTTGTTGTTGTGAACTTGTGGTAGGTATGGGGATGGATGGGTAGTAGTAAGTCTGAAGTCTTGTCGAGTTAAACGGAGTGTGCGGAGTGTGGGGAGACTGGGTCTGGGTCAGCCGAGGTTAAGTTCCAAGTCCAATGCTTAAATAGGTACGGGAGTCGGGAAATAGCCAGCGCCCGAACCGCGGTCGAGCCATTCTAATGTCGGCGTGGTGATTGGCTTGATACTTTCGATTTTATAGAATAGGTACACACACTACTACTAGGCACTGTTATGGAGTACAATTGTGTTTTGTTCGAGGACGTATGTCATATGTGGGTAGTCCCCGATGGTATCGTTGTGCGATGATGGTATATGCAAAAAAAGCGACTATAGATAAGAGTCTGGTAGACAAGAACTTAATCCTTGCTCTTCTCGCCCGCCGCCCCTTGTCCCTTGGGCACTTTGCGGTCCAGCCCCAGCGTCTCCAGATCCTTCTTCTTGTAATAATGCGGCGCCACCTCCACCAGCCACTCCGGCTGGAGGGGCATGTCGCTGCGCATGTATTCCTTGCTGGTCAGCACCAGCTCGTAGTAGATCACCCAGCGCGGGTTCACCTCGAACAGCGTGCTGGACGGGTGCAGGTACACCGTCTGGCCGTTCTTGACCGTGCGGTAGCTGTCGCCGCCGCGCTGCAGCCGCGCCGCGTTCGGGAAGAAGCCCGCCGTGATCGCCTTCTGGATGGGCACGTAGTTGTTGGCCCCGCACGTGCTGACCGTCACCTCGACGCGGTCGCACAGCTTGGCCAGCTGGTCGCGCACGTCGCGCGCCCGTGTCAGGCTCCGCTGCTGCAGGAAGTTCTCGCGCGCCCAGATCGGGCTGAAGTCCGCGTCCACCCACTGGTTCCAGACGTTGAGCAGCGTCACGTGGTCGCCCCCGTCCTTGACCGTGAACCGGTTGCGCGCGCTGTCCGCGTGGATCTTCTTGTCTTTGGGCCGGAAGAACAGCGCGCTGGCCTCGCCCAGCATCGACACGATCGACAGCACCTCCTCCACGCACCCGTACTTGTCCGCCGCCAGGATCGCCTTGGCCAGCATCGGGTCCGTCGGGAACTCCGCCATCTGCCGCCCGATCTTCGTCAGCTCGCCCCGGTCGTTGAGCGCCCCGAGCGCGTACAGCTGCTCCAGCGCCCGGATGATCGTCTCCGCCGGCGGCGGGTCCATGAAGTCGAAGTCCAGCAGCTGGTCGATCCCCAGCGACTTGAGCATCAGGATCACGCTGCTCAGGTTCGTCCGCTGGATCTCCGGCGTCGTGCTCTCCTCCAGCTCGTTGTAGTACGCCCACCGCGTGTACAGCCGGAAGCATTTGCCCGGCCCCACGCGACCGGCACGCCCGGCTCGCTGGTTCGCCGACGCCCGCGAGCACGGCGTCACCACCAGGCTCTCCATGCCGGTGCGCGGGTTGAACATGTTCTCCTTGACGAAGCCCGGGTCGATCACGTAGACGATGCCGTCGATCGTCAGACTGGTCTCGGCGATGTTCGTGGCCAGCACGACTTTGCGCGCCTTGGGCGGCGTCGGCTCGAAGATCTTGGACTGCAGCTCCGACGGCAGGTTCGCGTAGATCGGACAGATGATCATCTCGGGGATCTTGCTCCCCAGCTTGCGCGCCGTCTCTTGCAGACTCTGCTCCGCCGCCTCGATCTCCTCCTGACCCGTCAGGAAGACCAGGATGTCGCCGGCGCCCTGCGTGACGTGGATCTGGAAGACCGTCGTGATGGCCGCCGCCAGGTAGTTGGCCTCGGGCTGCGAGGTGTAGTGGATGTCCACGGGATACCGGCGGCCGGGGATGTTGAAGATGGGCGCATCGTCAAAGTACTTCTGGAACTTCTGCGCGTCCATCGTGGCGGACGAGATCAGCAGCTTCAGATCCGGCCGCGCCTTGGCGATGTCCTTCAGCAGACCGCACGCGATGTCCGTGGGCACGGTCCGCTCGTGCGCCTCGTCGATCATCAGCGCCGAGTACTGGCCCAGGTCAGGCTCCGTCAGCAGCTCGCGCAGCAGCATGCCGTCCGTCATGTACTTGAGCACCGTCTTGTCGCTGGTGTTGTCCTCAAACCGGATTGCGTAGCCGACCTCGTTGCCCAGCTTCGTCCCCATCTCCTCGGCCACGCGCGCCGCAACGCTCATCGCCGCCACCCGGCGCGGCTGCGTGCACCCGACCTTCATGCCGTTCTTGGTGAAGCCGGCCTCGTGCAGGTACTGCGGGATCTGCGTCGTCTTGCCGGACCCGGTCTCGCCGACGATGATCAGCACCTGGTGGTCGTGCACCGCCTGGATGATCTGGTCGCGGAACTGGTAGATGGGCAGGCTCTTGCGCGTCTCGTCGATCGAGGCCGCCTTCTTCTCCGCCGCGTCCAGCTTCTCCTGCAGCAGCCGCTGCTCCTGCGTCAGCGGCTTCTGCGTCCCCTCCAGCTTCGCGTCCATGACGAAGTTGATCTTTTGCGAATCGTCAAACACGTACTCGTAGTCCCCTTCGTCCACGAACTCGGCCCGCTTGATCTGCGCCTTGGCCTTGGCCGACTGCTCCAGCTCCCACTCCTCATGCTCCGTGACGAAGCGTTCCTGCCCGTACTCGTCGCGGTCCACGTAGCGCTTGTACAGGGCCTCTTCTTTCTTCTTGCGGTCGATCTTCCCCTTCTCCGTGATGTAGTCCTCCGGCATCATGTAGCCGTCGCGGTGGTCGTCGATGCGCAGCCGCTCCTCCGCGATCCGTAGCACTTCGCGGTTGCGCGCAAACTCCTCCCGCTCCCGCCGCGTGAGGTTTGGGTTGTCGCGCAGCTCCGCCGCCTCCTCCGCAACCTGCCGCCGCAGCAGCGCCAACCGCTCCGTCTCCCGCTTCTTGAGATACTCCTGCCGCGACCGCAGGCGCAGGTCCGGCATGACGGCCGCGCGCGCCGTCGCATCGTCCGCCAGTGCGCGCCGCCGCGCCGCCTCGCTCGTCCGCGTCCGGTCCTCCACGATCTTCTTCTTGCTCTTGCCGTCGTCCTTGCTGGCAAGCCGCTTCGCGAACTCGTCCCGCTCCGCAAGGTCCCGCTTGCGCTCCAGCTCCTTCCGCGTCTCCGGATCTAGTTCTTCTTCATCTTCCTCCTCCTCCTCCCGACGCGAAGGCGACGCAGACCCGTCCTGCAACCGCGTCCGCTTCGCCGGCGACTCCGCAAACTCCCCCCCACGTGCAACCCTCCCCCCTTCCTCCTCCTCTCCATCCTCATATTCCTCATCTCCCCACCGACCCTCGAAATCCTCCACATCCCGCCGCCGCAGCTTCCGCGACCGCCCTGCATCCCGGGCCCCGTCCTCACGACTGCGACTGGGGCTGCGCTCCCGCTCCCGCTTCCGTCGACCTTCCTCCTTATCCCCCCGCCGCCGTCGCCTCTCCCTCTCCCTCTCCGCCTCCACATTCATCGGCCCCAGCGTCCCCGCCGCATCCGCATCCGCATCCGCATCCATATCCACAAGCCGGTACTTCTTCTTCGACGCCGCGGCTGCAGCTGCGGCTGCATCGCCGCGTTCGCGTTCGCGCCCCGGCGCGGCAGGCGCGGCATCCTTCTTGCCCGTGCGGCGGTAGAGCTCGGCGCAGAACGAGGCGACGTCGTCGGCGTTGCCGTCGAGGAAGGGGAGGAGTTTGTCCTGCAGGGCGGGGGCGGATTTGGCCGAGCTGGCGGTGGCGAGCACGAAGTCGACGATGGTGGGGTCGGAGGCGCCGGTGAGGCGGATGAGGGAGTCTGAGACGAAGGTTTTGGAGTCCATGGTGAGGTGAGGTTGGGTGAAAGTGTATCTGTGTGTGTGTGTGTGTGAGAGAGAGAGGTGGTCGTAGAGACGGATGTGTTGGTGGTCGGTGAGCGCTTTTTGGGTTTGAGCAATTCGCTCTTCAGACAATATCGCTCATAATTGTCTGCTCAGGGAAAAGAGAACGGTAATGTGGAGATAATTGAATTGGGATGCAGCGACACAGGTGATTGTCCACGAGAAACGCGGCTGGTTGATGAACGGGGCTTGGAGCAGTTGTCGGAGAGCGGAGGTCAGAAAATCCACGGAGGTTGGAGCGGTGGCGCCAAGCCATCTCGGGTGGCAATAATGAATGATATAGATACTAAGGTCGTTACGGGCGACGGAGGAGATATCTACGGTCGACATCCACTAAATCGGTATTTGGAATCGATTGAACCATTCTACAGACTAAAAGTCAAATGAAAAAGAATGCAGTAAATTAATATGTTCCATTCGATCTACCACCGACTGTTGCGTCCAGACTCAACACGTATAAATCACAAGTATTACCCAGCTCTCAAGCCCGCTTGATCCCATATCGGCTGGCCCCGTCCCTGACTCTCCAGGGACTGGGGTTGGAAAATAAAAACAGAAAAGAATAATGACAATGTCGAAGAGAAGATGTCAGCCGAACAAGAGATTGGGCCAGAAATGGAGGAAAAGGATCATTCATCATCATCAACGCCCAATGCATGCACGACAGTCCGGGGGTCACTCCAACAAAGGAAACACGAAAAGAGAAGAGAAGAAAAGGAACATCTGATCAAGGTCCGAGTGTTCGCTCCTTCGTTGAGAAGGATCATTGCCCAAGAACCCTCCCAGACAACATGACACCGACACAAATAGACGAAATCAATGGCTTCAGTAGCACAGAAAACAGGTTCATCATACACAGCAGGGAATCCAATCATGCAGGGCATTGGTACATTTCGAGAAGACAAAAAAAGTGAAGCACAAGCGGCAACGCACGCTAAATTGGACTCTGAACAAAGGAAAGATTGTTAAGAAACGAACGTAGGCGACTTGTAGAGTTCTACAAGTCGGATGTATAGGCTGGGTCCGACCCCGCGTAGCTGATTGACGGGGGTGGAGTCGGTCCGTAAGTAGCGCCTCGAAGGGCAGTGGAAGAGACTGAACATGTCGGAGGGGAGAGGGCGGGCTTCAACGCCACATCTAGGGTGTCGTGAGAGTTGGGAGAAGTCGAATGCGGCAATTCCCTGAGAGCCGCATGATCGCCACAAGTTCACACGTCGATCATTTCGGCATCTTCAGCGAGCATCTCGTCTGCCGGGCCCCAGTTGCCTTCATACACGGTGGCTCCGGCACGACGTCGACGATCCACAAATTGGACGCCGTGGGTCTCCAGCAACTGATCCGCCATGGGTCGGTCCGAAGGATCAGGAGAGATCATCCATCGAACAATCTTGTCCAGAGCCTGTTCGTGGTTCGCATCGATCATGAAGCTGGGGGGTTCGATGAGCTCGTCACTGCGGGCAAGAGGGACGGCTTGACGAGGGCGACTCGTCGGGAAACTATCTTCTCCAAAGTCGTCATCGCCAAAGTCCGAGGCACAGAGCTCTTCGAACGACGGCTCCTCTGAGATGGGATTACCAGAAGGGTCCCGGAAGATGCTCGTCTCGGAGCTCCAGGTAAGGCTCGGCACGTCACTCATGTCGCCATTGCGAAGCTTCTGCCAGGAAAGCCCGTTGTCGGGCAGCTCCACATTGCCCGCGATCTCGAACATAATCAAGCCGAGGGAGAAGATATCGGCGGGCTTATCGTAGCGGCCCATCAAGATCTCGGGCCCAATGTACTCGCGATCGCCTTCGCCGTCGATTCCGTCCTCTGCAGGCCACCGGGCGGCCATACCGAAGTCGGCGATCTTCAATACCCCCTCAAAAGTAATCAAGATGTTCGCTGGCTTCAGGTCAAGATGGATGAAGCCTGAGTCGTGGATATGTTTGAGTCCCTACTGCAGGTTAGCTGGGGAAGGCCGCCATCATGCTTTACACCAAACCACGGAAGTCAAAACAACATACCACAGACAATTCTAGCAGGATTTTCCAAATCCGGAAATCATCGAGTCGAGCCTTGAGGCCGACCTGGGCGAGGAAAACGTCCAAGCTGCCTTCCTCACAGAACTCAGTCTGAATGTAAAGATAGCCATGATCTTCCCAACTATCGACCAAGGAGATGACGTGGTCGGAATTGGCGAGAGCCTTGAGGGCATCCACCTCGCGAATACGGCGCTCACGATCTTTCAGTCCCACATATGGCTGCTTTGATTTCTTGACCGCCCACACCCGGTCCGGCAAGGTTTTGGGTGATGTGGTCCCGCTCGGCAGAGAAAAGATTGACGAGGCCGACGTGGTATCGGGCTGGGCCACACGGTAGACCTGGGAAAATTCCCCGGTTCCCACGAGCTCAATCTGTTCAAAGCGCGAGGTCAAACTCGGATCCACGTCGGGGGCATTGTAGCCATTCAGGGGCAAACTCGGCCGCTTCCCAGCCAACACAAAGGAATCACGGGGACCAGTGGGGGTCGCGGGCAGCGTGGCGGAGTGGAAGTCGGGCTGGATTGAATGCTGATCATTGGCAGCGGAAATGGAGAGACCGCTCGGGTCGGGTGGAAAGAGATGAGAATCTCGCGGCGTGTGGGGGGATCCACGCTGGAACTTGTCGTGGAGGGGGCTCGAGTTGGTTCCTCCGAGAGTCTCGGAGAGCCTCTCCAGCGAGGCAATTTGGGAGGTGGCGGGTGGGTAGGTGCGGGATGGGAAGAAGGTCTGTTTCGTCGGGGTCGGAGGAAAATCGTTCTCGCCCATGGGTTGGCTGTCCATCTGGGCGGAGGGAGACTGAGATTGGGTGATGAGCTCATCGCCATCCACGCTCACAAAGCTGCCCCGGCGCGAGAGGTCCGGCTTGTTGAAGGAGCTCCCGAAAATTCCCATACCCCGGCCAAACGGGCCCGGCTTGGGACGAGTACTGGAAAGGTGGGAGGGGGAGGGAGGTGCGGCGGCATCGGCGTGGGGAACCATCCGGGGCCGTTCCCACTCGCCGAGCGGTTTCTGTCCGGTGGGAAACAGATTGATGGGCCGCTTGCACGGGGTATCGGGCATGTTTTTGCTGTAGCCCAGGGAGCTTTGATGGTCTTCAGCATTGCGATTCCGCTTCGAGATGAGACCCGTCGACATGAACGCGGCCGGAAGAGGTTTGACGAGCTTGTAGTTTTCCGGCGTCGCAAACGAGTCCACGGATGATGTCGAGTCCTCCCGGGAGAGGTGACGGACCGGGGCTGGTCTGGTCGCCCCCGCCGGAAGGGACTTGGAGAAATTGAAAACACCCTTGGGCCGCTCGAGCTTGTGCATGGGTTCGTGGGTGGGCGAATCGTCGGCCAAGCTGGAACCCGAGGAGGACTGCGTGATGGTGCGAGACAGGGGATGCGCAGCCGGACGCGTCGGTCCCGCGCCGGGGTGATTCGTTGAGAAGAGAGGGCTCACCGGTGCGGGTCGGGGTGAAAACAGGCTGTCCCGATTTGGCTGGAAGAGACCGCCGTCCAAGGACATGCGGGGGCGAGCCGGGACCGGGGAAGCTGGGTCCAGGGTCTCGTCACCCATGTTCCGAGGGCGGGAGAAGAGCGAGCGATCCACTTGACGCTGTTGGAGCGTCGACCGACGGAGCGAGGAGGAGCGTTTCGGGATGGTATTGAAAGGGCTGCTAAAAGGAGGCGTGGTGGAGGGGAAAAACGACGAAGCCTCATGGGCCATGGGGGTCTCGGCAGAGAAGTCTTCGACGGGGTTGGCGGACGGGCCTTCATTGTCAAAGATACTGAAATCGCCCGCGTAGGTGGCAGCGTGCACACTGCGCCTCTTGGCTGAAGGACTGCCGCGCGACGCCCGGTCGAGATGCATGATGCCATCGCTGCGCTTTAATGGGCTGACCGTGGCAAAGGAGCCAAACGTTCCGCTGCGGCGCTTCTCGATTCGAGACAACGACGGTCGCGGCGCCGGCGTGGAGTCGGCGGATGTCGATCCGTCATTTAAGCACATGGTCTCCGCGATGGCATCATCCGAGAGACTCTCCAGGTCGCCTGGTGTATTCTCCGCACCGCTTGGCGACGTGGTCATCATGACTGGAGCCGGCGGGATCGGCTTTGCATTCCCTTGATCGGTGGAGACGTTGAGAGCGCGCTTGACGGGGCTGCGTGGCGAGGTCCGCGTCCGTCGCATGACGGGCCGTGTGATTTTGGCACTTTGGGGGTAGGGAAGCGCGAAGGGAGACGGGTGAGACGAACTGGGGAAGAGCACAAAGCTGCTTTGGCTGGAGCGCCGCGATGGCGACAGCGCAGAGGAGATGAAGGGTGTGGATTTGGAGGGCGAGTGACTTCGCGAGGCGAGAAGAGAGAAGTTGGAGCTCTTGGACGGAGAGCGCGACAACGAGCGCCGCAACTGTCGGATGGCGGAGCTGGCATCAACGTGATGGATTCCTGTGTGAGACGGCAGATGGAGAGTGCCGCCCGCATCCCGGTGCGGTGAAAAAGTTGCCACCATTTTTGTGTGAAAAGGATTGGGCGGCTGAGGTTGGTGGGAAAAGCGAGTTGTCGTGTTTCTAAATGTGGTTTGATGAGGGGTGTAAGACACGCAAGTCACAGAAAAAGACTCCAACTCGCGACTGGCGGCCACAACAACAACAATCAAGGCCCGGTGACGGTGCTGGGTATTGTATGTCGTGGGCTTACCGCTGGAGAGGCCGAGCAGAATCAACGCACCGTTGGAATGTGTGAGGGAGTTTTGGGCGCAGCAACAGCTCATGCGGCACAAACAAGATCAACAAATGCGAAACCAGTGATGGTTACACATCACCAGATCATGGCGCGCACTCGAAGTTTGGTGAGCCCTTGGCAATACTTCCCATGCAAACTCCCGACCGGAGGTTTTTTTGTTTTTCTTTGGCAGAGGGCAACAAGAGAGAAGGGGGGGCTAGCGCGACAGAGCACGAGAACGAGAAAAAAGCGAGGCAGAGGCTCCTTGGTTGTCCAGCGCAAACAGTGTTTTTTTTGGGGGGGGGGGAGGGAGGGTTCCAAGCCACGCGCCTGAAACACCACGGGATTATTGTCCGGTCTTCCCACCTGGCAATGTTTGAGGTGAGAAGGGGGGGGGGAGGCGCGCGCAACCAAATCGACGTCAGGAATGTTTCGAAGATTGACAACAAAGACGTCAGAGAAACAAGCGCGACGCGAACGGGGGAGTCTCCGGAACGACAAGCAGGAGGAACCGGCGCGACGAGGTGTGACGCGCAGGGAGGATGCAAAGAATTAGGGAAGCAAATTGAAATGCAAGACGATGCACACGAAACACTGAGGGGCGCAGGAATTCGCGAGACGGCGAGGGAGCGAGAGCGAGAGCGAGAGATTGCAGCGACGGCGGGCGACGAAAGGGCGGATTTGACTGATTGAAGGGGAATGGCCGGCAGCAAGATGCTTTCTCCCTTGAGTCACCCTTTCTTCCTTTAAACGCTGAATGGCCTGCTCTTTAAAGCAGAGCGACAGGGTGCGCAAGGGGGGGGGTTTCCGGCCGAGGGTTTTGGGGAGGGAGAGTCGTCAAAGAGGATCCAGACAACCACGCGACGACGAGCCGACCAGCAGAGGAGGAGGAGGAGGAGGAGCGGTTACTGTTTCGAGCAAGAGAGGCAGAGAGACTCTGACAGAGGAAGGAAGGGATGGAAATTATCGATTGGAAGTTGCGGTATGCAGACTCGAAGAGGGTCAGAGGTTCAGACCAGCAGGCGATAAATCATCCGAGGGAGGGGAGGGGTGTGTCGATGGATAAGGGAGGAGGATAGTTTATCTATGGAGTCCTGTTAATCTCAAAAAAAAAAAAAAGGCTGTGGATGATTGAATTCCTCTTTTATTTTTAATTCCTTCTTTCTGGTCATAGTCAGATGGATCCCAACTTACTTTTTTTTTTTTTTAATGAATTACAGAGTAGTGATGATGGGGAAGAGAAAGGAAAAAAAAAAAGAGTTTCAGGTACGTGAGAACGAACTCTCAGGCACCGACAGTAAGTAGGAGGAGGAGGAGGAGGAGGAGTTGATGATAGTACTACTCAGGTTACTACTACTACTACTCCTCCTCCTACTACTACTACTACTACTACTACTACTCCTACTACTACGAGCAGAGGAATTCGCCCCCCGTTCGAGTCGATTTGCACGCGCACCGCGTCGTTTGTTGTTGATGGCTGAGCCTCAGTTGGGTTTAGCGCCGGGAGCGTCACGCGTGTCCAGTTCGAGTGGGTTCGATCATACGATACCATACACATACACTCAGTACTAGGTACTACATAGTACTACGTAAGTACAAACTACTACCTACTACTAGGTAGTGTAGTTTGTTCGTATTCTTGAGAAACTTGGACGAAGAGGGTGAATTATTGCAAACTATCGATCTACCAGATGAGGGGGGGGGGGGAGAGAGAAGGAATAAAAAAAAAAAACTACTCCGTAATGTCTCGATCTACATCAACATCAGCAGAACAGCTGGCCAGATGAGTTGTATAACAGTGGAGTTAGTAGTGAACCTACCTACCTACCTAGTGACCAAGGTAATGGAAGCATGACTGGGTAATACTTACATAGTATACACTCAGTACATGGCCCCTGCTCGCTCCGATCGATAATGTTGATAAGCATAAGGCCATCCACGGACACGCGGGGGACGACCAGATAAGTACTGTACTTACTCGGTACCATCATACTATCTAGTAGGTAGATAATCTAGGATTCTAGTATCGACATCACCAAAATGAGGGAAAAATCATGATCTCTCTCCCTTGCAGGTGCTGAAGGTTAAATCTTCAATCAGTCCACTTTTACCGGGGGGCTTGACTGTTTCCATTTCAATCAATAGTCCGGAGGATTCTTCGTCTTCTTTGCATCAGCCCAGGTTTCCCCCAGGGTTTGTTTGTTTGTTTGTTTGTTGACTGGCGACTGACTCCTTTTGCCACGGTACGGTAATTGTCGGTATTGATTGATACCCAAGGGACTGAAGGTACCTACTCTGTACTTCCATGTCCATCTACTACTGACTACTGACTTCTACTCCATTCTGCCCTGCGATTCGTTTCCCTAACCTTAACTTCCCCTCCAGTCCTTATTCCTCGCTATTATTATAGATTACTCCGTAGACTACCTACTCATAGACTATACTTCAGTAGTAATCTCTACGACAGACTACATACACTCTTGCCGTCGACCGTATCGATAAGTATCAACTATCGATGAATTCTCATACGGTCGACATCCCCAGATCCTCATCAACTCCTACAACGAAAAATCAAGAGGAAACTCCAATATACACCACCCTTGATTCAATCTATTGGACACTCTCATGATCTCATCACTCCATTCCAGCAGAACCACCTCTCTGCCTCACAATACCAAACTCCCCGGATGAAGCACCCCTTGCACTAATCCCTTCCCCTCCCAGACGAGCCATCTCCTGTTGAACCCCTTCCAACATCCTCGCCGCCAGATCAGGCCGGACTCGGCTCGCGGGGCCAAACACTCCAAAATCTAATCGATTATCGCGAACCGCCACCTCCACATCTAACGTTGGCTGGAATATGACAGGTCCCGTTAGCTTCTGGCTCCTAAGGTCGTTGATACCTCCCTCCGTATCATCGCGCACTGTTCCCCGCCCCCATCTGCACGGGATGATCGATAAACCCAAGTTCCCACTCACCTTGAATACGTCCTGGAGCGGTTTCATCGGGTTCCCACCATCCTGCCCTGCGTTGCGGTCGCTCTCTTGGGCGTCCGGAGAAGGCGCCGCCGGTGGAGCGCGGGCTTCCTCCTGCCCGACCAACAAGGTCGCCTCCTGAGCCGTAACAGACGCAAAGCGAACCCCTTGATTCCCCCCCGTTTCATCATCACCGGCCTGAGGCATTTCTGGGAACCGCAAGAAGTTCACGCAAGCGTCCACCGTGACGCCCGTCCACCCTGCAAGCTCCACCGCCGACACCCCGGCATGTTCGACGCGGCTGATGTCATTCAGCTCCTTTTGGATCTGTTGCGCCGCTGCAAAAACTGACAGGTCATTCCCATGCTTATCGTCGATCCGCAAGGGAACAATATTCAGAGTGGGCGCCATGAGATCTGGGAGCCCCTCCATGCTATGTGATCGATTGGCGAGATACAGCCCGATCACCGCCCGGCCTGATGATCCTTTCCCGCTCAACTGCGCATGAACACGAATGTAGACGGCCAGCACAATCGCCTGCACACTGACATTCTCCCGCCTGGCAGCCTCTTCGACCCGAGACATGTTGGCGATCAATCCCGGGTGGTAATAGGACTCAATGGCGCCAAAGGGGATGGAACTACCGGGCATTGGGCTCTCATTGTCACCGGCCTTACCCAAGTAATTTTCCCAGAATTGTCTTCGAATATCCACAGGCGAGTGCGTCTTTTCGAACGCCACATAGCGCCGGAGATCAGCATGATCGCTAGGCAAGGAAGCATCCCGGTTGTCACAGAGCGTAGCCAAAGCGTCAACCAGCCTGGGAAGGCTAACGGCGTCGTACAATGCATGGTGGATATGAAGCTTCAGAGCCGTCCCTCGACTGGTTTGGCAGGCATGCAGAGTCAGCGGTACCGACCCGATGCTCCGCTGCGCGGCCGGCGATGTTGTGAATTGATGCACCTCGTCATGCCAGACGATCGGGCTGTCAACGGTCTTCAGGATCGCTTGCACAAACGGAACGCGTTCGTCATCCGTCCGCAGGAACGCAGTTCGTAATATAGGCAGTTGACGTAAACCATCCCATGCGTCGTTAAGCAGGTCCGGCTGCAGGACTTGGTTGGCCACGTAGTTGAAATTGGGGTAGAAACTCTGCGGATTCAAGGCATTCATAGCCAGGAAGTAGATTTGTCCGGACGTCGCAGGGAATACCGTATCAACCTGTTCCGACTCAATGCCGTTCGCTGTCAACAATGCCGTAATGTCGATTTCCTCGAGCGACTTCTCCAGCGTCATGCCGAGATCACCGGATGCGGTCTCAATCTGTGTCTGACTGGCAAGCTGGGCCATCCCTACAATGGTACCCGCTTTGAGCATGTCGCTAACCGTGAGTCTCACCGCGCGTTTCTTCAAGAGTGCGGCCACCTTGATGGCACTGATACTGTCTAGCCCAAGGTGGAAGAGAGTGGCTTCTTTCGTAATTTGTTCCTCCGACACGCCCGAGACTGCAGCGAGAACGGCGCGGATCTGCGATTCAACACTGGACCATTCTGTCAGACGCGGCGACAAAGCCTCCCTCTTCTCCTCCATGGTACCATTCAAGGAAACCTCCTGGAACGAGACACCCCCGCAGATCCTCATGCCTCCGTCAACGAACTCGATAGTCTGTTCGTTCGGCACCTGCACGACACGGGATAGAACCTCGTCCATCCTGCTCAGGATCTCTTCGGTATCCCTCTCACCCAACACATCATCTCGGCCAGCAACTCTGCAAACCACGTCTTGTGCAACACTCTCTATCTCGACACAGACAGGGTAATCGGTTGCCGAGGAGCCGCCAGTCGACTTGTACAGTGCTGGAGCGCTGGAACCAACTTCCACGGGTCTCTTCTGATAGATGAACAGTGTGTTGAAGAGCTGACCGGCACCGATATCCGGCCGTGCCTTGCGGAGAGGGAAATGCTGATGCTCGGACATGTCCACCAATGTGCTTTGGATGTATCTGACCATCTCCAGCCGCGAGCCGTGGAGAATCGCGCGCATGGCGACAGTGTTCATGGTTGGGAACATCACGCTTTCCGAATCGATCAGATTGCGTCCTGAAAAGACCAGTCCAAAGACGACATCCAGCTTCTTGACGTATCCAGCCAGTGCGAGTGCCCAGCAGCTGACACAGAGTGCTTGCATCGTGAGTCCGTTGCGCTTGCAAAACTTCTCAGCTGCCCTGTTCGAGACGGAGAGCGATCTTTCCATGCGATAGACGATTGACTGATCGTCACCGGCAAACTGACCCTTTGGAAATGAAGTAGGAACCGAGTTCGCTAGTAGGGCTCGCCAGAACTTGGCCGCACCGTCTCCGGAGGACGCGAGGATGCTGTTGAGGATGCCATCATATCCAGGTCTCTGGCAATGTTCACCCGAGTAGCACTTTGCAACGTCTTCGTGAAGAAGGTTGATTGACCAACCATCGTAAAGAGAATGGGCGATTGAGAGAATTAAGTATCGTCTGTCAGAGTCAACAGCGATGGATACCGTCAGCAGTGGTTGCGGTGCCTGCTTTGAAGCCGCACGCAAGCGGTGTTCTTCGATTATGGCCTCGACAGGTTTCTCGTTCAGATCGAATGTCTGGATGTCAAGGTCAGACTCGCGATGAACAATTTGGGCGTACGAGACGGGGATCTTCGGGTCCCAAATTTCGACGAATGAAGTCCGCAGAATGGGATGGGCTTTGACCACTGCATTCCATGCATCGCGCATTCGCTCAACATCCACATGCGGCTCCAGCTCAAGGACATCGTGGTTGTAGTAATTTTTGTAGTTGGAAGCAACCATCTCAGCCATCATGGCTTCTTGTAAAGGCGTAGCCGGCAGAATACGGTCCCAATCATTTGCAATGTCTGTTTCCTTCTCCATGAATTGCCTGAGTGCATCCTCGAGCTGAGTCAAAGTCGCGTGCGGATCTTTCTGCGAAGTGCCGTTTGTCGTCGCCAAATGCTCGCTCATCTTTTCAATCGTCTGATACCGCATGATCATACTGACAGTCAGTCGGATGCCGGATTTGCTTAATCTGGAAGAGAGCTTGATGGCATCTATACTGTCCAATCCAACCTCAAAGATTGACGTTCTTGGGCTAAGGGATTGTTTCTCATCACCCGCGAGCCCTGCAATAGCATCTCGAATGATATATGCCTCAGGCGTCCAATGGAAGTTGCTCTCATCTTCAGCGGTCTGAACTTCATTCTTGAGCGTCACTGTTTCGGAGACATCGCTTTCTGACGCCTCAGGAAGTTCCATCGCCGGATCCTGCGAGAGAGCGTGCAGCTGCTTCTCAAAATTTAACAGGATCTCCTGTGCTGTCTCTGTTGACATAACGTGATCCTGCACTGCTATTGTTGCTGTCAAAGAGCTGTGACCATTGCGACTGACCTCAAAAGCCAGGGGATACTCATGATTTGCCTCAGTGTATGCTTCTTCCCATAGCTCACGACTCCTCGGTTCACGGTCGTTGGCAGAGCGCTGGAACACGAATAGCGAGTCGAAAAGAGGCTCGGTAGGGATTCTCTTCGTCCACTTCATGATATCTCGCAGAGGGGTGTGTTGATACGGCAAAGTGGAGGTATGATAATCATGACATCTTTGGATGACATCGGACCAGGTCTTCAAACGGCGGAAGTTGACGTTGCTGGGAATGGTGTTGAACAAAGGCCCAATGACCTCCTCTACCCCAGCCAGGTCCAATGCTCTTCCTGAAACAACAATCCCTATGGTGGGAACAAATCCGTATTGGTGGTGGAGTGTTCGCAGCCAGCATGCGTGAAGGATTGCTTGCTCCGTGACATTGAGCACTTTCCTAAGGTTGTCCAGGCATTCTGTGCCATTTATATCGATCTTCTGGGTAAATGCGGGATGGCTAGATGACTTTGATTTTGGCAAAGCTTCTCTACGCGCATCTCCCAGATGGTCCATCCAGAATTTCTCCGCCAAAGGATCCTTGCACAAGGGTCCTGCTGGTAAAGCTTCCAGGAAGGAGGTTGGTGTGCCAGGTGATATCTCGCCGAGATAGTTTCTTGCTACCTTCTCCATGAGGAGCGCGAAGCTGTTGCCGTCATATAGAGCATGGAAGATGTTGAGGTACATCAAGGATCCGCTTGGAGACTTGACCAGGCACACCTCCCACAGATTCTTTGAGAGGTTGTCCAGGCTGCAAATCCATGTTTTGAACCTCTGTTGACGAACTTCCTCCGCTTCTTCGTCAGAAGATACTGTCATCTGGGAACATGGCAGCTCATTCTTCCTCATAAAAATTTGTGCGTACCCGTCTGGTGTAGCCGCAAGTCTCACGCGTAACATGTCCACTTCAACTTGGGTCTGGGACCATGCTCTCTCCAAACGCGCAAAGTCGACGTGTGGTTGAAGGTTGAAGACGAAAGATGAACAATACGGGGCTTCGCTCGAGTTCAAGAACTGGTAGATGATACCCTCCTGGAGTGGTGTACAGGGGGCAATAGCTTCTATGTCAGCAGCTGAAACACCAATAGACTCTACCACGGCATGGGCATGCCGGTGGCTGAAAGCATCCATAGTCTGCCTCGCATTCTTGGTGAGGCTTGTTCGGCTGATCAAGGGGGCCTTGAACTGCTCCAAAGCAGACGCCAATCCGGAAACCGTGGGATCTAAGAAGACGATCAGCAGTGTCTTGTAACTATAGTATGAAAAAGGGGCTATCGTACTCTTCATGATCATGGCTGGGTGAGCCTGATGGAAGCCTGCATCCTTCAGGCGTCTTGTGAATGATATGACGGAGATCGAGTCCAAGCCCAGCTCATAAATGCTAGACCATGGTTGAATCTCGCTCTCTTCAGTCTCGATGAACTTCGCCAGAACAGATCTGATCTTCTTCTCCTCGTCACTATCACGGGAGGCTTTCGCGGTCAAGGCAGTCAAATTCTGTATCTCTTCGAGAGACAGCTGCTCATAGATCGCCTTCAGGACCTTGTTGTCTATCTTGTTATTCGGAGAGAGTGGTAACGCAGTCATAGGGATGATATGCGTTGGAACCATATAACCGGGGAGACTATTGTGACAGGCATCCTTCACCTGCGATAGGAAAGTATGGTCATCTTGTGAAAAGCGGACCTCAATCGACCGTGATTTCTTTCCGCCAGAATTCCTGGTAACGAAAGAAACGAGCTGTTCCTTGGACTGCATCGGATGCTTGATCACCAAGGTAGAGATTTCACCTAGTTCCGAAGTCGCATGCTTGATTACCTCGTTGATCTCGCCAATCTCCAGTCTCTGCCCGCGGAGCTTGACTTGATCATCGATGCGACCTAGAAACTGGAAGCACCCATTGTGCAGGATGCGGACCAAGTCACCTGTTCTATAGATCCTCTCATCATACTCGCTCAGGTACTGGAACCGCTCTTTGGTCAACTCTGCACAGTTGAGATAGCCGCGACCAACAAGAGCACCAGAGACACAGAGCTCACCAACGCCGCCACGAATAACAGGTGTACAGGTTCCCGGGGCAAAGACATACGATCCAACATTGTCAAATTGGGGCCCAATGTTGGATGGCTTTCCGTTAACGGGTACTCTGGGGAGCATGGTACACCCGATCGTGACCTCTGTTGGCCCGTAGCCGTTATAGATGACCTCATGCTTGCCCCATGCGTCCAGAATCTCTTGCTTCAGAGCCTCACCACCGGTGATGAATACTCCTCTACACAAAGAAGGAACTTCGTCTGGGAACACCAGTCGTGCCAGACTGGGAGTGAGATCAATATGGGTGATTTGCAACCGGTTGATGGTCCCAGGTAGATCCTCAAACAGCAAGTCCCGCGGGCACATAGTGACACAAATACCTACACTCCAGCTCCAATATTGCTCGAGGACGCTGACGTCAAAGTGGAAGGACGCAAACTGAAGCCATCGCGATTCCTCGTCCCAGTGGCCGGCAAACAGTCTCTGGAAGGCTAGCATGGCCTGTACAGCATTGTCATGGGTGATTTCGCATCCTTTCGGCGTTCCTGTGGTCCCTGACGTGTACAGGCAATAGCATGTATCGTCAGGACGGATTTCACGAGCTAGGACGAGTGGAGCACAGGAAATGTCTTCTAGCAAGCCAGGCTCATCCAATGCAATGAGGTCAACATTTGACAACTCTCCAAGCGCTGCTCTGCCGCCGGAGGTGCAAAGCAGAACCTTAGCGCCGGAATCCTCCAGTATGAACTGCTTGCGCGCTATCGGGGCATTGGGGTCGATTGCGACATACGCGCAGCCTGTTTTCAACACACCAAGAATCCCCAAAGACGCCTCGGGGCATTTGTCAAAGCAGATAGCGATCAATGATCCAGGTGTCGCCCCCCTATTCTGCAGCAGACGCGCGATCCTATTACCATCGTTGTTCAATTCACGATAAGTCCAAGTCTGTTTCTGGATGCCTTCTTCGGTAATTTCAGATGCGAACTCGAAAGCGATCTTTGAAGGAATAGCAGCTGCCTTCTCCTCGACGAATGAATGCAGTAATGTCACTGTCGAGGGGAGACTCTTTTCATTGGCGGGCGTGACAGAGAGCAGACGATCGCCGAGAGACGAATAGTTGCTACAGTTTGAGTCGGGGGACAGGATACTATTCTTTAGCAGAGCATCGAATTGCTCCAAGATGATCTTCGCATGTTCGTCAGGAACAACATCGCTCCTGTGCGTCAAACGGAATTCTAGCTCTGCTGCATTCGGGACAAGCTCTATGGAAACCGGATACTAGAACTTATTAGTCTCGGCCATTAAAAGCAACATCGGAACGGTCTTACATCAATGCTTGCATCTTCATCGACTATGCGCCAGAAATCTGTGTTGTTTTCATGCGAAGCGAATTTCTGATAGACAAATAGCGTGTCAAACAGGCCCTCCTCTGATTTCAACCACCTTTGTATCTTGGACAACGGCGTGAACTGATGTTTCATCAACATCGAGTTACGCTTTAGCACTTCATGCAGGAACTCGCGGTTGGTCCCAGAAACCCGGCAAGGGGCAGGTACCGTTACCAGGCATGGAAAGGCAGCGTTCTGAGCGGCTGGAGATAAGTTACGGCCTGAGAACACAACCCCAAAGCAAACATTCGGTTCTCCAGTATACGCAGACAGTACCCTGGCCCAAGATGCTTCTGCTGCAGCTTGCAGGGTCACGCCCAACTCCTGGCAGCCATCCTCGAGTATCTTGAGCGAACTTGTGCACACCCTGGATTTGACCAGCAGTTCTTTTTTCTCAACACGTTCAGGTTGCAGATCTGGAAATCTCGTTGGTTGCACCTCCTTCGCTATTTTCGTCCAGAAGTTCAGCGACTCGTCCTCGAGCGAGCTCTCTACCAAGATCGGGCCGAGGGTTGAGTTGATCGAAGGGGCATCGCCTAGCGCCTCTCCTGCGTATGCTGCTGCAACATCTGCAAAGATTTGCTGCATGGATTGCGCATCGTAGAGCGCATGGAGGGCAGAGAATCGAACGACAGTTGCGGTGTCAAAATGCTCAACGGTCAGCGACCAAGGAACTTGATGAAGTTCCTTGAGCATATCCACGCCAGATGGAAAAAATGTACGTGTTGTCTCAATATTTGTGCCTTCGTACCACGGGAGCTTCGCCATTGTCTGTCGATACGTTATCATTGCAAAGGGATACTTTTCATTCTTGAGCTGCACGAAACCTGTCCGGAGCATCTCATGCTTGGCCATGACTTTCTGCCATGCTTCTTTGAGGGCATTCTTGTTCAAAGGACTTTGAGATTTCATAGTCGTATGGTTGAAGTACAGATCGCCGTTTGTGTTTGAGAAGGTCGCCAGCATCCCGTTCTGGACCGGAGTGCATGGTCGTAGGTACTCCACTGTCTCTTCTGCGATTTGCAGCTCTTTGCATGTCGCGTGCAGATGTTGAGACGCAAAGGTATCGAAGTCGAAGTTCTTTATTTCAATTTCGTTTCTGGGTGATTCGAGTAGTTTGGCTATCTCAGTCACGCTGGCAGCCTCCAGAATACTGCCTGCAGATATTTCATAACCGCGATTCCGCAATTTGGAGGATAGTTGGACTGCGTTGATACTGTCCAGGCCGAGTTGGAAAATAGTCGTACTCTGCGAGATGGAGGTTCTATTGGCTTTTGCAAAATCTCCCAGGATATCTCGAATCTCCTCTTCCTGAAGGGTCCAGGGCCGAACATCTGCGGCGGTAGCGGAGCCCAAAACCTCAAACTTCTTGGCCTTTCGAGATACCTTGTCGGGAAGTGAAGGTAACGCACTTCCTAAAGCTCGCCTGTCAGAGGCCTGCGCATAAGGATACTTCAGTGTTTGGGAGATGATTGCGGCGAACTGTTGAGCAGCCAACTCTGCGTCCTGGGGCGAGATGCACGAGTTTTGGCTGTGGAGGCATATTTTGACACTGTCTCCATTGTCACCTGGAATTATTTCACAGATGAGAGGGAAGTCCATGTTTCCTTCCTCAGAGGTCATTTCCCAGATCTTGTCGTCAAGATTGTGGGCCCTGGTCTGGAGTATGACCATTGTATCAAAAAGCTGCGAGCCATCCCCTAATACCCGTGACTGGATGTGGCGTAGTGAACTCAGCTGATGGGGAATAGTATTATTATTGCTCTTCTGTGCCGCTTTCATGAGGTCCTCATTTGTACCGCCAGTCGGAAGTGCGAGGCGCACGGGAAGGGTATTGAAGCAAGGACCGACAATTCGATCTGCACCCTCCAGTGGTATAGTCCGACAACTAAAGACATTCCCGAAGCAGACATCATTTGAATCAGTATATATCGAAAGTAAGCGCGCCCAAGCCGCATGGAACACATTCAGTGGCGCAACTGAGAGCTCTCTGCAACGTTCTTTGAAAAAAGTGTAGGATAAATCCAATTTGGCATAACTCTGGTGCGATTTCCCATCTTCCGCTGCGTCATTGTTGATCTTGCGCCCACCAACAAGAGTCTGCGTCATTTCAAAGAGATAGTTGTCCCAATAGCCCTCCTGCTCCTTCGCGTCAACTTGAAGCATGTACTCAATGAAGCTGTCAAAAGTTACAGGCTCTGGTAAGGGTGAACCCGAGAGTGCAAGCTGTACTTCGTCCAGTAGTTGCCCCAAAGCTTCACCGTCATACATGGCATGGTGCATAGAAAGGAGAAGAAATGACTTCTCCGACTTCGGATCTGTGAAAAGTGTAAGTGAGTACGGGAGGGAATCACCTAACTGATAGGCTGCTTCGAAACGGCTCTTTGCCTTTGCAACCTCTTCGTTTAAGTCTTCGGGGGATACTTCAAGTGAGGCCCATGGAAGGGAGATGCTCTCCATCAAGACCTGTGCATAAGCGAACCGAGGGTTGTTCGTTGCTTTGAAATAGGTCCGGAAAATCTGGTGTCTTTCGGCTATCTGACTCCATGTCTTTTGGTGGCGTTCATGATCACCCTTGATCGTAAATAAGGTATGGTTGAAGTATGCTGATGTGCTTTTTGAAGCTTCTACCGACAGCATCGCTTCTTGTAAAGGTGTGCAGGGATATATAGATCGAGCCGTTCTGCCAAGTGGTTTGAAGTATTCTTGCGTCTGCGCCACGAATTCAGCGTCGAATACTTGACTGATTTGCACAGCTGCTGTGTCTCTCTTGTGGCCTTTGGCCGAGTTCTCTTGAATAGCTTTGGACAATCGGGCAACAGAGCTATGGCGCAGAATCATGGAGACATCCACTTGGCCAAGTCCAGACTCCCGCAGCTGCCGTGAGACTGATATGGCTGATATAGAATCAAGTCCCAGGTTGTAAAACGAAGTATGCCTCCGAATACTATAAAATTCTGCACCGGTGACACTCGATATGATCGTCGCTATGGTTTGTTCGAGCTCAGAGAAACCCTCATCGCCTTCTTCGTCCTGAAGGTTTGGCGAAAACAAATGCAGATCCTCGAACGCAATCTTCTGAAGGTGCTCCTGTAGCTTTCTCTTATCCGTTTTACCGTTATCTGTCAGTGGCAGACTGTCAACAGGAATGAGAAGCGAAGGTATCATATATATCGGGAGCATTGAGACAAGCTTCTCGTGGAGAGTGTGAATAGCGGATCTCAACACCGAAGTTTCTGTCAGCTTCAATGAAGCCGAAGGTACCCAGATTGAGACCAGTTGCTGCTGCTTCCGAGGACCAGCCTCTAAAATCATACTTGCACAATCTTGCACGGTGTGGGATTGAAGTAGAACACTGTTGATTTCGCCCAGTTCGATACGCTGGCCTCGCAACTTTACCTGATCATCTCGGCGTCCGATGATCGAGATAGAGCCATCTGGGAGCATTCTTCCATAGTCGCCGGACCGATAAAGCCGTCCGTACGTGTGGTGTTCAACGAACTTGGCAGCCGTCAAATCGGGCATATTCAGGTATCCTTGAGCCTAGGGGGTGTCAGCTATGTGATTTTGTTCATATCTATGGGTCAACTCACAACTTGATCACCACCAAAGCACAGCTCGCCAATTGCTCCCCGTGGTGTCAGGCAAAAGTCAGTATCGTCAGTGACAACGAATGCAGACGTATTCTTCAGAGGAGGGCCGATGTTATTAATTTGGGTAGAAGCCTTGACATCAGTCATGACGGTACAAATGTTCGTTGTCTCACAAGGACCATATCCTGGACAGTTTTAGTATAAGATGACTACCCATCTGTTTAAAGTCGCAAGCTTACCCTGATAGAGTCCTTTACCCGCCCAATCGTGATGTACTTTGGTCGTCAGAGCTTCGCCAGCCGTTACCAGAAATTGTACACCAGGTACTTCTTCTGGATTGATCAAACTTGCGACTGTTGGTGTTAGGCTGAGATGTGTGATCCCAAGATCTCGAATGACAAGCTCGATGTCTCGGAATAGAATGTCGTTTGTAGTGGAACACAGAGTCATGCCAGCATGCCAAGCAAACAGAATCTCGAAGACAGAGACTATATTGACCGGTCAGCTCTCCACTCATCAGCAAAAAGAATATATAGACCGACCATCAAAGGCATGTGAGCATGCTTGGAGTAGTTTGGACCCACTAGGCGTGGGATATAAGTCCATGAGAACAGCAATATTACTCTGTATATTGTGATGCTTAACTAGGACACCTTTGGGTGTACCCGTACTTCCAGAGGTGAACACAGCGTAGGCGATACTGGATCCATCGGTGACTGCTGGTAGATCATGGTGGGAATAATCATCGAAGGAATGAGTGGTCAGATCGATTGATTGGAGAGATTTCAGGGCGCAGAGATCATGTTCTTGCTCGCTTTGAGAATCTGTGATACAGACTCGCGAATTCGATTCGACCAAAATAGTGTGTACTCTCTGCGTAGGAGTTCTAGGAGTCAGAGGAACGTATCCTGCTCCTGTCTTCAAGACCGCAAGAATGGAGACATAGAGGTCTATGGATTTGTCCAGCAGGATCCCAACCAGATCGTGTGGACGAGTCCCAAGTTGCACGAGGTAATGAGCCATGCGATTAGCCCGCACATTCAGTTCCTTGTATGTGATGCTTTCGGTAGTCATTGTTCCAACTTCCGGATCTTGAGAGAGTAAAAATTCGACAGCCACGCGATCAGGATCGATAGCTGCTAGGACCTCAATATTGGCCGCTAGGCTGGGTAGGTTGTGTTGTGACTCAAAGTTCTCATTTTCGATTGATAGTGCCGAATTTGGCAGATGTCGAGGTATGTCCTTGATCAGAAGGTCTGTTGAGTGAACAATCGCCGATACAACGTGGTCGATTTGCTCCAAGAACATATCCACTTGCGCTGCAGGCAGAATTGACTTCTGATATGTCGCCTTCGCCTTGATCCCACCTTCTTTAGGCTCAAGCTCGAGCAACAATGCGTACTCGAGAAAGTCAGCAGCAGCGATTTGCTTAAACGGTGCAGTTTGAGGATGACCCGAATAGATGGTCTCTTGCCAAACAATAGCACTGTCAAAAAGACTTAGGCCAGGATCAATCCCTGAGGCCTTTTTGATGTCTCGAAGTGGTATCGTTCCCTGCTCCAAATACTTGCGGTTCATGTTATGGATAGCCAGAAGAAGATCAGTTACACTTTGAACCCTTTCAAGATCCATGCGCGAGGGCAGAACTCTGATACACGGCCCGATGATTGACTCAATCCCCTGCAGTGGCAATGTACGGCCGGAGAAGACAGTGCCGAATACTACATCGGAAGCCCCTACATAGGACGAAAGAAGGTAGCAGAAGGCAGCTTGAAATATCGCCTGTCGGCTGATGCGCAGTTGATGTGTCAATTGGTCGATCTGAGCTGTTGAAACGTCAAGGACTCGGGTACTCTCACCGCTACCGGCAGGGACATCGTATCTCGGGTGAAAGCTGGGCCATGTGGAAGGCGACATTCCCGATAATTGGTCTCGCCAAAAGAGTAGGGAGTCAGATGCTGAGCTGCGTGGCTGATATTTAAGCAGGTAATCTGTGACGGTCTTATATGATGGCCTGGATGTGGCACCCTGGCCTTCCAAGACGGACTGGAGGTCATTGAGAATGAGATCCCAGGACCACCCATCATAAAGCGCGTGGTGAATATGCACAAGAAGGCGTAGCCGATCGTTTTGAACACTATATTGAATCCTCAATGGATTCAGCATACCATGCTGATCACCAAGAGCCAGGTCATAAGCGAAGTCTTCACTCTGCTCAAATATGTTGTCTCTGAGCTCTTTCCAGGAGAACTGGCTGTAAGAATGACCTCGTAGGCCGATTTCCACAAATCCACAGCGTAACAGGTGATTTTGTTGGGCGATGAGACGTAGAGACTCTTTGACAGCGGCAATGTCGATATGTGGTTCGAATTCTAGCTCAATCCAGTTACAGTATGCCCTTGAATGGCGAACAGTTTCAACGATCATGGCTTGTTGGATATCACTACACGGCCCCGCACCGTCCACCTCCTGGCCAAGCCCTATCGTATCCAGCTTGATTAAAGTAGCCTCGATGATGGGTTGAGAGATCTTCTGCAAATCGACATCATCGAATTCAGCACGATCTTGGCTATGCCTGCTCGAGCCGATGTGGCGCCAAATGGCGTCAACTGAGTCACACTCAAGAATAGTCCCGACTCCAATATTGACACCAGCATCTCGGAGGTCGGCAGCCAACCGTATAGCTCTCAGTGAATCAAGACCCGACGCGGCTAGACTCTCGGTGGATCGGCGGGTCGATGACTGCAGCACTCTCGATACTGATGCGAAGATTGCTTCTTCGATTGCATCGCGAGAAGTATGCTGATCTGGGATTTGGGCTGCCTGTCTCTGCTGGAGACACTGCGACTCCATTAACTTCCGGTCAATCTTTCCAGAGGGAAGCTTGGGAAAGCTGTCCACGAGAATGAATTCTCCAGGAACCATAAACCTTGGGAGCCATCGCCGGCAAGTCTTGCGCAGCTCTTCATCAGTGATTTTGTTGCCACTTGCAAGGATAAATGCAACCAAATTGCCATCAGCCACGATCACGACCGCGCTTCGAACATCCGGTACCATGCATACGGCATGTTCGATCTCTCCAAGTTCAATGCGTTGTCCTCGGAGCTTAACTTGACCACTAGAAATCCGCCCAAAACACTCGAGTTCGCCACTTGGAAGCATGCGCGCCTTGTCGCCCGTTCGGTAGAGTCGACCGTATGTTGCGCTGTGCAGGAATGCTTTGGCGTTTTCTTCCGGTCTGTTGATATAGCCCTGGGTAAGCTGAGGTCCTCCGACTACCAGCTCACCAATGTGGCCGACTGGAAGAATATGAGGCTCCTGGCCTAGTAGATTGTGTTCCGGTTCAAGTGAAACAATAAAGGATGAAACGGTACTGAATGGCCTGCCAATCAGATTCACCCGAGCACTTGCCGTAAAGTTCGACGCAGCAGTACAGTGGATTGCAGCCTCAGTAGGTCCGTACATGCCATAGAGAATTCCTGCGGCATTCGTTGATCCTCCAAATTCATCCACCACCCGTCTGGTCAGCATCTCGCCAATGGTCAAAAGGACGCGCAGCGCCGGCGCCGCAGAACGTTTGCGCAACAGCTCTCCAGCAACAGTTGGAGTGAGCTCGGCCCCATCAACGTCCATCTTTCTCATGACATGCGAGATATCCCGCAGCATCAGCTCTCGATCACAGCCCACGACTGTGGCACCTCTCATGAGAGGGAAGAACCACTCGAAGACTGATACATCAAAGGTCGGGGAGGCAAATTGTAAGAACCGGCGGAACTGGGGGATCAGCTCATCATGAGCCAGTAATGATTGGGTCGCAGCTAGATGCGAGATGCCGACGCCTTTGGGACGGCCAGTTGAACCCGAGGTATACATAACGTACGCCAGATGGGATGCATCGCATTTTCTGACCAAGGATAACTCTTCGATCGAATCCTCTATTTCGAAATCATCGGTGGTGATGACGATCAAAGCCGCGTCGTCTGGCACCTTGCTCGCCAGCGATCGCTGTGTCACGACGACATTCGCGGCCACATCACGCAGGATGAAGCTTATGCGCTCTGGGGGGGTATCAGTGTTCAAAGGACAAAAAGCAGCGCCAGCTTTGAGGATGGCCAGGCATGATATATACAGATCCAATGACTGAGGGAGCAGAACGGGGATGACCACGTTCTGTGGAAGCTGTTCCTGAAAGGGTGCCAAAGCTCTGGTTACCTTGGCCGCCAGTTTGGAGGAAAGGCGATCCAGAGTTTCGTATGAGAGGCTGCGGGTTTCCCCATCAGCAGATAGAAAATCAATCGCTTTCTTGGAGGCCTTGGATCCTCCAAGTGCCAGCTCATGTAAGAGCTGAGGTCCAGGAAGGATGCGGGGGACTGGATTGGAAATGGAAAGGTCAGGGACCTCGTCCGAGGACAGATCCAACTTGATGCCGTCCGTCTGTGCCTGTTTGCAGACAATCTGTTTCAATTGTTTTCCGATCTGGTGTAAGAACGACAGTGGGGTAGCGGAGAACGAGTGCAAAGTACCCTCCCCTGAGACACCATTGAGGACAAATGACAGGGCACAGGATCCCGGCTGCAGCTGATGGTCTCCGTGGCCATCCGCCATCCACAGTTCCGTGTAGCTTTCGGATACCTCAGTCCCCGCATCCAATGTAGCGGGGTGGTATGTCTTGGACGACAGGTCTGCTTTGACCGGTCTCCCGTTCACCATGAAGACCGGGGACTCGTCGGCGGTAAGCGCGAAGAGTAGGTTCGCCCATGAGGATATGTAAATTTGTGAGGAGAGCGCAGGCCCATCCCACGCCCATGGAATAGAGTTTCCCTGAGTAGCGACAGCATTTTCGCTAGTGAAAGGTGGGAGTTGTGTGAAGCGGTCCATGGTGTGAGATGAAGAAAAGCCCTCACAGTTGGGTGGTTTCAGTACATGGAGATTTCTACTCAACAGTAAAAAAGAAGAGAGAAGGAGAGCTGGTCGCAGCTGGACATCATATTTCTCCAAGATAAACGACGACGGGAACCCATAAGAGAAGAAGTTGGATCCCAAAATAAGAAAGTCGGAATGAAAATCTTTGAGGCCTAAGGTGTCGAGACCTGTTGGGTGACTGGGTCTCCGTTTCTTGTTCCTGATTTACAAGGCTAATTTACGTATGTCCGATAATCTGGACGAGTTTCCACCATTGAGATGGTCGATCAGTCTCGGAGGAAAGGCACGAATTTGTAGGAGTTCTGCCCGAACCTGCATGGGTTGAGTGATTCTGGTGGAGGGGTAGAATCAACTCTTAACAGTGAGATACTGAAGGGTAATAAATAATTATGGATACATGCGGGATTTAAACAGAAAAGAAAAGAAAAACAGAACAAGAACCCCTCGATCTGATAAGAAATGACAAGACCGAGCTTCAGATGTGTATTCACTATTCATACGCCCTTCCGTACCAGTCATACGACGATCTTCATCTTCAAATGTCTGTCTGCAATAGAGTCAGTAGTATTATCACACCATATAGCGAGACAAGCGCCGACGTAGGATATATGAACATTATAAACTCGTCTTACGGGCAGGGATCGCATCTGAACTGCTGTAATGATGTTGTGTGCAGTAGCCGGTATTGAATGAAGGTGGGGTTCACACTTCCCAGCGAGCCAGCTGGCAACAGTAGGCATACTAGCATATGATACTCTCCGTACCGTGAACTCGAGGATAATATAAGGCAAATAGCTTCTTCTTCTTCTTCTTCTTCAAGGCTATCAGCTGATTCGGGAATAAATTGGCACCAGATCAAGCTCCGATGAGGGGTACATTGCAAGGAGAGAAGGATGTTTTTTTTTTCCAAGGGGAATAATAATAGCCCACGATCCTCGGACCTCCTCAAACCCCGAGTGTTGCAAGCTTGCAGAATGTAATACTACTCGGCTCATTATTTACATATAATTAGAGGTAAGGCTGGAAGCCTGAAAAGTGATAGCGGTGCCCACAATTAGGTATTTAAGGGATACTGGCCTTCTTCTTCTTCTTCTTCTTCTTCTTCTTCTTCTTCTTCTTCTTCTAGTATAGACTGTACTCCGTATCGTCGTCGTGGGGTGTTTTCAGTCTTGGCGCTCCAACCTGGATGACGTCGAGAAGGTATTCTAAGGCTAAGAAACAATACAATGGCATTTACAGAGGATTACAAACAGTACTAGTACTGAACTAGTTACTGAGTAGAGGTACCCCGCTATAGCTACAAGTTGTTCAATAATAATAATAATATAATACTGAACAGTGAACACTCACAGTATAGCGGATGTACCACAATGCAATGCAAAGGTATATCATACATACATACATACATACATATACTCCTAGACAGAGTGCATATACCAGTCGCACTTGACAAATAATTGAGGCACATGGGTACGGAGAATGGAGGACGGGTTTGGTCGCCATGTAGGTACTACTAGTAGTCAGGGCTGTGGCTCTGATTGTCGGATTACCACGAGTTTGTGGAACTTGAATCAGATTTGAAAAAGCAAAGTTACTCAAACGTTGAAATATTCGGAGGCTTCTTTTGTGAATTGTGTTGCTTCCTTTTTTTCCGACATCGGGCGAGTGCGGATCAAGTATACGGATGGAGTAATCTTCCAGACATTGAATCATCCCACCTTTTTTTTTTTTTTTTTTTTTATAGTGGGTATTTTTTAACTCCAGCTCCATCAGTTTTTCACTACGGAGTACTAATCTCTATCGTTGCCTCCAGCTCCCATCTTCAGTAGTGATAATAATAGTATCTGTAGGAATACCTTTTCCAGGCACACAGCTCTCACATTTCCTTTTCTCTAATAGAGATTCCCAATCCGCTGTATTCCTCAACAGACTGTGGGACCAAGAACAGCTTCCGGCCCGCTAACCGTCAAGACAACCTGCTTCTACGTGTCCATGGGTCCGCTGGAGAAGAATTCACTACTGCTAGTCGTCTACCTAGTCTGCTGGGCAGAATATAAGTAGGTATTTGGTATAATCACTTTTCTGATCGGAAAATTACCTATTTCCAGTGATCCATACAGCGACTCTAATCGATACGAAATTTACTTGAAATCGTGATACCTATGCATCTTAGGCTCATGTTGACCATCGAAACATCGATATAATTTTATAATTCCCAAACTCAATCCTACCACAATCCGCATATACTCAAGCATATTTATATTAAACCTGCTGCTTTTCCCTCCCCAGTCCCTTCTGCGTCTGCTTCACCTCACGATCTCGAGTCTCTGGTTTCCCTCAAACGCCCTTCTAGGATCCCCTCGTTCTTCCCTGCCCCTTCCCCACGCCTCAAGTGTGACTTTGAGACAAACACCGAGTGTCCTTCATCCGCCCATCTCTCTCCTTTGCGTCCACTTTTAATCTATGGAACCTGTTGTACAAAAGCCAGAATCGGATTCCTTCGGTCTGGATAGCAAGATGAAGCCTGCACAGCGTCTGTCTCGGGATCCTCCCCGGTTAAAGTCAACACCACAGGACGAGCTTCATGATCTTCTGTGTGTTGGTTTCGGACCAGCCTCTCTGGCCATCGCCATCGCCTTGCACGATGCACTGGATCCTCGACTGAATAAATCTGCCGCCAATGGCATCCCCCAGCCCAAGGTCTGCTTTCTCGAGCGACAGAAGCAGTTCGCGTGGCACTCCGGCATGCTGGTCCCCGGCTCCAGAATGCAGATCTCCTTCATCAAGGATCTTGCGACCCTCCGGGATCCCCGCAGTGATTTCACTTTCCTCAACTATCTGCACCAGAAGGATCGCCTGATCCACTTCACCAACCTGAGTACCTTCCTCCCGGCACGATTGGAGTTTGAAGATTACATGCGCTGGTGTGCCCAGCAGTTTTCCAATGTGGTGGCCTACGGCGAAGAAGTGGTGGAGGTGATCCCCGGCAAGACAGATGCCAGCGGCTCCGTGGTCGACTATTTCACTGTTCTCTCGCGCAATACCGAGACGGGCGAGATCACTGCCAGAAAGACCCGCAAGGTGGTTGTTGCCATTGGAGGCACGGCCAAGATGCCCGCTGGACTGCCCCAGGATCCTCGGATCATGCATTCGTCCAAGTACTGCACAACCCTGCCGGCTCTCCTGAACAACGAGTCCGAACCCTACAACATTGCCGTCCTCGGAAGTGGCCAGAGCGCGGCTGAGATCTTCCACGATCTTCAAAAGAGATACCCCAGAGCCAAGACGACGCTGATCATGAGGGACACCGCGATGCGACCCAGCGATGATTCGCCTTTGTAAGTATCTCGGGCTCTGGCCATTCATTTTTATTTCTTCTACTAATCGGGAGTCCAGTGTAAATGAACTCTTCAACCCCGAGCGCGTCGACAAGTTCTACAATCTTTCCGCTGCCGAACGGAAGCGTGCCCTGGCCGCCGACAAGGCCACCAACTACAGCGTTGTCCGCCTGGAATTGATCGAGGAAATCTACAACGACATGTATCTACAGCGAGTCAAGAACCCCAACGAGACTCAATGGCAGCACCGCATCCTCCCCGAACGCAAAATTACCCGCATCGAACACCACGGCCCCCAAAAGCGCATGCGCATCCACCTCAAATCCTCCAAGCCCGAGTCGGAGGCCGCCGCCAGCGAGAAGGAGACTTTGGAGGTGGACGCTCTGATGGTGGCTACGGGCTACTACCGCAATGCGCACGAGGGATTGCTCAAGGGCGTCCAGCATCTCCGACCTACGGGACAGGAGCAGTGGAACCCCCGTCGAGATTATCGAGTGGAGATGGACCCCAGCAAGGTCAGCCCACACGCCGGCATCTGGCTTCAGGGCTGCAACGAGCGGACGCACGGACTGAGTGACAGCCTGCTGTCGGTTCTGGCGGCACGTGGCGGCGAGATGGTCCAGTCGATTTTCGGCGAACAGCTTGAGGGCGCAGCGGTTCAGGACCTCAGAATCCGAGCCATGCTGTAAGGACACGAAGAAAAAAGAATAAAGGAAGGGAGGGAGGGAAAGCCAAAAAAGGAGGGGCAAACTCACACAGCAATGGAAATTGGGGCAGAGCCGAAAGAAAAAAAAAAAAAAAAAAAAAAAACAAAACAAAACAAATCGAAAGCCGTGACATTTTTTCGAAGGCGTTACGCGTAGCGAGTGCCAAGGATATTTCTCTGACACAACGAAATGGGGGGGTTCGGGAAGACGGAGCAAGCAATGAGAGAAACCTGAGGAAATGACATCGGACCCGACGATCGGATGTTGATGCGATCTTCCTGTTTATGATTATCACATATACCACGTTGGCCCTTTGATTTTTGTTTTCCACAAAGAGGCTGGATACACATTTGGTGTAATATCTTTTATATAGAGAGGCTCGGAAAGAGTTATGATTGTTTGGAATGTATTATCATTTACCGAAGGTACCACGAGTGTTGACTTTAGCATCGAAGAGAGACAATGGTTTCAGCATAGTTTTGTTCTCAGTCCTGTAGTACTCCGTGGACCGAGTGATACTTACAATGACATTACCGGAACGGAGCTCTCCACCAAGTTGGACTACTGAAGGGAGGTATGGAGACATTGAGTCGTATCCGAGGGATCAGGGATGATGGATCAGATTCAGGGCAGTGGGCACGCTGATAATCAGATCAGATAAAAATTTTCACGCGTTATCTGATGGCGCCATCCCACGGTTCTGTACCACACAAGCTTGACGATTGGTTCAGGAGGCTGTTAGTCCTGGACGGTGGCTTGAGTTAATTAAGAGGATTGAAGCCGGTTCGACTTCCACACCGCTGATGATCCTTTCGTATAATTCATGAAGTATATAGAGGAGACTTAGAAAGTGATGAGATGGTTCTGAATCATAATTTGCTAAGCTGGAGTCCGGGTCTTCTTCTTTTGCGGTTTTCCGAGGTCCCACTGATTGATTACAACAAGGCAGACGGAGGAGTACGGACAGACTCCATAGTTCCACACACTACTACGCTGAAGGCCTGAGGCTGGAAGCATGGAAGGATTGTGTCATTGGTATGGAGTCACATACGTGGGATCGGCACGATCTCCATCATCATGGTTGATCGGGATGAAGATACTTGTCTTGGAGAACTGACTTGGATGCAGAATTTTATCCAAAGAGAAACCACCCCCGACGTATTTTTTTCCAGAATATCCAAACACGCTGCACAGCACTACGTGCAGGGTGCAAACTGCAAACGGAAGTAGAACCACCGACGGAGTTGGCTATCATCCAAGTCAATCTAACTGTGACTACTGCGTGAACGTGGTTAGCGGTTTCCAAGTCCACACTGATTGATTAGGAAATTAGGCCATTGATTGATAACCTTGCCGCCCCGCTTTGCTCCACCCGCCCAGACCTGCTAAGTCAGTAGCCTTCTTGGTGCCTTTCGAGTTTCGGCTTTTTTTTTTTTTTTTTCTTTGGTTTGTTTCTCCATTGTCCTACAATTATACTATGTACTTACCTTACTATCTTGTATCCATGGTATTATCACTGGCAGTTTACTAGCATGTAAACCGTTCAAATAAATTCAAGAGCCCCAGTGCCTAAGGTACCTGTCTTTGGAAAGTTGAGACAATGCATTACATCGCATGGTCGTACCACTACCACGTCTATTCTCGGCGAAGCCTCTACCCAGACGGGATGGTTCGCGAGAATCGCATTTTCGCGCACCATCCACCCGCACGGCCGTGACTGGATCGTGTCCTCCCTTCACTACGGAGTACCGAACGAAAGTCCTGCCTGACTGGTGTGGATGGTCCTGGGAAATGGTCGTTCCGAGTCTGCCCATTGTTTTTGACGCTTGACTGCGGCCATGTCAGGTACCAATCCCCTTCTTTCTGCAGAGTGCGGACTAGGTAGTAGGTACGGACTACAGGAGTTCAGACCCGACTCGTCGAAGGACAGGGTGAAGGATCTCGACCTCCCCTCCTCGGCTCATCCGTACCAGGTGCTCCATAACTGTCTGGATGTTCACAATACCCACAGACAGACTACCTGTCGAAGTTGCAAGTACCCTGCATATGATTGGTGATGGTATTCCGGGTATCCCTCGCTATCCGTTTGGAAGATCAAAACAGCAACAAGCAATGGGAAAGACCACATGGGAAAAAAAGATGCCCATACTACTTACTACACAAATACACCCTAAGCGTAAGGATGGAAGTTACTCCGTAATTCTCTCTTGCAGGAAAATTTCAATTCACTCCGTGCCGAGATAAGATCTTAGCGTCCCCGCAGGATTATGTCTAACTCCTAACTAACCAGTACCAGCGACATCGGATCATCCGAGTCCTCATCTCTCAATCTCTGCAGCTGGAATCCTTCTTCTTGGGAATCGGAAATACTACCTACTAGGTAATAGGTATGTATACTGGAGGATTCGAGGAAGGGGTATCACATACTCCGTACCTACTCCGTAGCAATACCGAGGAATGTTTGCAATTACCCGTATCATCTTTAAGTCTGTACGGAGTACGGATTATACCGAGTACCAGGGTTAAAGTGGTAACATTGCAATTGCAATAGCACGAGCAGGAGCTGGAGGATCACACTCGGGTAGCAAAAAAAAAAAAAATTATCTGATGCAGATTATCTGATGAGATTGATAACGGTGAGACATCCAGCTTGGTTGCCCGTACCAAGGACAAGGACCGAGTATCTTCCAAATATCAGCTTACCGTTCAATCCGACCGAATCCCGCCCATCAATTTTATTCTTCTTCGGGAGGAGAAGCTATTGCTATTCCAGAGTCCAGACCCAATGTCTCAGAGCGGACCTCTGCTTGAACTGAGTTTTGATGACGATCGGATGACCTCTTTCGGACTGAGATTTTTTTTTTTTCTAGGCCCGTTCATGTCACTGTACTCCCATCCTACCTCTTGGCTCTGCTGAGGACGAAAGGCGCTATTGTCGCAGAGACTCGCCGGCCACTTGAAAATTGACAGCAGTTGTTCACGTCAATCATAGATCCAACTAATGGTCAGTCAGAGTAGAAACACTCAGCAGCACTATTCGGTCTCAAAAATATATTATGTTCAGCCATTCAGGTATCAAATCTACCACTATCATCATTCAGATCAACCATCCCATCAAGTCAATATCCACGCCTGCGAATGGATTTTATGCAGAGAACATGATACAGGTCAAAGAAGGAGAAATCATATACGGCCAATAGTCGTCCCGACTCCGTCAGACATTAAAAATGCAGAGCTTCATTGATCGCTCATCAAACGCTCTGGGAGAACTCAGGCGTCACATACCGATGCGAGAAAGTCGCACAATTCAAGCGTAGGGCACATAAACAGAGCAGGAAACGATCAAACGTTCTGCTCAAGATCATCGTTGGCGAGGCTCCGGTATCCTCCACCACTGTGCATGCGCATCGGCGCCTCGTACATCCGGTTGTAGTTGACTATTTCTCCCCCAAGCATGGCAGACCCGGGCTCCCGCTTGCCAAAGTATGGAGAACGATCGCACCAAAAGTCGCGGCAATTGTTAACAACGCCCCGAGAGAACGGATTCTTGGGCCGATCAGCACGCGGTCCGTCTCGCAGTCCATCGCGCGCAGTCGCGAAGAACGTATCGACACCGAGAAGAGACGACCACTGCTGCAGACACCCTTGTTTCCGTCCCCGATGAGAGTGGCCCCTGGCTAGCGCTGGGTTTGGTCCTTGACCCGCAGCCGAGAGGCTGGCGGCATCAAGCGAAGTTGTTCCTGCGGTGACAGCCGATGCAAAGGCTCGAGTGCTCGGATAGCTTCGATCGATTGAGTGTCCTCGCATGTTCTCGTATGTGGTTTGGTTCCGGGAGATCTGGACGAGTTGAACAGCGCAGAGCATAGTGACCCAGACCAGCTGGATGAAGACCCATATATCGAGGACGAGGGTGAAGGTATCCCTCAGCACAAATCCACAAAGTGTGTCGTTGATGACATTGCACTTCGCCTCGGCAGGTGCAGGCAAAACATTGATGTCTGGATAGTCTCTTCGTTAGACGAATATTAATTTCTCGGCGATGTATAGCAGACTTACAGTTATACGTCAGTTGCAAAAATAGAATGATGCCGAGCTCCAACGAAATGATGTACAAAACAAAATGACGCAGATTGTTAACGCCGACACAATTATCAATCCATGGACAATGGCTACACCGAAAAGGTTAGAACAGGAAGAGGGTTGTGTGCTCCTCGGTGGGAGAACTTACTGGTCATGCTTTGAAACACAGCGTGAACAACGTCTGCAATGCTTGCTTCTCAATGGCTTCCGAATCATACAGGCTACGCAGAAGTTCTCCTCGTCAAACTTCCACTGCGTGAACAGTTCAGAGATGACGGCCCTCTGTTGGTTTCGGCTGCCAGCTTTTGGCACATAGCCGGGGTCTTCGATCATTGAGTAGATATAGAAATAGGTCGTCAAGCTATAGAATACCGCAAACAAGATGTTCATAATCGGAAATGCGGAATATGTTGCTAGCAGGCAGGTGATCAGAATTGAGCAACAAAGGCGCCACAAATACCGAAGAGACTTACCAGGTAAGACGTTGAAAACATAGGTGAAACCAACCCAAAACAGGGTTCCTGCGAAGACGCCTGACAGATATGGCTGACATGCGAGTCAGTATATCTTTCCAAAGATGGAAGCAAATGGCAGATAACGTGCCATAGGGAATATGGGGGGTATTGGGAGAATGCATACCGTTTTTTGAAGAACTCTATAATCCGAAGGTGCCTGGCTGGCGGCCTTCTGCGCAACCCACTGGAGTCCAAATACTGCCACAAGCATAATGGGAATGGCAGCGTAGACGACCATGTAGCTCAAAATATAGATCGCCGCATAGATCATCACGAAGGGCCAAAGGAAGAAGAACTTTGACATGACACCCTTATTGCGCACCCAGGGCCCTAATCCCATCGGGAGGACTTTGGTGTTTCCATCCATGTCATAACCGCACTCATCAAGAGCACGATACCAGACTCGTGTTGTGTTCATCTCACCGGCCACTGTGGCCGGTGTTTTACCTTCTTGAGTCTTCGCGAATCGTTCCGCACCATATTCAATGAGCTTCAGCACGCACGGCAATGACCCTTTGACCAAAGCCCAATGTAAGGGGGTTAGTCCACCGTCATCAACAGCGTTGACGTTGGCGCCCCAGCGCAGGAACAGATCCACGCAAGCAGGATAACCTTTATATGCCGCCCACATCAAGCCTGTGTGGCCCTGTTGGTCCAAGACATCCACCGGTATTTCCTGGTGCAATAGGAGCACTAGCAAGAACGCATTCCCATCAATCGTGGCCAAATGAAGGATGTTGTAGCCTTGGACATCGGTGAGGAGCGGGTCGGCACCATGCTGAAGGAGAAGATGGACGATATAGTAATTGCAACGCTGAGCTGCCCACATGGCTGGGGTAGCGACCGAATCTCCCCCTTTGGCATTGACATCGGCACCGTGATCCAGGAGGAATTTGCACATGGCATACTGATTGTTGATCGCAGCCCACTGATAAGAAACAAGACGAAATTGTCAGTCAGTCACCATTCAAAGAGATCAATGTGCCCCAGTCCACATTGTACTCACATGAAGTGGAGTGATCCCTTCCTCGTCTGCATAGGTAGCGGTAAACTTCTTGTCATCAAACAACTTTTGCATAGGCCCGATTTCCCCTATCCGCGCGATCTGCATTATGTCTTCCCCCAGCGGTATCGAGCCCTTGACAGGGGGCCGATCCGGCTTCATGTTCTTCAGCTCCACGCTGACATCTTGCTGAGTGACCTTAGGAGGGCTGGTGGTGCCTTTGCCATTGGGTACGGAGGCGGGACTCGGGCTCACCCCTGCAGAGCTGCTGCTGCTGTGTGGCGTCGAAGACGTCCCGGAAGACATTCCTTTCGCAACAAGAAGCGTATAGTTTGTTGCGAGAAACAATCCGTTCTGGAATTTGGGTCTGGGAAACGGTCGAGATGTTGGGAGCGGACACGAGCGAGTGTTCGGAGATAACAGTCACAGACTCGAAACTCAATGAAACATGGCGAAATCAAGTACAAGACTAGAACAGTAAAAAAAGTTCCTCCAGAACCAGGGACAATGGAAAGTTGGAAGCAGACCCAAGGGAGACAGAGTGTGAGAAAGCAATGGAGAGAAATACGGGGATGCTGATTAGACTACTTTTTCCACGCTGATCGGAGCAACTTCCGCGCGCAACAGCGCTAAAGATAAGTGATTCTCACCGGTCACTTTTGCCTCCAACGAGTAGATAGATACCTATCAAAGATCAGGGTCTCATCCAAATCAAATTTCAAAGAGCCTAAGAATATACAATGGTGGCTCGTTTGTTTAAAATGCGGTATTCCTGTCTCGACAAATGTTTATCCTCTGGTATTGGATCGAGTCGTGTGCGACTGCCCGCGGAGGGATTACTCAGCAGCTAGAAGGATGATTAGGCAGCCGTATTGTTCATCAAGATATATTTCCCTTTCTTATCGATCTTTTTTTCCATTGATTGGATATTGAGTGGTGAACATAATAGAGTGTCGTCCTGGATATCGACAAATTTCTCCCCCAAGCAAACTAGAGTCCGCAAATCTAAGACAGAGGGAACTGTGTGCAACAAGGAATAAACAATCCACCTTACTAGCCCTCATGTCTACTTCCTCCGCATAATATCAGGTCAAAAGTCTTTTAGGCCATATCCAAGACCTGGAGGATAGACCGGTATGTAAGTTTGGGGCGCCGTGGCTCTATGATGATGGCGTAAAGTGGAATGGGTGTAGCAGTCATCTAACCCATCTCCGTGAGAACCAGATCCATACTGCTTTGCAGGGATTGAGCTTGGTCAAACAGCATTTGAGCATCGACTCGTAAGTCAAAGTCGGTCAGAAAGCAGAAGCTAATCTCCAGCCGGGAGAGCTCGCGCTCGCTCACACCACCAACCTTGGCGATACGACTGTGTGGGTAGCTGAGATCTTCGAGTGCTTTCATCGCTACCCGGAGACCAGCAAGCACCAGACGGTGCATGTTTTTACTGTCCACAGACATTACTCTGTCAACAGTGGTCATTCTGGTAATGTAGATGCTTGTAGCGAGATATACCGCTGTTGACATCGGGCAATACCGATGTAGTCGCAATAGGTAATCGCGCAACGCGATGGGTGGCGCTCTCTTCGAAAGGAACCTCTTGGACAACATGCTCTGTTGCAGGCGATCTCGTGCTGCCTCCTCATGGCTCATGGGGGAGCAATGCAGTTCGGTGATCTTGGTAGGTGTCGCCTCTCCACTTGACATGGTATCACTGCGAGCTGACCCTGCAGCCAGAACCGGCTCAACGACGATTCCGACATTGGGCCTGGCTAGAAATTCGACGTTGACGCACAATAATTCCAATGCCGTAGTAGGCAAGATATCAAACACTCTGGCAGCCTCCCCGAGATCTAACGTCGCTTCGCCTCCTGCTCTAGGAGAATTTAAGTAGGCTGGGCCTGGTCCCGAAGACGCATCTTGGGCTCCCTCGCCCTCTGTATGGCAACCATTCATGGCCACCGTCATAGGCAACCGATCGCGTAAGCGTAGCGTTTCTGAAGACAGCCTTCAAAACTGCAGGTGGATATGAGCGCCTCCGGTAAGAGTACCATTGTGGGACCGAGCCCCGGTATTTGTTTATCGAGTCAAGTCCAGCGATATCGAGTAGCTCATAAGACGAACGGCAGGTAGGTTCAACTGGCAGGGGAGGCAGTACGATGATTCCTTTAGGTACGAGGGAAAAGGGAAAGGAGCGTTTGCCAGCAAAGCCACTAAATTGACTGGCTCATTCACGGTGCTGAGAGCAAGAACAGGTGGAAGTTATGCTTGAACCTAAGGGCACACCAATATGTCAGTAACGCAATCGAGATAACACAAGCAGCATTTAGGCGAGGAGCTCACCTAATATATATATAAATATTAAAAAAAAAAAAAAAAAAAAAAAAAAAGGAGGTCTCCACCTATGACAGCGACACCAGAAGAAAAAGACAAAGTCGAGGGGGTGTTTGAATGAGGGAGAACGGATATATAAAGGAGGGAGGATGAGCGAGTATAGACTATAGTGTCTACCTATCTATTCACATCATAATTATCGTCATCGTAATTAGCTACTCATTAATCTTAGTATTTAGTAGCGGGATTTGAAAAAACCCAATAGTCTCCAAATAAACTGGATAGACAGATAAGCAATATGAATAGGGGCTCAAGAGTGAGAAGTTCAGGTGAACTGTGGTTCAGGGCAGATTTTGGACTAAATACTCAAGGCTTCCATTGATAATAGATAGACAGTGCACTGTCGGACATTATTTCGCCCGGCTTTTCCCCGTGCCAGCTCACTAGTTCACCAGCTGGCTGTCCTGTTCTGACTTGTATCTCCAGTCTCAACACTACTACCTACTATTATTATGCAGGGGTGAGAGAAGGTATTGATTTCTCTTCTCGACGGCTCTCTCTATCGAACTACCCTGCTCTAATCAGACCATGTACGACATACGCACTGATGATGAAAGCCTGTGCTGTGTGGGACGGTTTAGTTGTATGCTCCAGCTAACGAGTCTATCCCTGAACTAGGTAAGTATCGGCTTCACTTCCAAGACATGATCCGCGTCGATCAGCATCGTACAGGCTCTATAGATAGATGGATGGAGAAATAAACTAGTATCGGTATTATGGACATCACGGGGAGCGAGAATACATACACAGTAGGGTACTTCCAAACGAGAGCGTGTTTTCCTGTGGAATGTAAACAAATATTTGAAGAAATTGGCTAAACTGTCATCCAAGGAATCATCTTGTAACACTACTCAAATTCAAGTTCATCATCATCTTCATCTTCTGTATTTCCACTGTCACCAACATCATCGATTCCCTGCCCACTCTCTCCACTATGTCCTCAAAGCTGGATCTTTCAGTCCACTTATGAGTAAATTCCTCTGTCAGAGCTATCTTCACTCCCTTCATTGTAAATTCTGCTTGCCCCGCAAGACTCTGAGGCACAGGACGACGAGGAATCCTCATCTTAACAGGTGCAGGAGATTGAAAGGAGCACCAAACACCTGCTAGGGGGGACCTCCTGTCTCCAAAATGACTTGGAAAGAGTGGAGGGGCAGCGCCTGGGGGTGGCCTAGGCGATATGGATGCCAACGAATAGTGGAAGAGATACTGCTCTTAGCTTTTCCAACATGTCGACTGTAGCCTTCTGACTAGCTCTCGGTGATGATGACAATGTCCGCGAGTGGTATGGAGGCATTGTGCGATGGAGCTCGGACCCTGATGTGCGTGATTTCCAAGTGTTACTATGCTGACTTGATGGTAGTATCTGTGGGTGTTGGAGGAGATTCGGAGCCAGGAACTGCAATAAGAGGTTAGAAATGAGGTCCCAGGGGGTCAAGGATTGCTGCTGCTCACCTTTCTGGAGCGCCGAAATATGACCGCATGAAATTGGCTGCCTGGTAACCCTTGAAGCCGTTTCCTAAGTGCTTGGAGCCGACTTTATGATCCTCTTGATTCTTCCAACGACAAACTTGTAACTCTCGTCTTCCTTACAGGGAAAGCAAGCGATGGAATGAAGGTCGCCTCCACCAGGCACGCGACATATCGTGCAATGAGCATGCGCACCAAGGACGGAGACGATCTCAGCGAAGCATTCTGGGAGCAGCTCAACCTATCTCTCATCGCCCAAGCCCCAGTCATGACAATACTGAACAAAACGATCCCCACAGTCAAGCACCTCCAGACAGATGTAGTGGCTTTACCGGAGAGTATTGCACTCGGAATGGCAAAGACGAACGTTGAATGATCGGACATGTTTCACTGGGAGGCCCCCGTCCTGCGCTTTCTCATCTTTTCCCTGAGTAGCCTGGTCCGGCTCGGCCTCATGGCGGGCTCTGCACATCGGATCGGCGGCTCCACAAGGCCATATTGATGATCGTTCTGCTGTTCGTGGCTTTTGCTCTTGCCCCTGCCGCTTGTGGCGACCACCGGCTCGGTACAGGCCTTGAATGCCATTATGGGCGGAGGCTGGTCCAGAATGAGCATTCGCTCGATGGCGACATTTACATCTTGCGTGGTTGCAGGTTGCAGTACCTCCAAGTAGTACTTGCGGCCGTCGTGGCATTGTTCTATGTCATTGTCGGTCTCCTATTTGTGAGGCGTAGCCCACAGGGTAATATCATTCTAAGTATGTAGAAAGTCCAAGAGTTTGGTCATTGGTGCCTAGGTCTAGGGGAGTAATCCCTGCTCTTCGCCCCTAATCTACACTAGGTTTAGGGCCGGTTTCACTACAATCTAAGCTAGACCGTGCCTAACGTTCTACCAGCAAGTTGCGTGATTGAAGGCTGCCCGGAACAGAACTTGACAAATCTAAGTCATACTTAGCCATCCAACAACCATCCCATCTCTTAACTTGATATTGTACATGTCCAAATAATGAGACTTCATATTCTATCATCTCGCTAAATCGAGGATTGCAACGCCTATTCTGGCTTCAAAAAAAAAAAAAAAAAAAGAGCTCTGGCCGCCGCAGGGAACTTCATGGGTAGCGGCGTAAAAGTCACGCACTGGTCAATCTTTAACGCCAGCGCTCATTCTGGCGCCAGCCTTCTTTGCTCTCCGCTCTTGAGCAAAAGGATCTAAAACGACCCGACCGGCCATCTGATCTCCTCCGATGTGTGCGCAACTCGTGGTCTCTTGGTGGGGTTTCACGATGATGTCTCCCGCGGCCTTCTACCAAGATGCGTTCGCCAGCTGCTGAAATATCACGGGTCCCGTCTTGGATGATGCGTGGGCGGTTGCAGTTGTCCCAGGACCGTTCCCTCACGCTTCTGGGATATGGGGAATGAACTCGCACATGCGGGTTTCTACCATGTGGATGCGTCGCTGTACCTTCTGAGTCAACGTCCCGGGCTCGATAATCGCTGTTAGGATTACGCCGATGGGTGTGGGTCGGTGCTCGTGCATCGATGTATTCTCGTCGGCCTGACCTAGAGCGTTCCCGTGCTCTGACGCTGTTGATGTTCTCCTCGACTTCCACCTCATTGGAGAAGCGGACATGCCGAGGCGCCGCGCTTCTGCGCTCTTCGTCAGGTACGGGGACTGACTCGTTGTGAACCTCTACCACACGGCTTGCGCCCTGACGTTGCCTTCGCGGCTGGGGCTCGCGTTCAGTCACAGGAGTTCTTTCCCTAGGCGGCCGAGGTCCACTGGACGTATGTTGCGATCGAGCTCGTCGAGACGAATGATCTGAGTCGTTCTCTCGATCTGCATCAGTCGAGGTGGGAGGTGCTCGTGTCCGCGGTGAAATTTCTCGTATTCGAGGGAAAACCCGCTGTTGATTGCTGTGCGGAGAGTGATCTACACGCTCTGGGAAGTCCACTACAAAGGGACGAGGCGATCTTCCGCGGCCGCGACGCTCGTGCGAGGTCTGCGGGGTGCCCGGTTCCCGAGGTCTTCGAAGAATCGGAATTGGAAATCGGATGGGGTGGCTTCGAGCCGGCAGCGACGTCCTTCTCGGCGTAGCTTCTCTTTGGGCTGTTTGTTGTCGTGGCTCTCTGGGCCCTCTCGGTTCGATGATCTGATACATCGGGGAAGCCATGCCTCTGGAACTTCGTCGCCGAGCCTGCCGGACGTGGTAGTACTCCCCGCGATCGTATATTCGGGCGCGGTTGCAGGTCCTCCGGCCGTCACTGAGCAGGCACCTGTGAGTTACTCTTCTTGTGCGAATCTCCATTGAATATACGTCAGTGAACCTCTCAATGAGGCACATAGCCTGCTATCCGATACTATGCTGATGCGTTGAAGGGTCTGCGGCTTGCGGGGTTTGATGTATTGGCCCTCGAACTTGAATCTGATAGTTTGTCACTCAGGAAAGATGTTGAAGTTTCATATATAGGAAATGATATGTACCCCCCGAAGGCTATCGCTGCTTGGAGCGAAGGTGGTACTCCAAGAAAGAACTAACAAAGAACAAAGGTTGTGCATGATAGTACCTAACAAAGACGATGAGCACTTTGCTATGGTCCAACTGCAAGACAAGTGAAGATGTGAAACGGCATTGTCAATGATGAAAGACATGTGGCCGAAGTCATGAGTCCAAAGCAGCTGATAACCAAAGGGGAGCAGGCAGAGATGAAGGAAGGAATAAAAGGGTCTTCGGATTTGCTTTACATGGGCTGACAGCACGACTGTTATGAGTTTCTGGTCTTTGTCCCACAGGGAACTGATTTCTTCGAAACTCCAGGTCGCTGGGGGAGTTGAGGCCTAAATATATTTGTACCAGCACAATGACGGACGCTAAATCATGCGGCGGAACGACCCATGAAGCCTTTCAGGCACATACATGGGCTAATCTACAGCTGCAGCCTAAGGATCTTCTACTCGATGACTGATCACTTGGTTAGCACAAAAAAAAAGAAAAAAGAAAAAAAAAATCTGACCAACTTCTTTCTCAGCCGTAGCTCGACTCTGTAGGGTAGGATAGGTAGAGATGTTGAAAGTGTGGCTGGTTTCTGGTCACAGGGCGCAGTCAGTTCAAGTCAGCCGAACAGATCAAAATCATCGACGATGGAGATGGAAGCACAGTGTGAACGGCCGGGTACAAAGAAGTCGACCGCGATAAAGATCGATGGGTCTGATCCCGGGTTGAGAGGAAGAAAAAGAAAAAAGAAATCCAGAATGCCATGGGGTTGTCTGGGTTTCTTTCTTGCTTCGTCATCTCGACCATACAGAGCCTCCTGCTGCAGGGACTATGAATAAGTATGCCTGGCGATGAGAGTCACAGGGTTCCTGCAGCAAAGTGGCTGGTGAGAATCGACATGGATGGTCGGACTTCCAGGCAACCTTGTCCTGTCGAAAAACTTCGAGACTCATGGGTGAGGACTAGAATCTAGATACCTGAAGAGGCATCAAAGTCCAAGACGTCCAAGCGTACGATGCATGTAAGACTTGCAACCTCTACAATGGACTGCTACAGGATTCATCACGAACAATAAACGATGTGGCGCAGGCAATACCACCAGCCACATGTGTCCCATCGAATCAAATGCAGTGACTGCTGTTGGAATAATACAATAGGCGAATCAAAAAGTGATTTGACATGGGGTATATCGCTATGGCGTCAAGTGTTGGACGGCCCCCACGAGAGAAACCAGGTTCTCCAGCCACGATGCTGATGCCTGTTCTCTTCATTAGAGCCGAATAGATACCTTTCTACTTCGGGTTTGCCACCAACATCCTTCCTGTTGCGTCGGAAGCCTGTGGATGACTTGCCCAAGGCTTTCCTTATCTCCATCTTTCCATGAATTTCTCCTGGTTCCTGTCCCGCTGGTAGAGAACATCCAGATTGAGTCGTTCGATTCCTTTCTGGATCTGGCCCAATCGCGACTCAAGTTCAGTAAGCTCCTTATCTTGGCCAACGGCCGAGAGCGAATTCTTGAATTGAGAATGAGCCAACAAGGAGGACGTGAGCAACAGAGACGCCCGATCACTCGGAGTCAATTCAGCCACCAAGGGAAATTGAGCTCCGACGCCCATATTGTGTAAGCACTCCACGAGGTGTTGTCGCTTTTCGAATAGAGCCTCGCTGCCGCGATCTCCCTCTCCGTCTTCTGGTTTAAACACAGACTCTACAGATAGACCGATGCGGCGCAGGAAACTTCCGAGGGCCTGCATCTCTGCGGGGTCTATGCGCTTCCCGGGGGCAGTGAAAACAGGTGTGTGCAAAGTGGAACGCCTCTTCAGGCTAAGAGTGTCGCGCCTGGAGGAAGGCTTCTCGGAGAATTGATCGCCTATCTCGGCTCTGTAAGAGGTAGCAAGAGCCTCAAGCGTAGCACAGTGCGATTCGCGATCTTGTAATAGCTTGATAGATCTTTCAGTCGACGACGTCATCTCCAAGATGGTATCGGAGACCTGTTCCACTATTAATCTTTTGACAGTGAGCATGCAACGAGTGAGGGCCAACCAACATGTTCAAGCTTCCTATAGGAGGCTATGCGAAGCTGACCGTGGAGAGTCTGAAGCTCGCGAACGATAGGCTCGTAGAAAAGCTGCTTTGTGGACATTTCAGCCAACACGTCAATCTCTGGATACAGAGACTCCAATTCATTTCCAAGAGTGATCAGAGCGTCCTCGTCTTCGTTGGGATTTGCTGACAGGTTGGCCATATCCTTCAGTCCTGCCTTCAAACTTTCCATATACAGTCGGTCTAGGCGGCACTGTATTTCCTCCGCCACCAATTCGGCAAGCATTGAGCCAAGTTCGGTCGCTCGTCTGACAATCGAGGCATCGTCTGTTGTGGATTGGACGCTAGACGCTGTTTGCTCCAGGTCTGCGAGTAATTTATCATCGTCCTTCAGCCGTCCGGTCAGTGTGGACAGTATTTTTTTGCCTTCGGTGGCCGTCTTTTCCAATTCATTTTTCAGTGTCACCTCCAAATCATGCGCGAGATCACTAGACTTGAGAGGATGTCAACTAGGTATCCCGCGTGATGAGTGCCCATAGGAGTCAATTACCGCAGCTGCTATGTGTTGTCTCCCACTATCATGTTTCTGGCGCAGCCGTTGAATATCCCTTTGCTGTCGGGCTTCCCGATCATCGCGCAGACGAAGTTGTTTAATCAAGACTTCATTTTGCAGGTTCAATAATCTGGTTTGTTCTTGTGTTGTGGATGTCGACGAGTTCAACGATTCGATTGCAGCACGAAGATCATCGTCGAGAAGTGGCCGTGTAGCACCGAGGTTTGGACCAGGAAGGACATTTCGCAGCGCGCCGGAGCTCTCTAAGGTTGTGAATCTTCGGAGACATAGTCAGTAATCGCATCTTTGAGTCTGCAAAAAATGTACGGGTTGAACGAGTGGGAAGCAGCATACAAGGTGAGCTCTTCTTGCGACAGAAGAGTGTCGTAACTGAGGTGCTCTTCCACCCATTGTATGTTCTCATCCTTGTTTGAGTCCTCGATAAAGGCTGACTCTATTTCTTCTGATTTAAAAGGAAGTTTGCGATCTTTGAGGGCAGATGTAACTGTGTCCACTGGATTCACAGTGGTTTTCATTGTTAATGATTGTAAGAGTGGTTCTTCCCAGATCAGAAACGTTGTTGGTTACCTCTTATCAGGTAAGTAGGTTGTCTCCGCCTAAAGCCAGTCGCCAACACAACAATGCAATCATAGTCTGACGAGTTTATTCGGTACATATGAGGCCTTCATTCTTTCATTATAATAACGATTAAAACTATTATTTATTTTCTATTCTACTTCCATGTCTCGGTAATTGTTCTCCAGACAAGCATTCCCACGGAAGCTACCAGCACACTCCAGGGCATATATATATATATCAGCCTACTATCCCTGGACTCGAGCAACGCGGTACCCAATCCCAACAAAAAGATGATTAGGTGTCATAATTAAAGGCCAAAATTAGGTCACTTCACTCGGCATGCCCACCAGTCGAATGGCCGCCAGCAGAATGGCCTTCGACCTTGGGGTAATACCAAGTCGTGACAGCGATGATGACATACACAAGCACGCAAAGGCCACCCTCGAGGTAATTGGACTTTCCATCGCGCAAAAAGTTCCCAACCACCAGAATGGACAGCACGACCAAAACAATCATAAAGATCTCGAAATTGAGACCCATATTCTTGTCCAAACCCCAGCCCACAATCACCGCCAAGGGTGCGTTTAATAAAGCTGTCTGGATGGAAGGGCCCAGACAGTGGAAGAGGGCAAAGTTGATTTGATTATCCCTATTGATTATTAGGTCACGGATGTCTCATTGTAACGGACTTATTGCACTTACCAGGCTTCGTCGATAGCGGTCAAATGCTCTGCCGCCTTCTCGACCAGAGGGACCAGGATCAGACCCATGAAGTTATCCGAAACCCCTCTCTCGACGATATGCTCGATCTCTTCTACCAAGAAGACTGCGGACATGCAAACGAATGTGAGGGATATGGCGATTGCCACAAAACATTCACACAAAGTAAGCTTGGCGCGCTGCAGTTCTTCATCGCGATCCTCAGCCGTGTGTTCGTCTCGCTTGAGCACTTCATCGAAGATGCTGTGATGACTGTGAAGGTTGTAGAACAGGAACCTAGCACCAACTGCGTCAGTGGATTGTGTTCTACAGGGGGTTAACCAGGATTGGCGCTGCTTACATGATGAAAGCGACGAGCAGAATGACAGAGGTTGATCGACTGATGACCAGAGTGGAACGCTCCAAGTCTTGCGGGCTGATGATGGCCTTGGTTGAACCCGAGCTGAGAGCCGCATAAAAAGCGCTCGGAATCAACAGACCGAACCCGGCAACGAGTAGCAGCCCCGAGCCTACTTCGCTTACTGCTTCATGGAACGACTGTTCGTGGCGTTTGAGGCCTCCGAAGAAGAAACATAGTCCCAGACATAGCAACAGATTGGCCAGAATTGAACCCAGAATAGCAGCTTGAATGACGGGAATCAGATTGCCCTCTTTGTCCTTGTGGATCAGAACTATGAACAGCACAATCTCTACGACCGAACTTAGGGTCGTCTCCAGCAAGACTCCCCAAACTTTGGGCAATTTCTTCGCCAGCTCGCCGCCCGCAAACCCGAGCAAGTTTGCGGAGGGCACCATTGCGATATAGTTCAGGGCGAAGATCCACACGTGAAGGTTGGGTCGAGCGAAGTATATGGCAATCGCTGCTGGAACCACCGGCCAAAGAACGCTCACTAACATTGAGAGCGTACATGTGCTCCTAAAGCAGACCGTGACAAAGTGGAGAGGATGGAAGCCGGTGCGGCCACTTTCTCCGGCGGTGTTAACGCGAAACATCCCTGGGCGACGAATAGGTTTCTCATGGTGTGTCGGTAGGATGGCCTGGCTTTGCGATGTGGGCGCTGGCTCGGAGTGCTTCGATATCCGGCCGGCATCGCCTACGTTGATGCGATTCTGCTCAGTATGCAAGGAAGATCTCGCGGAGGCTACCATGTCGACAGGCTGACAGCTCGTGTTTAATCGCTTATGGCCGTCTCAATCTCGACAGTCGTGGGTATAGGGAGATGAATGATATTTAACCAGATCGAATGCAATTTGCTGTGTGCGCTATAGAATCAGAAGATCGCCAATGGAAGAATGGAGAACGCTTGCTGCAAGGGGAATGAAAGCAAAGAGAAGCAGAGAAAAGAAGAAGAAAAAAGCAACGAGATTGGAGGAAGAATCGGCGCTTCAAAGCAGATGAATCACGGTCAACATAGTTCAATGGTAGATGTACAAAAGGACAAGAATATGCGAGGGACTATCCTGGCAGATGCGAAAAAAAAAGATAACTCGCGATTAAAAATGAGGTCTAAATAGAATCCGGATACGCGAAAGGGATTCTTTTAGAGAAATCAGTCATATTTTACCGGCGAACTACCACCACTGTTGACTGTACAGTAACAATAATAAGCAGAAACACGATGAAAAGAAATAAACTCAGCTGGTGAGCTGGCAGTAGTCAAGTGCGGCCCGTTTCCCCTTGTCATGGCGATTATTTATGGCAATGGCTTATCTTTGCAGCTTGGTCGACGGCAATCATCACTCTCCATGGTCTAGACGGTCATAAATTCGATAGACACTTTCCTCGCCCAACTGGGGCAATAATCAACATCATAGGATGCTTACAAGGGAGGAGCCTTGGCTCTTGGAAAGACTTGGAGTGGAGATGCACAGTTTTATTTTGACTTCCTCACGAAAGAGTGATTGGTGCATGAGCCATGGGCTGGATCAGATCAACCGCGACAGCTTGGCAATGGAAGCCTTCTACCTCCAAGACCTGCTTAGTGACAGCTCAGACCGTGTGGTTTGGTCCTGGTTGTCTCTTGGCTCAAGAAGAGGAGGGAAAAGGGAGTGTATGATGTATGTCGTGCTGGTTCTAGAGATGTATACTCCGTAGAGCAATCCCCAGGTGAGGATTCAGGCAGACTGGCATGGAGTATGAAAGCCATTATCATAGTCCAGATGGACCGACCTAGTTATAGATAGACTATCTAGTATCTACCCAGACAGCCTACTCTGTAGGTCCAAGATACCTACCTGTAACTAATCTAGGGGTATCTGTAATAAATACTCATTTCATTTCGTATTGATTCTGGGACAGTGGAGAAAGCTGCACAGCCACTGCACTACCTAACCTAGATATAGCGGCGTACGGGCCAGCTTACCTACTTTACCTATGTACACAGTATGCAGTTCCATTTGCCTGACTTTAGCCCATACAGGATGAAGTGAGAGTAAGAGAGTGAAGGATGGCAGCATCTTGCGTACAGATACGCTGCATGATGTGTATAATCTGATGTGAGATTGGACTGCCATTGACCAGCAATTCCAGAGAGTTTTAGCCTCAGAACGGATTACTTTTCCACAATCCCAAAAGCTTTAATTATTCTGGAGGAATACCACCCTGAGGACTACAAAGTCACAAACACTCAATTGTGTAGATCGACAACATGGTATGATTCAGGTCACATATTAACGCATAAGAGAGTTATCAGGAACAATCTACTATCACCAAATATTTGAGTTGTAGGATATAATTTTCAAATCTTACCTTTACCAACCGATACAACATAGTAGAGAGAAATATCTACAGAGACGTCTAGATATCGAATGACTGCAATCTCATCATACCACGTTAAAATTGCCTGAGGCGGCGACGGGCGGCTACCATCGGGCGGGGTCTTGTAACGTGAATTTTTCTCAATCTTCGCCATCGACTTTTGTAAATCTTCAAGTTGGGTCAATCTGTATCTAAAACCACCGAGATTCATCGATTCCTCACGGTTGGCTCCAAGTGAGAAATTTTATTTTCAGTGTGCATTTCGCTCTCTGAAAACATCTATCTCGACACAATGTCGTCCACAACTCGCCCAGGCGTTCCTCCAGTGACTCTGGATACCATCACCCAGCAGATCGGCAATACCCCGTTGGTACGCTTGAACCGCCTTCCTAAGAGCCTGGGGATCGAGGCAACAGTATATGCCAAGTGCGAATACTTCAATGCAGGAGGCAGCGTCAAGGACAGAATTGCCCTTCGCATGATCGAAGAGGCCGAGAGATCGGGCCGCATCAAGCCCGGAGATACTCTCATCGAACCCACCAGTGGTAACACGTTAGTTGCACTACCCTGCCATGGCTAAATCATTGTCATTTGTGCATCATCTTACTCTATTTTGTTTATTTTTATTTTTTTACAGTGGTATCGGGTTAGCTCTGGTCGGTGCCGTCAAAGGTAGGTCCTTCGCCGCCGCGTTGAGCTTGATGTGAGGGATCAAATCTCACCCCCTTTCATAGGTTACAAAACCATCATCACCCTTCCTGAGAAGATGTCCGCCGAAAAGGTGGCGGTACTACGAGCTTTGAATGCCACCATCATCCGTACACCGAACGAGGCTGCGTACGACTCTCCCGAATCCCACATCGGCGTCGCCAAACGTCTGGAGAAGGAACTCCCCAACGCTCACATCCTGGACCAATATGGCAACGTGAACAACCCATTAGCGCATGAACTCGGCACAGCCGAGGAGATCTGGACTCAGACGGACGGCAAGATCAGCGCTATTGTCGCTGGCGCAGGAACCGGTGGCACAATCACCGGTCTGGCCCGTGGTCTCAAGAAGCACAACCCTAAAGTTCAGGTCATCGCGGCTGATCCCTTTGGCTCCATTCTGGCTGTGCCGGCCGCTCTGAACCAAGAACATGCCAATGAGCCTTATAAGGTCGAGGGCATCGGCTATGATTTCATTCCGGAAGTGCTCGACCAGCAGGTCGTGGACAAGTGGTACAAGACTGGCGACAAGGAGTCTTTCATGTATGCCCGACGCTTGATCGCCGAGGAGGGTCTTCTCGTCGGTGGAAGCAGTGGAAGTGCCATCTCCGCCTTGGTGCAGGCCGCCAAACATGGCGACTTTGGCAAGGACGATATAGTGGTTGTGGTTCTGCCTGATAGCATCCGGAGTTACCTCACAAAGGTAAGCTCATTACTTTATCCGCGTCTGCCAATGGATCGATCGATACTGACATCTCCTAGTTTGCTGACGACGATTGGCTCGCTGCAAACAATCTCCTACCATCATTGTCTAGTGAAACTACGTTGGTGTCGGAGGAGGTCCAGCCTCAGAAGCCAAAGGATCAGTTCACCGGCGCACAGGTGAAATCGTTGAGACTGAAGCCCATCACAACCGTCCAATCCAACATTCCTTGCGAGAGCGCGATTGAGATCATGCGTGATAAAGGCTTCGATCAGCTTCCCGTTCTTGCGGCTTCGGGAAAGAAGCTCGTCGGCCTTGTTACTCTGGGCAATGTCCTCAGTCGGCTGACTCACGGACGCGCCACGGGCAAGACCGCGGTCGCTGATGTTATGTTCGACTTCAGCAAGATCTCTGAAGTGGTTACCGACCCCAGAGACCTCGGACTGTCGGAGGCCAAGCTCAGTGGCGAGCAGCAAAAGGAAATCGATGTCCTGCGGCCGCAAGCCAAAAACCGCAAGTTCATGGAGATTACCATGGATACGCCCTTGAGCGTCCTCAACCGATTCTTCGAGTGGAACAGTGCTGCGGTTGTCACCGAGAGAGACGAGCACGGAGCGATGAAGCCACTGGCGGTTGCGACCAAGGTTGATCTACTCACCTGGATGCTCCACAACCAGAACGAATCTTGATTGTCTTATTTTCTTTTTGGTTTCTTATCACGAGGTGGACACGTCCTGCACATATGTTCCTGAGAATGTTTTTTTTTATTTGCCGCCAGGGAGCTCAACCTTATGTTCCTTGATTTTACGATAACTATTATGCATGGGGAGGTATAGACTATAGAACCACTTGTCTATCGATTGATTGGGTTCAACACGATCAAGGAGCGGAAGGCACTTTTGGGAGTTTATTCGGTCATTTTCCAAACTTGAGAAGCGCATGAGCTGATAATGAAATACCCATTTCGATACCGAGTCTATATCGCTCGATCTGATCGTGATAATCACATCTGTAGATCGCCTGGATGTCATCGATGGGAGTTCCGCTTGGCGCGCACCCTGACGTAGCCCTGCTGTGATTATTTCCGCATCCGTTGATTCTTGAGCCCTCCCAAGCAATACTCCGTATTCCCGACGTCATCCAGGGTTGTACAACAATAGAGAAACACTAGAAGGATAGAAAAGCATTCAAATCCTATCTGCGGCCATGAAGTGTCTCTGTTCTCAAACTTAGTGCCCCCCGCCCCCCGGAGTGATATCCGATCAAACAGTGTTCAGAATGTCGGGGTTCTTTACTTATCGAAACTTCTCATTACACGACACGCCTGCCTTGGATGGGAAGGTGGCTGTTGTTACGGTATGTTGTTTATGCTATGCATGGACGAAGTAGACGTAGCTAATAGTGCCCTAGGGAGGTCAAGCTGGCATAGGGAGAGGTGCGTGAATACTTCCCTGTATCCGAAACGATCTCCCCTTTCCTACATTCCGTCATCTCGAGCCGCATTGCATTGCATTGACCTGCCTCGTATTCGGTCTCTCTAGAAATCGTTGCGCAGCTACTGTTGCACGGCATTAAGAAAGTCTACGTTGTCGCGCGTAGCAAGAGCAAGTTCGCCATAGCGCAGGAGGGATGGCGAGAGCGGAAAGACATTTTGCTCAGCGAAGACGACGACAGGGTTGAATTCATCCAATGCGATCTCGCGGACATCAGATCGGTGAAAGACGCCGCAGAGAAGATCACTCGCAAGGCAGAGAGACTGGATATTCTGGTGTGCAATGCGGGTAAGCCTTCTTTCACCTCTTCGCCTTGGACCGCGCTGAATCGGCGACTGACGCCCGCTGTCCAGGGATGGGATTGTCGCCAAAGTACAAGTGCTCCCCACAAAACGTGGAGATCATCTTCGCTATCAATTGCGTCGGCCATCAGATTCTGACGATGCTCCTGCTGCCTCTCATAAGGCGGTCTATAACCCAGGGCAAGGCGAGCGAGGCGCGGATAGTCGTCACCAGCTCCTCTCTCCACTCCGTGTGTCGCCAGCTGGACTTGGATCTGCTGACTTCGCCGGATCGACCCAAGTCTGCGATGATCGATGGGTTATGGCGTTACGGCCGATCAAAGCTGGGCAATATCCTCTTCACACGGGAGCTGAATCGCCGGCTCGAGAAACTGAGCAACGACGCGGATCAATACATCTACGTGAACACGTTCTTCCCAGGTAACATCGTTACGGAGCAGTGGAACGTCTGGAACCAGTATTTTGGGAAGTTTGGGGGCAAAATCATGAGAGGTCTGTTCTCCTTGATCGGCCAGAGCACGCAAGATGGTGCGGCGACTGCCATGTACCTGGCTGCGAGCCCCGCGATTCGGGAAAATAGAATCAGGGGGCAATACTTCATACCTATTGCGAAACCTTACGATACAAGTAAGATTGCCAATAACATGAAGCTCGCGAACGAGCTTTGGGTAAGTTCACCATCCCAATATTTTGGAGTTCCGCTCACTCGACCGACCCCTTGTACAGGACTGGATAGAGGCGAAAGCAACAGAAACTTTGGGTCCAAATTGGCAGAGCGAGGTCGGTGTCGCTCCCTCTGGAGGCATATAAAACGGAAGCTATCAACAGGGGTCCTGTGTTTTCTTGCATGCAATGAATACCTCAAAAAGATTGTCCATTTCGGATATCTTGAGCGGGATGTATGTGGCCGCGTATGAATGATATAGACACCAATATTGAGCCTTGTCGTATTTGAACGAACAGCAGAGATATGAAAATAGATCATAGGCATTGGCCAATCCAATCTTCCCACTTCCTCACACCAGCTCCAAGATCGCCTTCTTCATCGCCTTTGACAGCACCACCAACGACGTCAACCTTTACACCGACCTCGTCCTCCAAAAGCTTGAAGCTGAAAGTGCCCTGTGCATCAGCACTGCCCAAGGTTTCATCTTCGTCCTCGGCACCACCGGCATCCTCGCTAGCATTCATGAGCCCCTTGCTCTTGGATTTGCGAATTCGGTCGATTTCGGCCTCCAGCTTCTCACGAACAGAGCCCGCGGGCAGAGCAGTGAAAAGATCCTGCTTGTTGGCCGCCACAAGAACAGGTATCTCCGCAGCTACCCTGGCGGAAGAACGGCCACTCTTCAGAGCCCGTTTCTGAAGAGCGAGAAGGACATCATGCAGATACGATGCGGTATCCCTCAGCGTCTCTTCTTCATTCATAGCGGCGGTGTCGATCATGAAGACAACCCCACGTAGTCTGAGATTCTTGTCCTTTGCTGTCGACATTGTAACCAGCTCCGAGAGTCCCTGAGCACTGCGTAGTTTTCCATGACCGGGTGTATCCTTCACCCGATATCTGACCGGATTTCTAGAGACATCCTTCAGGGACGAGTCATTGACAGACCGGTAGCGGTTCGAAGCGGTCTGGACCGAGGCAGGAAGGCTGACGACAGCCGAAGAAGATGTTTGTGACGTGTGTGTAAGTTGCTTTCTTTGAGCAACTCGAGATGTCTTACTTTCAAGCTGTGGGGAAACAAGAATAAGCCAATTGTTTAATGTCGATATATCAACCACGAATCACATCAGAGCAGAAAATGCAGTCTCACCAGTGTCAGGAAAGCAGTTTTCCCAGCGCCGCTAGGTCCCAAAAGAAGAAAATTGCTTAACGGCGGCGATGCAACGGATCGGTAGAAGATTACATGCAGCAAGACGGGCAACCCAAAAGCAATCAGGGCCGTGACTGCAATAGCGACAAGGCTGCCATCCAGGAGACTGGTCATCACACGCTCAGCAAGATCCCGATACCCGTAATACCCCATCTTAGCTTGATGCTGGCAATCCAGCTGGTATAGAAGCAAGAGACAGTTGGGTTGGTAGATTGGCCAAGAAAAACATAAACCCTGGGATCATAAGAAGAAATTTAAGTCAGAGTTTGCAAACATCTTCAAGCAATCCGGCGGTGCTCCAGGATAGCTCTTCAGATACAGTAGCTTCCGTTGGATCGACTGTGTGGGTTCCGTTAAAGCAATAATGGCGCCACTTGTGCTGTTGGTCTTGGTGCCTAAGGCTTCTAAAAGCTTCTTATCGATAAGATAGCTATCGATAACCGATAAGCCGCTTAGCGTCTGATGTCGAACTATATGCTGGATCACATACAGGGAAGCTCACATACCTGTGGTCCACAGGGATGAATATGGTGTTTATTTATCTGTCCAGACTCCAGCCCCTGCAGCATGACTTTCTGTTCTACCGAGCATTTTGGTTTGACAGGTCAATGTACAAGCAGCTAGGATCTTGATTGTTCCAATGCCAACATGAAACTCGTACAATCGCTCTCCTTCATCTTATCCTTACTCCCAGCTACACTAGCAGAAGTCCAATTTACAGTACCTGCCTTCGGTACTAGCTTCAAGTCGGGCGATGTAGTGACAGCACATTGGAAGGAATTAGGCACATCTCCACGCATCTCGGAGCTCACGCATTATGACCTATATCTGTATGCTGGTGGAGAGACAGCTGATACTCAGGTGAGTTTCCCTAGCACTTCAGGGCAATTAGAGAATTGGCCTCTCTACTAACATGCAATGCAATAGATGGAAATTGCGAGTCTGATTCGAGATGGCATGTTTGCGCGTGGGAACTCAGTATCTTTCAAGATTGATCCTCATTTCGGTGGCAGCCAAACAAACGCATAGTAAGAACCAAGGGTAGCCGTGTTGGATCACCTATTTCTCTCGCTGACGCAATACATCGATTTACAGTTTCTTGAAGATGGTATCTTTTGGCCCGGAAGCTTTTGCCATCAACTTCTCTGAACGTTTCACCCTCAACAACATGACCGGATCATTCCCCCCACAGCTGGTGGAAGATATTCGTTCTCTCCCGGACTCCGAAGACTATCCGGTCAAGGAAGACTTGCGAAAGAGGGTTATCCAGACGGCACATACTGTGCCATATGCGTTACAGACTGGGCCAACTAGATATGCCCCAATGGCGAAGAAACCAGGGAGCACAATCCCTGCAAAGGCGAAGACGCCGACACCGCAATTCTCAGCGAGTCTCTATACCATCGCAACAACCTGGCTCCCTGTAGCCACTGTTCATATGACGCTCTCTACGTCCATGACATTTTCCGTTGTCAGCATCGAGAACACGGTGAGTGCAACATCGAACTGCCTGTCATCCATGTATCAAAGCCCTGACTACTAAGCATAACTTGCCTCTAGGCATCTCCCGCACCACATCCTCACGATATGGCCGCAAGAAAATTATTGGAGAGGTGGAAGGACTAATGTAGCACTATTCGATACCAACAAATTTTGTCAAAGCTTCATGCGTTTTGGGGCTGCGCAGAACAGAGATCATGCCCTGTCCGCTAGATTGTCAATTATTGCTTATTTTCGGTCTATGAAGTTAGTCTAGAACAGATAAATTTGAATCACTTTTGGTCGTCTTATGTCGTTGCCATCAGCTAACGGCATAAAGTCGCTCAAACGCAGATTTCCAACTGAAAAGACGAATAAAGGTATCACTGTGTATGGGTGAGAACGAGAATTTCTCAGTCATGTTGATGATTTCTATATATAACTTTTGCGCCAGGATGACACGCGGAGATCAGAGCCGTTGAATGGTATCAATCGCTATTGGCGCGGAGAATCGTCCGGCCGGAAGAAGGAGATATTCTCTCGAAGAGCGACGTATTCACTGTCGGCGTACCCTAGCAATGATTGAATGTGTGTACTTCTGTGACCTTTGATGCGAGCGATTTCAGCGCTGCCATAGCTGACCAATGCACGGCCAACTTCTCGCGGTTCCTGCCCATGGTGAAGGAAATCTCCGTTGAGAGAGTCCGGAGAGACTCGCTCGACGACCATCAATCGGACGGCTTCCTGTTGGCCAAAGTGACCTTCGACACCCACCACGCCTGCTGGAAGAAGACTGGCTTTGTTCAGGAGAGCATTGTATGCCCCATGATCGATATACAAGCTACCGTGTGGCTTAAGGCCATGCAGCAGCCAGAATGAACGAGATTGAATGGGACTGTCTGAAGGGAGAAACCGGGTATGTAAAGGAGGCGCTGATAAAGGGGATTGTGTCTCCGTCGAAGCTGCTTGAGTTGTGGAAGACCCATCTGTGAAATTTCGTTGTGTTTGCTGGAGATATTTCACAATCTCAAGGACATTGCCGGGTTTGGAGCTCTTGGTGATGATTGTCGATACTCCAGCACTGGTTGCCAACCTCGCAGCCACGATCTTTGTGCTCATTCCTCCAGTTCCGAGCGACGAGCCAGCTGATGAGACATCGGCTTCGAGGGAAGAAATATCCGCGACTACTTCAATAGGCTGCGCGTCCGGGTCATGACGCGGATTGGTAGTATACAGACAATCCACATCCGTCATCAAAAAGAGGTAGTCCGCTTTCACCATCGCTGCCGTAATAGCAGATAAAGTATCGTTATCACCGAATTTGATTTCCTGTGGTATTTTGGTCAGATCAATATGCAATTTATGCGGTGCGGGAGAAGGCATACAGAAACCGCCAAAGTATCGTTCTCGTTGACGATAGGAATGACTCCCATATCGAACAATTGTGCAAAGGTATTTTGCGCATTGATATATTGCGTCCTCTGGGCCGACAGTTAGATCACATTTGTACAGAGCCCATATGCTGACTTCTTACATCGGCAATGTCATTTCTGGTCAGGAGGATCTGTGCTACAGGAAGTCGGAGATGCGAAAACAGACCGTCCCAGAGGCTCATCAGTCTGCATTGTCCAACAGCTGCTAATGCCTGGAAATCATAAGCAGTCAGTGAGCGTTCTTGTGTCAACGAAAAAGTGCTGGCTTATACCTGTACGCGGGGGAGATACGTGGGTCTCTCTTTCACATCCATTCTTTGCAATCCTACACCAACGGCACCGGACGACACAAGGACTACATTGTGCCCATCTCTGTGTAGTTTGGCAGCCGTCTCAACAATCAACGTTAAGATTGAGAGAATAGGCTCATGGGTATTTTCATCGACTATGGAACTTGTTCCTGTAGAAATATATGAGTCAGTGTCCCACCATTAGAAAGAAGATATGACCCCCGCACCGAGTTTGATAACGATTGTAAGGCGCTGAGTGGTCATTGTGGCTCAACAAATATTTTGAAATTGGCAATGTAGGATGCAGCGTCCATCACCTAGCCACTAGAGTGCACAGATGCTGCTTTCCCTCAAGTTTCGAAGTCTCATCTTATCTTCCGCAATCGCATCATCAGAGCGGGTTCTATTGCGGGTCGCTGATTTCTGCCGTGTGACACCGCCCATTCATGCGGAGATTCCCAGCAGCGAATATTCCGTACTCCAGAAGTAGATCCACACTGATAAATAGCGGATGTTTCTTCGATAGAGCTTGGGATATCAATCTGTCCCGGGGAAAAGATGTCGGAGTCTCAGCCTGGCGCATCGTCCACGACGAGTAACAAATGCGATAGCGGTTTCATTCCTGGCGACGACACATTCACGCAATGGCGCAATATCTTTTCCATATTGATGGGAAAAATGACCGATGAGGGAAAGGAACAGTTCCGGGTTGCGCGGGATCTTCGAAATGAAGCTGCGGATTGCAAACGCTGTGAAGATCAAAGGGACTATTTATTACAATATAGTGAGTCCTAAACCCATGCTCCCTATCTTACTTTCTCGTCTTCCGCAAGCGAACGTCATGTTTTCTTTGTAGAACTACCAGTTGCACTGCGGAGCCAGTTTTCAAGATGGCTGACAGACATCCTTTTTTCCAGGCCCAGTCATCCGGTATTTAAGCGATAATATTCGACAGCTTGGAGGCGATCTTCATAGTCATAACATCTATTGCCGCCGCTGTACAAACAGGAAAGCCGGGGGCTTCGATCCAGAATATGGTATCTTGCTCTGCGCAAACGAGATGAAGGACCAAGGGCATTTGGAAGATACAATGGCACACGAGATGATCCATGCTTACGATCACCTGCGATTTAAAGTGGACTGGTCAAATAATCTTCGACATGCAGCTTGCACAGAGGTATTATGAACCACTTGCCATGTCGTACGAAATTTGCTAAATGTGCACTGCAGATTCGAGCGAGTTCACTAAGCGGAGAATGCCGATGGGCGCGGGAATTCTTCAGACGGGGTCAATGGAAGTTCACGCAACAACATCAGGAGTGCGTACGAAGAAGGGCAATTCTGTCGGTACGGGCAAGACCTGGTTGTAAGGACGAAGCACACGCGGAGAAAGTAGTCAACGAAGTGTGGGACAGCTGCTTCCGGGATACGCGACCATTTGACGAAATCTACCGCTGAGGCCCTTGCGGCGGATTCAGCATGACGAAACTCCAGACGCGAGCTCTACGTTCCTTATATGTGCATAAAACTGTCTGCATTCCCATCCATGTATTATACTCAACTCTTGGAATTCACGAATAGAAGGTACCATATGACGCCGCGGAACCCAAATGACTAACTCCAATTCCCAACAAAAGGGCCCTATAACTTCATGCACGCAGGCTTGAACGACAGACAATGAAAGGTGATTCGGCACCAAAACTCCAAAAATGCATGCATTATCACGCCTTGGGTTCTTTAGAAGTCGCAGAACTACGCTTGGTAGTACGGTCATCCTTCAAGCAATGTTTTAGAATCCAAGGATGTCGCTGGATTTCATCAAGGGAAATGCGCTTATCGGGGTCGAGGACGAGTAACTATTGATGAGGTTAGCAAGGATTCAAGCCTTTGAAGGGATATTGAACGTACCCTTTTGATCAGGTCCTTTGCCTCGGGGCTCACAAATGAGGGCACTGTCATGTCCGCTCTTGCAATCCGCCTTTGCGTCATGACGGGGGTATCTTCAAAAGGTGCTTCTCCAACGAGGAACTCGTACGTCAAGACACCCAAACTCCATAAATCGACCTTCTCGTTGTAGTAGTTGTCTTGCGAGTTCGGCTTGAGCATCTCGGGCGGGAGATAGTCCAGAGTACCACACATCGTCTGTCTTCTATTGTTTGGTGCATGGACGCTCCAACCAAAGTCACTGATCTTAATCTCACCGTGAATACCAACCAGAATGTTCTCTGGTTTGATATCACGATGCATAACATGCTTCTTGTGCAAGTACTTCAGTGCAGCAGCCATCTGGGCAATATACTGAGCGGCCTTCCATTCAGGAAATCGGTGCTCCTTTCGAAGATGCTTATACAACTCTCCTCGGCCCGCGAACTCCAAGATCAGGAAGATCCTCTTGCTGTCGTGGAAATGGCCATAGAGTCGAAGAACATTAGGGTGGCGCAGATTGCTCTGGATCTCGATCTCTCGTCTGACTTGCTTCTGCACTCCACCCTGTTGCAACTCGGATTTGTGCAAGACTTTCAGGGCGCATACAAAACCAGATGATCTCTCCTTGGCCAGGTAGACTCTGCCAAATTTACCCTTTCCTAGAGGCTTGCCAATCTCGAACATTCCCAGATGCAACTTCTTTGGCGATGGCTGCTCGTACAGCGGCAGGCCATGACGCAGTTCTCCATTCTCGTCGGTATCGCGATGTGGTAGTGTGCTTGGGGCTCCTTTAAGAGGAGACGATCCGGCGTGCATAGCATTCACCTTGCTTTCATTGGTATTTTGTAAAGCAAGCTTCAGCAAAGTCGATCGACTTGAGCCGCTGTTGTACTGTCCAGTAGCTCCCAGGCTGGAGAGCGACATGGCTGTGGATAAAGACCCCTGGTAACCGTAATTAGCCTCAAATTCTGTCGCCTCACTAGCTTCAACACAATTAATACCTTGTGCTTTGCATAGGTACTGCTATGTTTTCCGGCCTCGTTGTCATCCTTGACAGTAAGATGCTCGAATCGAGCCTCCAACGTCTTGGTAGCCATGAGAATGGTAGAGTCGTGAGGGAGTCAATTGCTCTAGGCGAAGAAAGAAAAAGCAAGCAAGAAACTTCAATAAAATGGGAAGCTGTAGTTCAAGCAGTCATAATTGAGACGAAGAGTTGTACCTAGAAGTTTGATGGTTAGTATTAAATAACAGAGTGTCGGAAGTAGTGATAGGAAAAGAGGAGTCTCCAGGGTTCCAAATGTTTATCTAGTTATGCTTCTTTGAGCCATCACCACAGCAACGGTTCGGACCGCTTCTTTCTCCGGTACCGCGGGGTATCGACGAGGAGGTCAATTCATCCCAAGGACTATGGGAATTTCAACATCAAGGCTGTCCTACGCTATTCTTCTAGCAAGTGCTACAGCATTGGCTTGAGGCAGGCTAGTAGTATCCTTTCCCACTCTGAAATCCTCTAATAGGTCCGGAATGATGGCTTCTCGCCCTACCCCCGGCCCTTCATGCGCAATGAATACTTCCACAGTCTCTCCCGGCTCTCAGATGCCCAATATGATCTCAGTGGAGGGTTTCCGAATAAGAACACAGAAATTGCCCATCTTGAAAGCTGAGCCGATCGAGGAGATGTCGAGAAGACTGGGTATCGCGCCACCCGAAATGATATTTGGTGACAATCAGATTACCATTGAGTATGAGAAGAAGGATTGGGGAATCACATTCAACGCATTTGATGCACTGGATCGGGTCGACAAAACGGGCGCATCGATGCTCAAAGTTGCGCACTCAAAAGAATGGCAAAAGAGCAGGTGAATCGGCTCCTTTTGGCTACCCTCGGTTCTTCCGGCTGATCAGAGTTAGAGAGAAAACCCATGAAGGTATCAAGGAAGTTGTCAAGCCATTCGATTGGTCCTACAGCACAGATTACATGGGTACTATCCATGCCGACAGTCGACCCTTTGAGCCCACAACAAAACCCATACCTATTGAACTACTGAAGCGTCCAGATCCTATACTGTTCTTCGATGAAGTTGTACTTTATGAAGACGAACTTGCCGACAATGGCATTGCGATATTGTCCTGCAAAATCCGTGTGATGCCCAACAGACTACTCTTGCTCTCGAGGTTTTTCATGAGACTAGATAATGTGTTGATTCGTCTTCGAGATACGAGAGTCTACATCGACTTTGAGACTAAGGAAGTGATTAGAGAATATCTGTCCAGGGAGTGCGATTATGAGACGGTTCGACAGGTAATTCCGGACCCAAACAGCTGTCCCTTTCGTGTGAGAGCGGCTCGTTAACCGACGGTGATTGTATAGTGTCTGGTTACCACAAGGGATGATGTTCCGGCTATCATGAGGGATCCGAACAGACTCTCTGAACTTCTTCCAGTCATAGAGAAACGTTTAGAACGAGTGGCACTAAATGGATAACAGGCTAGAAGACGATTCGTAGTATCATATGATGAATCTCTGGTGCCTGCCAGATCAGTCCAGCACGCTCGACCAGAATTGGGTCCATGAAATATTTCGTTCTCAAAGCGTACGTTCTGGCGATGACTGTTCATGTGCTTGCAAGTGATCGAAGGTCGCAAGCTCCGGTAGTAAATAGACAAAATGACATGATACCCTTACCTTGACTTCTCTCTTCATGCTAGGATAGGTCATTCATGCTATGGTGCTACTGTAATCAGTGATTTGAGACCCCAAGGAAAATCAATCAATCACTTGGATGACATCGCTCCTCCCATTGGTTATCTTAGGATAGCGTAACTAATTACATCAGGCAAACAATGCAAACAAAGCTCCGGCAGCTTCGCATCATTAGCCTTATTTGAAGAATATCTTCCTTAGTCTGCATATATGTCATTCGGAATTGAACATTCAGAATAGAGCTGTGTCTTGTCACTCAAAATGTCTTCCAAAACTCTCAATCTATCATGGCTGCGCGAACTCCACAGGTCACAGTCCACCCGGCCTCAAGTAGGTCCTTTCCACTCCACGGAAGGCAAATCTGAAAAATTGTTTAACCAAGATACAATTACAGGCACATGCATTGAACCCATCGCTTGTCTCATCAACGATTAGCCGGCGCTTGGTTCATTCCCCAGGATCTATCTCCCATCGGATTGTATCTTCGAGTCGGGTATCCTCACCTTCTCCGCTCAATGCTGACTGCCATGTCCTTCAACCCCAACAACGGATATCGGTTCCGGTCCAAAGCTGGCGAGCTTCTTCACGCTTATCAAGGGCTATGATGCCTCGACCGGGGGGTGCCGCAGAGACATATGTCGCCTACGGTATGACGCAGAAATTATTTGAGATGTGTTCGAAGCAAGCCGACTACACCATTCCACAATTATCTCAGAAGGGAGCCCAGGTTCCGAAGACCGAAGCCGGTGAAGATCTTGGAGTTGGGCAAGGGTGGTGGTATGAAGGTGCGTGAGAATAATGATGATTCTTGGAAACCTGCTTCTAGGAAGAATGTGAGGCTTATGCACGACTTTTGTTAGACTTGGGATTGGTCCCGACGTTCTCGACATGGTCGCAGGTCACCTTTCTACATATGTATCTTCTCACTGTGCGGTTACGCGCTTTGCCCTCCTATGAGAGTCTACAGACATACTCTCGCCATTTGATTGATCATTTCTCACACAACGCCGAGCACCGCATGGACGTCCTTCATGGTCTATCGAGTCGCTCCATCCGGAACAAGTTTCTGAAGGATCTCTTCATTCAATGGCGAGGCGTCTTGGCTGCATACGATGAAGGTCTCGTTAAGGGCGATGCTGTTCTAGGAGCCGCTGTTTGGCGAAACTTGTGGAAGGCTAGTCATACTGAGCCGAATGGTGATGAGATCGATTGGACCAAGATCGCACGGGTTGTTGCATACATGCGCCGTGTGACATCGGAGCTTTCTCAGGTGCATGAGGCCGATCTTTTTTTACAACTTGGCTCCCAAAACAGTGGGAAACCGGGCATTTTTGGTTATTCTGAAATGGATAAGCTTGTGGTTGAGGGGAAACAGTGATTATGACCAATCTGTTCGTGTCCAACTCACGAATTCTCACTTCTACTGTCTTATGACTGACACCCTGTGTTTTTATAGCAGCATACACTTATCTTCTACCATTTTTATTTATTTTAAATACTATGTCTTCATCGCTCAAATCATCAGCCTTCACAGTAGATATATCATTGCTAGCCCAAATATCGGGCACAAAGCCGTAAAGTTTTCAGAGAAGCCAAGCCAGCCAGATATTTTATTCTATCTCTTGGGGTGAATTGAGTTTGCATGGTCCAAGGGGATTGGATATCACAGCAAGGAAATCACTGGTGCTGTAAGATGTCCTTACTCCTCTTTCTTACCAAAGAGGTCCTTTTCGACCATAGCACGACAGATTGGATGGTAAAAATCCTTGTATTCCTGGAATGTCTCAATCGCACGTTGGCGGTTGAACTTCTGCAAGTTTCGGTACCTGTATCGCAACTTAGTATCACTAACAAGGAGAAAACCAATGACTTGGCGGGTGTACTCACAAGGGGCGCACGAATTTCATTCGTCCAATCTTGCCCAGCAGTTCGATAGTCGGTTCAAGCACACTCTCGTCCCCGGCCTTCATACCCACTTGACAGTAGAGGTTGGCTACCTCAATATTGTTACTTCTGGCAAGTCCATAGACTTCACCCATTAGTCGTGACAGTTCAGGTGTGAGTTGGTGCTCAGACACAAGAACTTGTTCCAGGAACACTACAATCTGATTTGCCGACAGACCTCGGATGTCGTTTGGCTGAGGCTTGAAAGATGAGCCTGGCAGAGACAGCCATTTCTTGGCTAGATCATAGACGACATCAACAAGCGATGTGTCAAAATCGGGCTTCGGAGGCAAGCCGGGAGCATAGAACCACTTATCCCAGTCAACTTCGTTGAGTGCTTTGGCCGCTTCTGAATCGGCTTGGAAAAAATCCAGGATTGTCGCCTTGAATTCATAAGAGTCGAGGGATTTCCCCTTGAATTTATTGAAGTACTGCGAGTCGTTAGCAAAACATCTTTACAAGCAAGGTATCGGTAGACAAACATGAGGGATAAAGTCATCGAACTTGCTCTTCCCAACCAGGGTTTCGAGGTAGTACAAGAAGTTGAATCCCTTCTCGTATGGAATGCTCGAGAAAGCATCATCCGGGTCCTTGCCCTTCAGGTTGGTGATAAGCTTAGTGAAGTCGTGATCATGACCGAAATGATCCATCGAGTCTGTGAGAGCTTTCCAGCCGATGATGGCCGAGAAATGACGGTAGGGCTCGCCATGACTAGAGTGCTATCAGCAAGAGGCGGCAGGGAGTTGCTTTTGAAAGAACCACTTACACCGCAGCTATGATCTGCCGTTGATGAAAGTTAGATCTCATTTCTTTGTCACACACCGAAGCATCACTTACCCGTCTCTCAAGGTAGGTAGTCCAACCTTCATTCAGCCAGAAATGCTCCCAGGACGCATTGGTGACAAGATTGCCGCTCCAACTATGAGCAAGTTCGTGGGCGATTACGTCGATATTTTCTCTATCCTAAACGCAACCATTAGAAAACCCTTCGCCCTGAGGGTTCTAACGACACCAATACCTTTGAGATGATACTTGGGGTAGCGAAGGTGAAAATCGGGTTCTCCATTCCACCATATGGGAAGCTAGGAGGCAGGATCAGAACATTGTATTCGCCCCAAACATAGGGGTAGACAATTTTCTGCAAGTCAATCAGCATGTCTTTAGAGATCTCGTCCTGCTTCAGGAACCTAGACAAACCTCAATGGCATTGATGAATTTTTCAGTGTCCGCTTCAAGTTCCCACTGACATTCCCTGAGCTTGTCAGGACTGGTCGCAACGACACTACGGGGGCCAATCGAGGCCTCCGATATATCACTGATAGTTACTGGTCAACTTCAACACGCGAAACCCCTTGGAAATACACTCACCCGCTCGCCAAAGCAAAAAGGTAACTCGGAATCGGAACCTTTTGATGGAACTGGTATAGCGATTTACCCTCGGACTTCGAAGTCTCTGGCTGTTTCCGGACGGGCAATCCACTAGCAATCACCGGGAGAGGAGACGTTATGTTGAAGTCAAGGGTACACTTAACATCAGGCGTATCTTGACAAGGAAAAATGGACCGTGCGTGGATAGCCTGACATTGAGAGACTAAAGACAGCTTCGGTTAACAGCAATACTCTTGTTTTCGTCTATCTCTCGGGTCATGGATTTCTTTCCATGTAACTCATCCAGCTTTCATGGTAAGAATTTCGACTGTGTAAAGATATTGACTTACACATGTATGGGTGCTTTTTGTTTGACGTTTGGGCCGGAGTCAGCCACTGGAGTGCAGTACACTTCTCTGTGGTTGTGACAGATATCTGATTCTCTCGTTAAACCGGAATACGACGTCTTCAGAAAATATATGTTCGAAAAAACATACATCAACCTCAATGGTCTCGTCCAACTCCACGGCTTGATCAAGCTTGATCTTCAGCGGGGTGCCATATGGCTCCAGGCGAGGAAGGAATTCCCAGCTAGACGGCTGGCCGTTGACTTTCACACCACCAATATCTAAATGGTTGGTGTCCAGGATAATATCCCGCGACTCGCCGCGGGTCGTCGAACGGAATCGATGAACCACATTGCCAGCAAGCTTCTTCTGGTCGAAGAGAATATCAAAATTTGCAGTGATGTGGATGGATACCCAGTTGTTGTAATTGCTCAGGGTGTTTGGATCCCTGGGGGGGTTGATCACAGTCGCCATGTTACGTCTTTGGCCTCGAGAAAAGTGTAGAGTGAACTGAAGTTGGGCTCCTAAGATGGAAGTCGGTTTTAGACCACTGGGACCAGAGCCGGGAGGAAAGCTGAACCGCCAAAATTGGGCTCGGAGAACATTAATCATATGGAATCCTCCTATCCCTAATAATGCTGGTGGGTGAGACTCAGAGAGTGGACTTACTGGACTGTCTGATAGCTGTGGGGGAGGTTATAAACGGGACGCGGCCACAAGCGGAAGGAGGATAAAGCTCCCTGTATCTATGTTACGTACGCAGTTTTCCATATATTATCTCCTATCGATCCACCTCTATATCGTAGATAGGACTACCAACTTTCCTGGATGCCCAAGTGCTACCGAGGGACCCTGTATGTGTGCTTGTCAGACTACTACCCAAATTCTCAAAGTAAGTTTGGTTGAAGAGATATCTACTGTATGATCTGTATCTGATGAGTAATGTAGGCTGCTAGTACTAGTATTTTTTAGCCTTGAAGGTACCTTTGACAAGTGACAACACAGATACTTGGCATACTTCACGTCGCGCTGATCCAGCTCAGAATAGCGATGGAGAATATGACCCATTTTTCGGCAATGCAAATGTGATCTCTTTATGTACTATTATCGCCTAGGTAGCTATGCATCGCTGTGGGATTAACGAACCCGGCAAAAAATTGATCTACCTATCCTATCAAATCTTCCTGGCGGCACTGCTTAGCTAATGATGGACAGATTCGAAGTATACACAGCTCACTTGAGCTACACGTGATTCTCCTGAGAGAGTCACCCTTTAAGATAATTATTACTAAGCACTTTGGTCTCGCGCGACCAAAAAGACGACCTCAAGCATGCAACTACCTCCAAAACAACTCCTGGGTGATATTTTCGCAGTATTACTTGGGTTTACTGCGCGTCTCCGATCCATTGGCTCTCGCTGTGTAGTCATTCATTTATTTTCAGCTTAATTTTGATACTGCCCTTCGTTTAATAAGACTCGCCGCGCGCAAACAATCTCTGCCTTCGAATCATACCCTCGCATTAGCTACAATGGATACACCCCAAGTGCAAGTAGGCGGCCCGGAGGTCATCCCAGTCCCAGAAAGCACGCAGAACACCGAGGCCCCTGATGTGGAGATGAAGGGATCTCAAAATGCAGTGAATGAGAGCCAAGCAGATAACACACAAGACATCACCTTACCCGACGCGCAACCATCAAGCTCAGAGCCGAAGCCAGCAGAAGCTGCAGCCGCACCACCGCCTCCTAAGAAGAAGCCAGGGCTTCATTTTCTTGAGTAATGACATGTCATGTCCCGTGCAGCGCTCGCACAAGCAAGACGCTCGGCTTACATCTCTCAGCTACCTGACATCACCGATTGTGGAACTTGCCGTTGGTCAGGGCGACAACAAGACCCTGTTGACAGCGCATCAGAGCTTGCTATTAGAATCCCCTTTGCTTGGTGAGGCTGTCGCAGCATTCGGAGAATCAGGTCATGTGCGTATTCAGCTTCGATAACTGTTTGCGAAATATTAACATTCGGGATGGGATTGCTGTTCCATAGAGGCGCATTGAACTTCCAGATGAGGATGTTGAAGCTTTCGGCTGCTTCCTTCAGTTCCAATATACCCACGAGTACTCTGCCTCTCACAGCGATTCTTCCGCCGACCAAGACGCTGTTATCGGAGAGATTGACGACAGCGGCGAGAAGTTGCTGAAACATGCTCGTGTTTACACCTTAGCTGAAAAGTTGGGAATGCCCGCGCTCAAGACGTTGGCGCACTCCAAGATCCATAGAATTAACAGTACCTCGCACGGCGAAATCGCATATGCCCGCTACGTCTATACACATACCCCCATTGACGATGTAACAATCCGAAAGCCCGTGGCCTCTTTCTGGGCTACCAGAAGCCATGTTCTGCGACACGAGGCTGAACAAGAGTTCAAGAAGCTGTGTCTCGAAGTGCCTGAGTTCTGCTTTGATGTGCTCTCTCTAGTTCTAGATCAGAAAGAGAAGCGCGCTCAGGACAGAGCAGAAACAGAGTCCGGTGTCAAGGGAAGTGGTCGAAAGCGTCTGAGAAGCGGCATTTGAATGACTATTCTCTCACACATGGATTCATCCAGATGAGTGCATCGTATTCAACTGAAGAACAAGTGTCGACATTCGGCTTTTCTACATATCCATAATCATGTGTTGACATCACCAAAAAGACTTAGTCTTGTCTCCTCTTCTCTTTCACAGGCTCACTCTGAGCGGGTCATGTTTTTTGAGAGCCTATCAATAACATATGGTGTACATAATTCACCTGGTCTGGGCATGAAGCTATGTATCAAGGAGAGCATAGGGAATTGTCCGACTCACAAACAGTGAGAAGAATGAGACTGCTTAGGCAGCCAAACTTTCTATCTCCTCCACGGTTTTGGGCGTAGTCGTCAGGTTGTCATATCCGTCCTTAGTCACAAGGACATTATCTTCGATGCGAACTCCGCCGACACTCCAATACCGCTCAAGGACATCAGTATCGATGTATTTGCTTGATTCGGAAGATTTGAGGTAAGGTTCAATAATGAATCGGCAGAAATAGATCTGGTGTTGGATAAAAACATGTTAGCGGAAAGGGTTGAGAAGATGAAGAGATCATGATCTTACACCTGGCTCCACCGTGATCACCGATCCCGCAGGCAAACGCCCCCTGACACGAAGATACCTGAACATAGTGTCCTTATCCGCGTAATTCGGGTTACCACCAGTATCATGAGTGTCCATTCCCAGATAATGACCAAGACCATGAGGAAAGAAAGCGACGCTAACCCTTTTCTCAAAGATCTCGTCCTCTGAACCGCGTAAGATCCCTAGCTCGAGCAAACCACGGATCGCGACGTGGTGGGCGTGCGCATGCACTTCTTCCCACTGAACCCCGTCCCGTAGCATTTCAATACATTCTACTTGCATCTGCAACACTATTTCGTAGATCTGTCGTGTTTCCGTGGTGAATCCTCCACCTAGAGGAAAGACACGGGTAATGTCCGAACAGTAGGTACGGTACTCCCCACCCGCGTCAATGAGCACATTTCTTTTCTTCTTTTTGGTGACAGGGTCGATGAGGGCATCGCTGTTTCTGCCGTAGTGCAGAGTAGCCCCATTCTCACCGCAAGCTACAATAGGGTGATAGGCCTGCTCCCGGGCACCGTTGGCGATGCAAGTTGCAATGAAAGCGCCTTCAATTTCACGCTCATTTTCAGCAATTATCGAGGCCTTGATCGCTGCAACGTGAGCCTTGGTAGAGATGTCATTCGCTTTGCGTATGAGTGCGATTTCATACTCATCCTTGACCACGCGGGATTGCTCAATGGCACCCTTCAGCACAGATTTGTTAATCTCAGAGAAGCCATCAAACTTCGTCTCTGGGGATACTTGATCAGCAATGTTATAGGCAACTGCTCGGCCACCGTGCGCAGACGCGATAGAGGCAAGTGTGCTATTGACTTCTGTTGTGATTGACACACGGTCGACGTCGTACTGCTGCAAAGCCTCATCTGTGGATAGCGGAAGGCCAGACCAAATGACATCCTCAGGATCAACTGGAGGGATGAAGAGAGTCAATTTGTCCTCAGTAATGTCATAAACCAGAGATGAATCGGGTAACAAGCACCCTGATAGGTAGAAGAATGGACGACGTTGCCTGACCGTCAATGTTACTCAATTTCTGCCCCTCGCGTGCCAAATATTGGGGAATGAATAGTTTCGTACCTAAATGGCACTGGCTCGTCATTGTCTTCAATCAATCGAGTTTTTTGCGCCTCCAGATAGATGATTCCAGGGCGTCCATCTTGATGGGGTTGGAGACGTTCGGCCACACGGCGTGCATGAGCTTTCGCCGGATATTTGGCGGCCAGGATAGCGTCCACCGTAGCCATCGTGCCTTTCCTGAATGAAGATAAAAGAGTTTTGACTATCATCAAAGAGTCGAAAAGCTCCAGGTTTGTATTTGCTTACACCTGCCTGGTGGGTGCTCATAAATTCATTCGGAATTCGGCTGCTGCGGGGGCTGCGGGGCAACATGGAACTAATGCACGCGGTTACTCTCGGCGTTTGTTTGAGCAATAATAATGAGGATTTTCGATTCAACCTATCTAATGCAAAAGAAACACACCTACTACCTAGTTTCTGCAAAATTACCAAGAGTCGCATGGAGCTTGTATTAGATACGAATCATCTTCCAGGGCATGGATATTGCATCAGGTCCCTATCTATTAATATTGCGAAAACAATAGAAACGACCAGCACTACGTGTAGTCTACCTACAAGGACTCGTCTGACTCCCTGATGTAACCACATCCTCAAAGTCCATCTCCCATTTATCAACTTCCTGGAACTTTTTTGCTTGCAGTTTGAGTTCCTCGCTCAAGAAATTGGCAGCTGGTAATTTCACGGGCGACGAGTCTATATCGAATTCATCCGTATCGAGAGGCGAAGACAAAGGCGAGGACATCTCAAAGGCTTGGTTTTCTTTATTGCCTCCGGAGGTCTGGGAGCCATACGTTCGAGGCTGCCTCGAGTCTCTCACTATCGACTGCAGCTGGACAGACGCCGATCGTGGATCGAGTCGACTGCTTGCTACCGTGGTTGTTATGTGCTTCTTTCGTTGTGACCTGACAGTTCCCAGTGGTGCCGGCTTGCCCTTCCGCTGTTGCTGTGTACGAACCGGCTTTCTGGTAGGCAGGTAGCTTAACTCGTCTTCCTCTGGGTCAACAGGATTATTGTCTTCGCTTCCATCACTGGAAACGTTATAGGTGGTGCCTCCACGCCGTTTGCGATGCCTTTGGCGTCGGCGAGGCAGAAGTCTATCCTGAAGTGCTGCTGTAGAGACATGGGCATTTTCACTCTTTGCTTGTTGATTGCGTAGCATTAACTTTCCATCTGTGATTGTTTGCAGTGGCTCCTCCACTGGCATTGGAGGGCTGCTTCTAGGACTTGACAGCGGGCTACTGCTAGCAGGCGGAGCCATTGCCTGGCTGGTTGCTTCCGAATATTCCAGTAACCGTGTGACTCTATCTGAAGTGTTGCGCTCTCCATCATCAATCTCAACTGAGCCAGGAGGTGTGTTTTCCACAATTTCCAGGGGCGACTGCGGAACTTGGAGCTGTTCGGCGGCACGTTTGCGCTTGCGTGAACCACCGGTTGAGGGTAACACATTGTCCGAAGTAGGTGATGAGCCGGGATCGTTAGGCAGAAGGGATTTCGCTCTGGAGAGATTCAGGGGGGTCGACTCGTCCTCCGGACTCAGCCCACCAAGAAAATCGTCATCATCAAGGTCTCCGAGATCAGATGACCCATCGTCTGCCTGCATCATTTGCAGGATACTTGGTTGCCGAGGTCGCCTCCTAAAATTGCTCAGTATCGAACTCTCGAAGCCTGGAGTGGCGGGAATCTTCGAGCTCATATCACCCCTCCGTCTGCCGACCGATAGTGTAGCCGAATAGCCTCGTGCTCTCGTAGGTGGTCTGCTGCCTGTAGCTCCACGTTCCCCGGTTGGAGAGGAATAGATCGCTTGTTCTTGCGCTTTGGTCGTGGGCGTCTGACTTTCCAATTGCAAACCAAGGTCTGAATCTTCTCCGCCCAGCGCTGGCTGTTTACCTGTCGCATTGTCCATTTCCTTATCGGGCGCGAATCCCAGATCAATTTCAGGGCTTCTTTTTTGCGATCCTTTTCTATCCAGTGAAGCCATAGACGCAGCTGGTGCGCGACGTGATCCATGATGGCTACGCTTTGTGGGTGGGCGTGGCATGATCGCGGACTCCTGAAGGGAACAAAGGTCAAGACCGTAATATCAATAATGGCTATTAGAAGGAGAGAAATTTTCTGGCTCAGATTCCGATCAGAGCCTGGGTTTAGTAGTTTGCAGAAGCCGTTGGAGGTTGGTGGGAGCCGGAGATAGAGTGAATGAGGCTAATGTCAACAACGACTCGAAACGCGCAGACGCGTAGTGGATGATAAGCCCAGGTACCAATAGTATCCAAACCTTAAGTAGTGCACAGTGGTGAGTGAAGTATGTACAGATGGAACTTCTCCTGTTTGTCTTTTCTAAAATGTAGAAAGATATGGTTAGTATTATGGACAATATGGTATGCTGAAACTTCAAATCTCATTTCCTTCAAAGTCCTGTTTGATTGTAATTCTCTCTCCTTTTTCTCCCTTCTCCCCTCCCTCTCCCCCCGCCAACCTTTTGTCCTGCGACGCGTATCTTAGCTATCATAAGGTGTACTCAGAGTCCGTTGCCGACTTCCAGAAGGTAACCTGGTCTCGTGTCTGTTGCCATTTTTACAATAATAAGGTACCCCAGTACTCTGTACCCTGGAGGTAAGTTCGCCTTTTTGAACTGGACATGTCTACACTGTACTTCGCGGAGTCTGCTGCTCGGCATACACACCTTTAGGGTACGGAATTCTCCACACCAACTAATAAATAGACTTCAAGAGAGTCTAGTAGTAGTAGTAGTGCCTTGGGCGTAAGCAGCATGGTTTAACTCAAGTGGTTCACTCGTACAGCCTCTATTTTCTTTTTTGGAAGAGAATTCTCAACAACTATCTTCCAGAAATAGATAGGTAGGGAATATGAGGTCATTAATTCAGTCAAGCACAAGGTAGTTGTTGACTCTGTGAGAGATCCTTCCATTGAAAAATCGATTAAGAGATAAGCCAGATCGACGAACCACCACCATACTAATAGATAGTTCTCTGTAGAGACCACGAGTTGAAAAGATGGGGGGGCCTGAGATTCAGTGATAGACTCGTCGGCCAATTTCGTATATATGGCTTCCCATAATCCCATTAAAACCTGCATGGGGCATGGGTAGGTTAGCGATGATGGGTCAAGTCTGATCTGTAAGCCTGTACTCCTAAGTATCTAGTATTCTGGAGCTCAGTGCTCACTACCTAGCTTAAGGTAGTCTAGTTGATGCGCCTAGGCTTTTAATTTGACTCTCGAGTAGTCATTGGGCCAGTAGTGAATTGTTCTGACTCCCGAATCAATTCATTGTTCTTCCCCCGCTCCCCAGATACTATGATCGAATATCCATAGGATGATGGGAGTTCCAATATAACTAGATCCGCACTATGGCCTGTCTAGGACTACTCATGAAGACATTCAATTTCGCTTCTTTGCTCTCTAGAGTGTTTGCTCAAACAGAAAACTCGGTCTTTCCTCCCCCCCCCCCCCTTCCTAACTCCCCTCTTACTTCCCAGGACTCTTTTTTCAGGGACTTCGTCTGACCATGACATCTGAACAGCTCGTCTAAGAGGCTCCGTGCCCTGCGGAAAGCTACTGCCCCTTCAGCAATGCATTTCTGATCCTTACGGCAAACTTTACCGACTAGCCTTTGTGGGCATTCTTTGCTCAGAATCTGGTCCTCTTCGGCTTTCAAGACTCTGTTCGAAAATGTTCCATGCACCCGAACTACGAGTTTGGTCTTAGATGAGTCTTCGCCGTGATGAACAACAGCAATCACAGCAAAATCGGCCAATGTAAAAGATTATTGCTTGCAGCTTCTTCGAGAATCAAGCCAGTGGCGCTGTCTCATCTTGATATGAGCTCACCCTGGCCATTACCATCATGACGCCTTCCCCAGAGAGGGACTTGGTCCTCGACTCAGCCTCCACAGCTGCCATTGGAGAATTTCAAGTCAGCAAGAAAAAGCGATCTAGCTCGGAGCTGGCAGAATATCCCCGAAGGCGTGCTACTATCGCAGTATGTATCTTTGGTGTCCCGTCTTGCTCCTTCGCTTGTATCTTTAATTGTGGTGTCAATTGACCTATGAGGTGTACTATAGTGCCAAATATGCCGCCTACGAAAGACCCGGTGTAACGGCGCACGCCCAAGGTGTCAGCTATGTACAGATCTCGATGCGGACTGTGTTTATAGAGAGCCAGGAATCAAACTTGATGCTGGCGACAAGTTGATCATTGAGAGGTTGAACAGAATTGAAGGGTTGCTCCAATCCAACCTCTTGGGACAAGCCTCTCACTTCCCGTTATCCTCCACATCCCCTGCCACCAGCAACGATACGAATGTGGGTAGTGATGATGCAGCTGCCAAAGCATCTACTATCGCGGCTATGTCTGGGAGAACTTCGATTGCTGGACTAGCGTCGTGGGCGAACCCCCCCACGAGCATTTCAACGATGCCCAAGGTACACACTACTCCTGCGCTGCACCTCTTACAATGGCCTCTCATTCGGGACCTTATTGCCGGGCCTTACGATGCTCAGGCATTGCTGCAGCTCGAAATGGCTCGTGAACCGCTGCGCATTCCCACTTCTGTGGGATTCGACTTAACAAACTCGGCCACTTATGTGCAGGCATTCTTCGAAAAAGTAAATGTCTGGTATGCCTGTGTCAATCCCTACACGTGGACAACTTATCATAATAAGGCTGTCTCCCGGAGTTTCCAAGAGGGGCCCGAGAGTTGCGTTGTTCTGCTTGTTCTGGCTCTAGGAAGTGCCAGCCACTATGGAAGCATCGCATTCATTCCCCCGGACATGGAGCCGCCGGGGCTACCTTATTTCGCAGCAGCATGGAATCTTCTCCCGTCTGTCATGATGCGCAATTCTGTGATCGCTGCTCAGTGCGTCGTCCTCGCCTCCGCCTATCTATTTTATCTGGTCAGACCACTGGAGGCCTGGACGCTTCTATCGAATGCGAGTATGAAACTACAGTTACTTTTTGGCGACCCCGCCCGTGTTCCCCTTCAATGGAGAGAATTGAGTGTGAGAGTGTACTGGAACGCTCTTTTGTACGAGAGCGACCTGCTCGCGGAATTGGACCTACCTCATTCTGGAATTATCCACTTTGAAGAACTCGTTGACCTCCCGGGAGGATTTGAGGAGGAAGTCGAAGAAGATGAAGATGATATCGAAAACAGCGATCGCGAAAGCGCCCCTGTGAACGGTTCCGCAGGTCGCGAGGAACTATGGTACTTTTTGGCGGAGATTGCGCTGAGGCGACTCTTGAACAGAGTCAGTCATCTGTTATATCAGAAGGACAGTTCACTGACGCTCGGGTCGTTGGGGCCTATTGTGTCGGAGCTGGACTTTCAGCTTTCACAGTGGTATGACAATCTGCCTCAACCAGTTCAGTTTCCCCTCAACCATGCACCGATTTCCAATCCGGTACAAACGGTCCTTCGGCTGCGATATTACGCATGCCGGACGATTATTTACCGACCGTATATACAAGCGGTCTTTGAGAATGAGCAAGCCGCGGCAGACCAGGTGGTAAGAGAACGCTGTCGGCGGTGTTTGGAAGCTACACTGCGGCAGTTGGAGAACATTACGAGCCACCGTGAGGGACATCTCCCCTATCTTTGGCAAGGCGCTCTCTCCATGGTATCACAGACCTTACTAATCATGGGGGCAACCATGTCACCTGGACTCTCCACCTTACTGCCACCGGGATTCAGAGTGGATGCGATCATCTCCAGCGTAATCACTGAGGTAGGAAGGTATGCACATCTCGCCCCAAGTCTCAAGCTGTCCGCAGAGATTATCCGCGACGCGGAGAAACGACGGAAGATCTGTCTCAGGTCCACGACTGGACGCGTCTAGGTAAGCAGATGGGTTCTTGGGTGTCTGGCTATCTGAAAGCTCCGCTCATAATGCTTCCTTCGTCGTTGGAGCCGTGACTCGGTTGTCGTACACCATGCCAGGGAGATATTCCGCTTCCTCTTTCTTCTTGACTATTTTTTATCAGGCGTCTTTCGTCTCTTTTGCCTTGTCGTATCGAGAGATCAGGCAAGGATGCTGAGAACTTGGGATGATGATTTAGGGATTGAACTCGGTCATACTTATTCATTGCTCTTCTTTTTTCCAGTCCCTTTTATTTCCCCAATTCACTCTTCTGCTTTCGTGCCGTGTGCCCATTGGGTATTCCTTGCCTATGCGACAACCAGCTGGTTCAATCATCAGTCATTGGGCCGCATTGGAAGCTCATGGAATAATCCATATATGTGTGTGTGTGTGTGTGTGTGTGTGTGTTTGTACCCTGATGTTATGCCTTGGGAATCTGAGCAGCCATCATCTCCATGAACTGCCACCAGACATTCTTAGGAAGAATATTTTCTGAAGATGCTGGCGTTAAAAATATCTTACTTGGTGGGATACATGGCTTCTTGTGAACTTAGGATTAAACTAGTAGTACTTCCCTTGAGATGTATGGTTGGCTTCACATCATCTGTGCAATTTATCTGATACAGTCCCCTAGGCAGGAAAATAAACAGGCCAAGAACATGTGAGCATTATACAGACAGTTTGAATGTTCTTCCCAGAGTTCGTAGGTCAGATAAGCAAGATAAAAAGAAAAGAAATGAATTGACAGAAGGATATCAATACTTGTGTTGAGGTGCCACAAAGAAAAGCTATGTGAATATGCATATCCGCCAGCTAAGTCAGGCATCAGCCAGGCTTCCACCTCCCTTCAGGCTGGGTTTGCCCCTTTCCCGCTCCGCACGTTCAGCTGCTGGTCTCCAATGACTGTCTAGAGTCTCCCTACTACTATCTACTTGCTACTAGTAACTAGACCTCCCGCTTCTCTCTCCCCTGAGCCAGAACCAGGAGTCCAGGATCAGGACCGCCTTTGTGGTCTGGATAATCCTGTGATCTATCGCCTGTACCTTTCCACGTCTCAACCATCATTACCATCATGCCCTGAATGCTCACATCATCTGTCTTATACCTCTATCTAGTCGAGTTCCGGAACATCAATTTTATTTACCAGTCTTTCTTAAGAGTCCACCATCTTCTAAGCAATCTTAACCCCGCGTCGGTTGTTCACTACACTTCTTATTAGACACGCCGGTACGTCTGACACCAGCCATGGATCATCTCGAATATCTTCTTTCTGAATGCCCCAAATTGCCATGGCGATTCATTCAATTAATTTCCCCTACAGCATCTTTTCTCCCAAGTCTCTCCCTATCCGCCAGTACATTTAGCGGTTTGTTGCGCCGCCTTTCGAACTAGCGATTGTGACTTTATTTTGCGCCAGCCGCAGCCATAATTCGCGCCCTAATATACACTTTTGATGCGTTAGCTCTGACTGTGGATTATCTGCGATCCGCCTCTTGAAATCGGCGCAAGGAAGAACGCAGCAGCCTGCATATAACTACGATGCACTGATTCGGGTTGTTGGCGACAAGGAGAAATACATTGGAGCGACACTTCGTTTGTTTATGCATACATCGGTTCTGTGGCTATTCCCGCAATCAGTCGTTCCTCGCTCAAAACCCCTGGATAATGAAAGGGATATTTCTGAAGACTTGTCCGCGATATTGGCGACCAATACAAGATACATCTCAACTCGCTGGATCAAAAAGAACGCTTGAAATCCGCAATCCTTGAGCCACCGTAGGGACATCTACCCTTGCGCTGCCACTTTCGACTGTACTGGGCTCTGGGTTAAAGGCAGTATCATCGGTGGCTGACGTCCTTCCTTTTGCAGTCACAATTGGAACTTCCAGCATAGGAGATCGGGCGCACAGAGACCCTCTGTTCCTATATCGCACAAATCGCTCTTCGTCTCCATCTTATCACTTCTGCATTGCTCGACTCTCTTATACAGCCAATTTCATCTTCACTTCAATGCATGAACATTTAACTTTGGAAGGTGGGACCAGACCTTCATATCAGCAAACCCAACCTCGACCCGAGTCGGCAACGGTTGCGCCTGTGCCGTCCATAGAAGTGGCTGCTTCGCGGCAATCACAATCATCCTCTTGGAATTACTCACTAAACCAAGTCGAGAAGCGTATTGCGGAAAGCGTACCACACTCGGGCACGGCTACACCAACGATGCCTGGGTTGGTATCAGAATCAATCATAAAGCTACCCCTGAATCCCTCCAATGATCATGACGAGATTCAAGAGGGTCTAGGCAGCTTAAATCGCTGGTCCCAATCGACAGTCTCAACCAGAGACTCGCCCCTCGGTCACTCTCGCAGAAGTTCATTGATTCATGACCGTACTTTATCCGAGACAAATGCGAGCCCAAACAGAATTTCGAGCCCTCAGCATAATCTCTTCACTGACCATCACATTCAAGGACAGAGTCGTCATATTTCTCGGGGTTCAGTCTCACCAAGTCAAACCATAAGCCTGGAGCTCACACCGTTCAATAATCATGAATTGCCCCGCTTCGCAACAACAGATGTCGACAAGGCAGCTTTGCATTCTAAAGATGAGAGTTCGGAGTTTGCGTTGACCGCTCCTGGTCTGTTTCAAAACCCATGGACTAAGTCAGGGGTGACAGACATGGATTCTGTCGAGCATACTACAGCCTACGAATCAACAAGCCCTCACTATGTTGGTGATAGTTCACACTCATCGGCTATGGAGCGGGTACCTGGGAAACGACGGCGAGCGTATTCTCAGAAAGCAATGCTTTCAAAGGCCCTACAAAAGGCCAATACTGCAGTTCTCCTTGATAACGCAGCTAATTTTGAAGGTGCTATGGAAGCGTACAATGACGCCTGTCAGCTCCTCCAATTGGTCATGCGACGCAGCAATGGAGGGGAAGACGAAAGGCTAAAACTTCAGGAGATCGTGAGTTTCATTTACCAGAAGCCTTGTACTGTTTCCAATAATTGACTTCTGCAGCGCGACACCTATATGCTCCGCGTCACCGAGTTAAGGCGTATGGATTTCTCGTTTCGCGAAGCTAATAGCAAAGCGCTCCCCGAGCGCCCACTCAGTCAAGAGTCATTCGGAGAATTGTCACCATCATTGGAAGACAACGATTATCATGATAGTGGGACCCGGATAAATTATTTGCAGCCTAACTCCTTTCTTCATCGCCGGTCAGCATCTGGAGAATCGAGAATTCTGGCTCCCGATCAAATTCCTCCAAGGCGCCAATCTTTGTTGCCATCCCCTCTAGATGATGAAGCAAGATATGCAACTGTGTCACCGGCCTTTGATAGGTCAACCAAAGCAGAGCCCTCCTGGCAGCCTCCAGCAAGATTGCTTGAGGATGCAGGGGTGCCTGGGCAGGTCGCACAGATGCCGGAAGGGAAAAGCCTGGAAGACGAGTCCCAGTCTCGCCATCATCACGCCGAATTGTCTCTGTTAAGCACTCACGCCAGGGACATTTACGAATCGACATCCTGGCTCGACACCATTGACGAGTCCGGTGCTTCTTCTCCATCATCAACGCACTCGCAAGTATCATCTGTATATCTAAGGCGAAGAAGCCGGCCGCTCAGTCACGGGACTGAGGCTGAATTCGATGCTGCATTGGACGCCGCCGTTGAGGCTGCTTATGATGAAGGCTTAGAACCGGCAGTCAATGTGGGTAATTACAGCTCGGACGACGACGTTGTTGCTCACGTTCGCAAAAATGTCGAGCTGGCGAAACAAAGGGTAAGAGAGGTGGGAAGAGAAACCACAATAACTATGCATCAGGACCACAAAATGCAGCCAAATAATGGACACTCGGCGTTCCAAGATCCTGATGATGCAACTCCAGACTACCTTGACGATGAAGCTGAGGAAGAGGAGAGGTTGCTGGAAGAAATGACCAGAGGTTACGTTATGGACGATTTTGCGTTTGATCTCCAGTCAAAGTCAGCTCTTCCACGTCAGTCGGATACGAATACTTTCCTCGGTAGAACCTGGGACAATACGGCTGGTTCTGCCGCAGTTACGACAGCGGCTGGTTTGGCTCTTTCTCCGTTGACAGAAGATGACATTCCGTCAACTACGGATTCTGAAGCTGACCAGAATGCGCTTCCTTCTCTGAAGCATACTCACATTTCGACCCCAGATGAGTCCACCAGTATGCCCAAACAGGCCTCTGTGCCAGGAGCAATCTCGGGCGTGCGAGCGCGAAGGATGTCAGGTCAAAATATGACAGAGCTGACAATTGAAACAAGCTCTCGTTCGAAATCCGCAAACGAAGTTCTTAGCCAGGAGCGGCCCGCAGATTCGGCGACATTCCGACCACCTTTACTCCCCAGAACCAAATCTCAAATCAACTTCTCCACACCTTCCACAACGACGACTCAGACTCCAGCTTCCATGACTAGATCCATGGAACACGTAAATCAAAGGAGGCCCTCTGTTGTTTCCTTGACGGAAGACAGCCCAACGACCGAAGTGCTTGACCGAGGTATCACGCAGGAAGAATTATCTCATGCCGGAACAATGAAGGTGCCGTCTCCAGTTCGTCTCATTGGCAAGGTACCCTCGGCGCCCGACAATCTGGGCAAGCTCAACTCGGGTCTGAAGGCATTTCGACCCAGGAATGTTTCGGTGCCAGCACCTGATCCGTCTGCAATCTCACCGGATACGCCTTCAAGCGGCGCTTTTACCGATTTTCACAAGGGACCAGCAGCCGGCGCAACGCCTTCTCTACCCACACCAATTGGTGCTACTTTTACTACTCCTGGACTGACAGCTGGAGGTCTATGTCTATTTGACAGTCATATTCATTCGCCGACGAGTCCTGGGTCACCAAACCCAATGGCTGCAAATGCCCCTGTTCCATTAGAGCCATGCCCTGAGTCATTCCTTCTGCGCCCATTCTGGCTTATGAGGTGTATCTACCAGACCATTGCTCACCCACGCGGCGGTTACCTTTCAAGGAAGTTATTTGTCCCCCACGATATCTGGGCAGTGAAAAATGTCAAGCTGAAGGCAGTTGAAGAGAAAGTGTCAAACTGCGACTTGCTAACGGCAGCGTTGCTTAAACTTGCCAAGGTCGACACTTATGATGCCGATGCCGTCCTCGAGGAGATGCAATCATTAGAGACCGTTCTCGATCAAGTTCAGGTTTCTCTTTCAAAGAAAATAAGCAGCGAAGTTGGTGTTCAAGGAGCTATGCCTCTTTTCAGGTATTCTCAGAGTACAGATGAAGTGACAAATGCTACCGATGTACTGCCATCGAAAGTTTCAACTGTTTCGGGTAAATCATCGTATCTGACGTCGTGGCGAAAGCTACGATCGAAGAACTCAGGCTTCGGAGCTGCTGTACCTCCAGTGCATCCCAAAGAAGCCACTAAAGACAACTTGACTATTCATTCTCTCCCTATGACATCGACACCAATCTCTCAATCCGCCAAGCGCAATACAGCGCAATTTCAGTTCACTGGACCCAATGCAAATTACATGGCTGCCCTCGCCCGCCTTTGCGACGCGGCGCAGGTCCTTGGTGAGCCCATGTTCCCAAATATTTTGTTCAACTTTTCTAATGCCGAATCACGGTTTAGATCAAATTGCTCAGCAGGTCGAAGACCCAGGTCTCAGGCTTTCTTCTCCCACTTTGATTGGTCTGGAGTTGAGTACACGCCATGCCGCCGAATTTTTTGGCTTCTATGTGTGCCGTTTCGCCCTGAACGACATCGGGATAATGCTCGACAAATTTATCAAGAGAGGAAGTGAGTGGGTCCTGATCTAGATGGATGCCTCTGTGCTGGAGTAGCCCTCTCTGCTCTTTCCCACAAACTGAAAAACATGTATCATCAGTCTTGAAAGCCTATCGTCCTCTTCTACATTCTGGCGTCTATTGAATGTCGACACCTTACGTGCAGTATTGCAATTTTAATGAGATCCATGCCATGGCCTGACAGGGGAATTTAATCTTTTTATCTCTCTAGAGTATCTCTTTCCCCCATGATTTTCTGCTGTACCTAGAGACTGCGTCCAGCTCAGGCTGTTGTCTATGAAGCAATTTAGACTCCTCGCGCTCAGGTTATCAAAGAAGAACAACTGTCTGAAAACATACACTTCATGGTTCTTCAGTCTGTTTTTGGCCTATCAATCTTCCATGGAGTGCTCTGTCTCTTCAAGTGTAGTTCTAGGCCATAGAATGGTGCCCAGCCTGTTAGAAGCTTATCGTCTTTGGGCTATCCTTCAGGGAAGTAGAGCTCCTAAACAGATTTCATTTGGATACAAACCGATTCTCATAGATCGACTATCACGTCCTGAGCACTTGGCTCTCCTTCTCTTGAAAGTTTAATCTGCTCATTTAGGGGCTGGACAAATGATTACATAGCATTCATATTGAGTAAGAAATAAGCTTGAAAAGAGCCTATTCCTCACTTTCATCCTCATCGCTCGTGGCGTCAATGTTCTTTCTAGAAGAGTACACAACGTCGGCCCCCATGCTAGGTTCTGTCCCATCTCTGGGAACCTCATCTGCCTGACCATCGTCCCCACCGTAGTCTGGTCGTGATATGAATTGACCACTCTCCCTCAATGCAGTCTCAATGTCAGGTAACAATGTCACAAGGGAGGAAAATTGATCAATTGGTAAGGAGATACCCTACAGCGAAAGGTTAATTTGAAACAAGTAAGGTCAAGTCACGAGTAACTTCCTGCTCACCTTCTTTCCTGGGAGCTCTTGACCATCCCTCTCGTAGTATTCTCTAATATTGATGAAAGTCTTGCCTCGAAAGGAAGATACAGTGACGCGGCGCATCTTCGAAAGCTCCCAGAATTTGTCACCACTTGCGTCAAGTCTCCAATTCTGTGCACTTCCTATGGATTGATGTGCTGCCTCAGTGTCTCTCTTCGATTTTTCCATCTTGGCCCTCTTAGGCGGAAATTGTCCACCATCGATGAAATCATCCACCGCACCTGACACGCGCTTCCGGGATCCAGATGGCATTGTCACTGTGAAAAGAGTGTTCCTGGAGATGTTGGGGAGAGGTCACAAGTACGCCACTGTTTATTTGCAAAGCTTTCAATTGCCAACCAGACAGCGCTCACAGGAAATCGGGATGATTGATGGTATCTATCCTTCGACGCGTAGCTCAATAGTTGGGACGCATAATCACGTGAAGATAGCGATTTGATTGAGCAGAATATTTAGCCGCCTCTAATCGAAGACAGAGATATATCTATCATTTCTACACGCTGTCCACAATGAACACAATCGAAGTGGGGAAAAGACATAGCAGCGGCGGCGTCGTCATCATCGTTATCATCAGAATTGCAATCATACATTACACTGATGTGGTCTCAGAAAGTGGCGGCCCGCAAAGCCTGGAGAAGAACGGAGAAAACGAAGCCCCTTGAAATCATTTCGACTTGAAGACATTCAAAGACTTTTTCAAGAGCTTCTCGACTGGCAGCTGCTCCCATGACACCCGTAAGCGCCTGCGGTAGCCCCTTGGTGATAAGAAGTCTCTTTGCAGTGTCTCTCAAGCGTGCCTTTTCAGTGGCACTTGGCGACTGAGGCCAGGACCCCCGTTCCTCCTCCGTTGGCAGAGCGTTCTCGCGAAGTCTTGTGAGATGAAATGCGATTGCTTCATCAGAAGTATTAGCTTCAAGCATTGACTCTTGTATCACGGAGTTAATCATCCCTAGAGTAGGGTTTCCAGGACGCAGGATATATGATTTAGCCGCGTTCAGAAGGGTCCTTCTAAAATTCCAGGCGGAACTTAATGAGTAGAGTTCGTTTATGACAGCGAATATGAGCTCCACCGCTATCTGCGTCTCCTCCTGAGTGAAAGCGCTTTCCTGTTCTCGACGAAAGCCCCGACTGTGCGGTATTGTTTGCTCCCTCTTGACTGTCAAATCCAAATCGGCTTTATCGCTTTCGTTCAATCCAGTGAGGGGCGGCCCCGAAAGATAATCTGTGGGTGCGGATTTGGACATTGTGTGAGTTTCACCCCTCGATGCATTGTTGTAAAGAGCTCCATCTTTGTCAGGTTCGATCAGGTCTTTGTCTGAACACCCCATGTCCGAGAAACTTGATGTTTTACCGGTGCCTGGGACAGTCGGAAAACGTGTCCTCTCATTGCATTCACGCTTTCTCAGGTTTGTAAAATCATTCCCATCATTGCTCCTTTCTTGCTCGCCAGCATTCTCAATGGTTGGAATATCTGAGGCTGAAAAGCCATGCGAGTCCTTGTCTTCGTTCAAAAGCGCCTTCTTGCCACTTCCTCCGAATACTCCAGTCACGCCACCGAAGACGGCTTTGCCTCCCTCAGCAACGCCCCTAGGTGCATTACTTAGAACACCAAGGACTCCTTTTCCCACGTTTTCAAACGCAGCCTGGGTAGCATACGGAAAGCCAGACTTTGTAGAGGTATCTCTAGAATCAGGGCCAAAGCGTTCGGTTTTCTCAAGAAAGCGTTTCATCCTCTGCGAGTTGGCAAGGGCTTCGTGTTTGAGTGCATCCTGAAGATATTTCTGCAGATCACATACCAAGTCTTGCTTTGTCTGGCCTTTCCAAGTAGGCAAAACAGGGTGGGCATCGATGAAATTCTGTATATTGTTGAGTCTCGATATCGTATGGATTGTCTCGTGAAGGGATTCGAAATCTACATAACTTCGGAGTACCATCCATCCGGTGCACCGAATGGAGGCTGGCTCAATCTGGATTAGGTAATCTGAAGTAGGCTTCGACCGAAATGACGTCCTCTCGTCTTGCTCTGAGGAGTCATCAATAGAAACAGAAGCTGCATGAAGAGTTTTTGTAGACGCGGAGGAATGAGCAATCGTTGGGGAGCTCGCTGAATCCGAGGTTGAAGGCGTGGAGACCTGTACTAAATGACCAGGCTCTGAAGAAGTTGTTATGGCCTCACATTCTGTGGATGTCCGTGCAAGATCGGTACTCTGTAGTGATGCGGATCCTATGATGTCTCTGTCCCTATCCTCGGTGTTCAAGTATGCAGTAGGCTGGTTCGACAAGAAAAGATACGATTGCGAGGACCTGTGAGAGGAACCTTCCGACACGTGCTTCTGTGAGATCAGCGCTGCAGCGTTAACACGCAGGGCCTCCGCTCCCAGTGCAGTATTCTTCTGTGTAAAAGATATCTTTTGATCTTCGGAGCGTGAATGATGATCTATTTCAGAAGATGAATCCTGAATCGTGACTGAATCCAGATTGGAATCGTCGGTGAGAGTCTTGCTAGTAGCCACGCTTTGTTCTCGTGCTCCCTCAACGCCCGCATCAATTGCGCTCATTATCTCAGGCTCACCCTCCCTGAGGAGGTGGACTATCCATCCATTGATTGACTCCGGTCTGGAAAGACTGGCTATCATCGACTCGAAGATTACACCGACCAGTATCTCACGAAAGAAGTCTCTCAATGCAGTGCAAGTATAAACCTGGGGATCCAGAAAATTGCAAAGAATGTCATCAGCAGCCATCTTTAATTTTTCACGCTGCTGATTTTCTGACAAGATATTCGCTAGGCTGCTCTCGGGACACGATTGCAAGTAGTTCTGGATAGTGACTTCTGGTGTCAAACAGCCATCACCGCTCCGAAATGCCGTTGACAGTTCGTTCAAGAACACAATAGTCAATGAGGAAGAGTTCGTTAAGAATTCTAGGAAGATATCTGCTGTCCGTTTTCGGGAGATATGAGATGATAGTGAAAAGATGAAGCTAGTCAACAGTTTCCGGCACGAGAGAGGAAATGTCGCTTCTGTCGGTAATATCGGCCCATACCAATGGCTTGCGCAGTTGTTAGCAGGTGCAATGATACATCGATTACGGACTTACGTCACATAGTCCTTTATCACCGCATCGGTAAACGATCTCAGTGCGATTGCTGTTCTTCGGGGAAAGCCAGAGAAGTGCAGCTCAGGCTGGGAGATTTGACCAACAACTTTGGGTGGGCATTTGGCACCATTGGGGCTAGTCCTTGGAGAATTAGGAATCGACAAGTCCAGAAGTCTGTTTGCTATGCTCAGAGAGAGTTCCTTCCTTCTATTGGCGTTTAAAGCTCCCGCTTGATCACCTTTGAGATCGATATCAGCTGCCTCCCATGATGAGTGTAGGGCGATGCCAGCAACCAGCCCGATCAAAAATAGCCCAATCCTGCCTAGAAGTACGTATGTTACGATTGCCAGGAAGGCAATGGCACATGCAAGATCTTGAGTGTTAGATTTTGAGAGAAAATTGAGGATGTGCTCAAGAAGTTCCCTTGATGGCGAAAGAGTGGGTTTTGATTGCCTTGATGGATTTCGATCTTGATCGCTGGTCATTGTTGTGTTCTTATCGCTTCGATGCTAGGGCGCAATTTGATTTCTTTATGAGAGGGATCAGAAGAGACAGGTCAATGCCCAGAGCGATTCTTCCTGGGTAAAGAATGACATTGACCACGTTTTAATCAAGCAGGTACTGTGACGGGTGAGTTGTATATAAGTATATATTATGCTGGCAGAGTCCCTCGAAGGTTATGAAGCAATCTGAACAGCTATTCTTGTCAATCACCCCCATGGGGACAACCAAATGACAAGATAATATTTCGTCGACAGCAAATCTCGAATTCAAGGAGTTATTTGCTTTCGACTCTAAAGGCACAGATAAGGTATGGACTATGGAGTGTATCGGATTGATTACGTAAGTAACCTCACTACTTTCCTGGACAAAAGTAGTACAGAATCGTGTAGATCGCCCATGTGCAGTTGTAGTTGCTCATGCTTTTCCACTTGGCTTCAAGAGTCTTGTCTGCTTGGAGAATTTGAGTATGTACCTTTATCCTTTACATGTGAGAGAGCATTACCCAAACTCTCCCTGCCGAAACATGGAATATCCGTCTGATGACGGAGCCATGGAGTATGAAGTACTACTGTGTAGTATGGAGTGCTCCATAATAATTTCTGGCGGACCTCTCATTAGTCATTGAAGCACTAACACAGGACTCAGGACTCAGGAGCCCTTGCCAGAGAATAAAGCATCTACTCTGAGAGTGAATGCTTGTATTTTAGGTATACCCATTCACATAATATATGTATGATCAGGTCTATATCAATCATCAAATGCAGTGATTAGCTAAATGTCTTAGTTTAATTCAGGAATAGGCTGCCGCAATTCAGTAACGAATGGACAAGGGAGACTATGTACCCATTCTAAATTACCTTGCCTCGAGAAAAAGGCAAAGTATCTAAAGCTAAGAAGAATGGTGTTGCTCTCCGCTATCCGAGTGAATCCAGCATTCAAAGAACATGCACTCATGCTGGATGCAAAGAAGATTGCGGTATTAAAGGCGTACTTCGGCCCCAGTCTTATCTTTTCCATCGTCCCAAAAGGCCCCGTGTATAGCGGCAACCGCTGGAGAGGGAACGAGATTCGGTTCAAGTGGGCTTGAGATATTTCGTATGCGATCCTTGCGCAACCAGGGTTTTCTGGCCCGTTCCTGAGACCTTTGAGATAACAACTGATGTAAAAGCAAGCGTCCGGCCAAGTCGGTCTGCACGACCCTCAATCTCGAGAACGTCCCCTGTTGTCGCCGTCGAGAGATAACTGACGTGAATATTCGTACTCACACCCGTCGTATCATGGCCGCATGAAGCGATAGCCAACCCACCCGCCCAGTCAGTGACAGAGGCGGAAAATGACCCGTGCAGCGTCCCTTTTGAGTTTAAGTGGTGAGGAGCAACTTGAATTCGGGCATTGAAAATACCCTTCTGAGCGTTGTATATATCGACATCACTGAGAAGAAATGCATAAATCGGACTGCTCCCTCGAATGCGGTCCCAGACATTCAAGACCTGTTCAAGTTCAGTACTCATGTTGGATGAATTTTGTATTCCCAGGGCAGGCTTGAAATCTATGTGGGTATTGTGGGATTGACCCTCTCATATTGGATACCAATTTAGGGCTAACCTTCTTAGGTAAAAGACAAGGTACTTCTTATCACGTGATTTGGCTTCATTGCACTGGCTCAGTAATTAGATAGACATATAAACATATTCTGTAGGTATTATTATGTATGGCTAGGATTAGTTTGAGAATTCAATCTTCACCCCTGATAAATTATACGATTTAAATCATGCTTAGTCCTCCACAAAGCATCGGTTAGGATTAACCCCTATAGTCCAATTTGCAAACTCTTAATCAATGACTTGCAGGAAATGCCTACCTCATTAAATAGATACCTACCAAGGCATACAGTATATGTATTGTGCAAACCGAGTTTTCAATGCTAGTATATCTCGAGAATGTAGCAGTTCATGTGGCAAGATCCTGCCACCAACGCTCGAGTCCAGACGCATATGTTTATTAATATTTCAGGTCTAAAACGCCATATCGAAGTCGGGTGGCATTAAGCACCAGGCTGACTATAAGGTCACGCACATATGAAACGCTGCTCGATTTGACTACCTCGAGGCATTACGAGTCTACGACAGTCTATGTCTGTGTGAAGGAGGGACATGGCAATTTCGTAGGAAAATCATGTCTTCCACATCCCACACTCATCGTCATAGCCCAGATCATGTCTATCATCTACTCATACTCAACATGCTCTCGAATCGCCAAACATGGGACAGCGCCTAGCCAACCTGGGGCTTTACACTCTGCTCTCGACCATTTCTAGACAGCATCTGCGAAAGGATAAAATGGTTGACGTCCTCATCTGCCCAGTATGTCAAATGACTGGCAATACTAGCAATCAAAGAGATATCGAAAGCACCCCTGCTTGTGTTTAAAGGATATCATGAGTTTTGTCAGCCATGTATATCAGCAAAAAGAAAAAAGAAAAAAAATCCTTAAAGCACTTACTCCTGGATGCTGTAATCAACTCGCCCATTCGAATTCAATGCCCTAACCTTGGCATCCTCGACCTTCAGTCTATTTAAACCATTATCATTTTCCCGGCTCCTGATACGGTCACTAGCGAACGAAGGCGAAGCTCTATAATGTCGGCTGCGTGTAGGATCCTGATAACCCTTGTAGAGCGTTTCCAGATTTGAGTCTATCAGAGTACGGTGTTTAGCATCAGACTGCTGGATCGACTCGTCGGCAGGTTCAGAGAAAGAGGAAGCCCCTCCAATAAGGGATATGCCCCGCGATGTTTGAGGCTGTAAATTCCGGGCAGTAGTGTCGACTGGCTCAGAAGAGGTTTCATCAGAGCCGAGGCCGAGGCTGCGGTTCAAAAGACTGCTTGCGACGCCTGTTGTAAAATTGGACCATAACGATCCCACACTCTGACCTACACGATTGCCAATCATTGTAAGGCTTTGCCCAGGAGCGGCCCAGAGGCTTTTCTTCACAGAAGGCAAAGGCTGTGGCTTCAATGAGGACATAGCGGGTGAGATGAGCGGCTCGATGCGATAACTGACGGGATCAGACGGATGAAAGATGTTATATAATTGCCGGCAATTAGGTGATGACACAATGGTCGACCGTTCACCGAACGCGGCACCCCTCGTATATGTCGATGCGCTATGCCCCCCGGAGGGAGTAGCTGACAGTCCTTGATCCCTTCCATCTTCTTGTGAGCCCTTGGAGATTCGGCCCTCTACCACAGACCGGCCCGCTATAGTGTTTCCCTTTATCATCTGAAAGAGCCCAATAGGAGATCCCAAGCAGAACAGCTCCTCGCATTCGAAGTCGAGGGCAGACTCCTGGGGTGACTGGTTCGTACTTCCTGCCTTTTCAGAGGCAGGGCTCTTTTCTCGAGAGGAACCAGACCGTTGATGGCATAAGACATCGAATAAGATAGCGCTACCTAATGAGTGTCCACATAGACTCACAGAACCGTTGAAAGAAGGGTTCCGCTGCTTGAAGAGGTCGAGTATCCGATTGCACTCCTGTTTGACTATGGTAGAGATAGGCTCACTGTAGGCACTCTGATAAAGCAACACATCCATGGCTAAATCAGATATCAGATTTCGAACTGCGGGTACACTGTCAAGGGTAATATCATTTAAACCAGGATAGAAATCATCCTCATTGATATCTGCATCGGCGAGATCAAGTTCCTTACGGCTCTGCCTAACTCCTCTGTGGGGGAAATCGAGACGATGTCTCCAACAACTGAGCCCTGGGTTAGCGCTGCTTGCCAAGAATGCGTGCCATATCTGAGAGGATAAGGTGCTTGATAGTCGGTGACGATTTACTTACACAGGCAGGACCTGTACGCGGCAATTTGTCCGACTATCCGGAAAAGCAGAGTTTAGGGCCTGAAGATCCGGCGAGGCCTTATAGACACTCTTCATGGTCTTGCGAAGAACATTCACATCGTGGATAAAGTTGATGCTTTCCAGTCGTAGGCCAAGCCGTTGACCGATTCCATGTGTGACAAGGACCAAATGATCGATTTCTCTCTCTCTATCCTCATTACTGGCTTCTCTGGAATCTTCCATTTCCTTCTCTTCCTGTTTTCGGGCCTGCTCCTCAAGCTCGGCAGTACTCTGGGGTTCGCCAGCGAGTGATGACATTTGCTGTTCTAGAGTCGATCTCGGTTCATTAACAATCAATTTTTCGACTTTTGAACTTTGATCGCGGATTGTACTTGACGACAACAACTCTGGTCCAGGCTTTGATATTCCACCCGTCAAAGCTGCGTCGGGGGTAGCAGGAGAGGGAGCTGGACTACTGTTGAGGTTACGACCCTTCACGGCAGCCGTCGTATCCTTCTGTTTCTTGGGTTCAACAAAACCACGCACTACCCGTGTACCAGCAATGCCACCTAGCTTCTGGTAAACAGTGGTGCTCACCCGTGTCATGAAATCATCGCTTGTCAACAGAGCCGTGGAAGAATCCTGATATGTGACGATGTTATTCATGTACGCACCAAACAGACGATAATTTCGAGGTTCATCGGTGGCGGAATTCAAATGACCGGTTTGACCAGCCGTTGGCTGCGGAGCGCATTGCTTCGCAAATTCAGCATCGGATACGCATTGAGATGGGTAATTATGGGTGGGCAGCTCATCTTGATCGTGGGATTTAGAGGAAGCCAGAGTCTGAGATGTGGTGTCCTGGGACTTGACCAAGCGCCATGGCTTTATTTTAAGATATCCTTCCTCTAGTTGAGTGGCCAGGTTCTCCTCACACGGTTTAAATGAAGATCCTTCTTGAACAAACCATGTCCCCCGGCGGACCTCGTACACGGGGCCTATCCAATATGCCGGTGTGAGTTCTCTCTGCCCAACATTCACGTCGAAGAGATTATCCTCATTCACGGGTACGGTGACAGGAATACCCTGGATTTTCCGCGTAGTTTCGTTCTTCCAAGCTTGCTCTTGCTCAATCTCATGATCACAAAGCTTCTGAAAAGCAGACTCGATGTCTTGAGAGTCCTTGATTGTAAATGGGATAAATTTTTTGGGTGGCGGGAGGGGTTTCGTTTCATCCTTTTGATGCTCTGAAAGGGGTGGCTTTCGTTTTGGCGAGTCAACGGCATAGAACCATCTCACCTTCAATGGGGGGCAATCTCGAGGGTATTGATGCAGACTAATTCTATGCCGATGTGTGATTGTGTGATCTTCGCCTTGACATCTCGGAAGAACATCCTGTTGGTCAGAACTGGGGCGCGCTTTGGTACTTCTAGGAATATTCCAGGGGGAGATGGCTTCCAAGAATGACCCTTTTTGACTTTCTCTTGACATTGAGCTCTGAAGAGCCCGAAAGGTCGGAATGCGGGCCAACGTGGCTGGTAGTAAGTAATCCAATTAACGAGCTGAAAAGAAATGGGTGAGAGGAAAATCATGCGATACTGAATGAGATATCAATGGAGGTAATTTGATAGCGAATAGACTGGGAAATACCTCCCTTTTAGACCACTGATGTCATCTGACAGCATCGCCCTATGGCAGTCACCCTTTACTTACCAATACTAGGTACCTATCTATCTACTGGATAGTATGCGTCTATCAAAATGCCTTGATGCTTCCTCCCCTCTCTTTTTACTAGGAAATCAAATCAGTTGTTTCTAAAAATGAAATGAGAAGGAATCTGGTTGATATCTAGGATGTAGACATCAAACTCAGACTGGGATAAAAAGCCAGTCACAAGCAGGGCGCACATATAAACAGCAGCTTAACATAATCCTTTTGAAAAAGAATATACTTCTCTTCCAAGAAGAGTTCTTGCATCCATAGCAACTCTAGGGTAGAAAAGACAGCTAAGTCCACAGATGCTTTATCTAGTCTAATAGATCTCCGCAGCATGCGTCATGCGTCATTGACCCATGGCAGACCATGTATTTATTCTCTCTGCATTTTACCAGTAGAGATAGATCTTTACCCCTGTATTATCGGGGGTAGGAACAAGTATCTCTAGACCTTGGTTGAAGTGCTCAATATCAATGCTACTACACAAGGCAATTCTTATCCTAAACACCCGTAATACGTACAGTAAGACATAAGACGTTCCATCAGATTCGAAGTATCTTACCTCCCAGCCATGTACATACACATTGCTCTCGTCGGGGCCGCAATCCCCACCCCGCTTTCCCACTTATTTCTCCCACCCTCGTTCCTACATATGTTGTCCTTCCTGTACTCCGGTTGCCTAACTTTGCGCAAAACCGTTTAACGGATGTTTCTCACCCTCGTCTGTTAAATACATTTCTAACTGGGGAGGACTCATCATATACTCATATTTGCTTTGACTATTGCTTTTCTCTTATTTTACCCCTCCTCTTAACCTCCAAGTCACCTGCTTGTTGTCTATCCCCTTGTCGAACTTAGTCTACAGCCAGAGCTTTGGTCTCTGGTCTGCAACGATCCACTCACAGGCAGGCAGCGTACATCCAGCATAAAGAAGATGAATGTCATCAAGCTTCAAAGGTATGCTTTCGGCATCGCAAAATTTGTGCTTCTTTCATGAGGTTCCTTCCCAGGTTGGGTTATGTGGTACTTTCTCACACTGCTATCCATCTAGGAAATACCCACAGTTTGAACAAAGCGAGATCTTCTCACTTCAAGATGCTTTCAGAAAACTAGACGTGGACGATAAGGGATACTTGGATGAGACCACGGCGATCAAAGCCACCCAACAGTCTGAGCGTCAGCCATACGATGTGGTACGACAGGCCCTGAAGGAAGTCGAACTCGATAGTTCCCGAAGAGTGGAGCTCGAAGATTATGTTGATGTTCGTACCTCAATATGTCGAATCTGATATCCAGGTGATACTAAACATGTGCATCAGCTTATTTCCAGACTTCGCTCCGCTCCACCACAGCAGATGGCTGCTGCTGGCGCAAGTACTGCTACAGGAATACCTGGAAGTGGTACAGGCGCGGCCCGACATGTCTCCAAAGGCAGTGTCGGAGGTCGCATTCACGTGCAAGGATCATCCGCGAATGTAACTCATACCATCAACGAGGATGAGAGGACCGAGTTCACCAGGCACATCAATGCTGTTCTTGCGGGTGATCCTGATATTGGTCACCTGCTGCCCTTTCCCACCGATACCTTTGAGATGTTTGACAAATCCAAAGACGGACTGGTTCTGGCAAAATTGATCAATGACAGCGTACCGGATACAATTGATGAGCGTGTCTTGAATAAGCCAGGGAAGAAAATCAAGCAACTCAACGCTTTCCACATGACAGAAAATAACAACATTGTCATCAATTCGGCTAAGGGCATCGGCTGTTCTGTTGTCAACATTGGAAGTGGCGACATCATAGAGGTTCGCGAGCATTTGATCCTTGGCTTGATCTGGCAAATCATTCGTAGAGGTCTTTTGGGCAAGATTGACATCAAGCTCCATCCGGAACTCTACAGGCTCCTTGAGGAGGATGAGACGCTAGATCAGTTCTTGCGCCTTCCACCAGAACAGATACTTCTCCGCTGGTTTAATTATCACTTGAAGAACGCGAAGTGGGATAGAAGGTAGGCGTTCTCATCTGTTAATCAATTGCAGCCGATATGGCAATCGAGCTATTCTAACCACTTCTAGGGTCACGAACTTCTCTACGGATGTGAAGGATGGCGAAAATTATACTATTCTCCTGAATCAGTTGGCCCCCAATCTGTGCTCCAAAGCACCCCTTCAGACTCAGGATTTGCTTCAACGCGCAGAGCAAGTTTTGGCGAACGCAGAAATTTTAAATTGTCGTAAATTTTTAACGCCATCCTCACTTGTTGCCGGAAATCCCAAGCTCAACCTTGCATTTGTTGCCAATCTGTTCAATACAATCCCAGGTCTTGACCCGATAACCGAGGAGGAGAAATTGGAAGTCGAGGATTTCGATGCCGAAGGAGAACGCGAAGCCCGAGTCTTTACCTTGTGGCTGAATTCACTAGATGTGCAACCCTCAGTGAATTCATTGTTTGACGATCTTCGAGATGGCACTATATTACTGCAAGCATACGACAAGGTGATTCCCGGCAGTGTCAATTGGAGGCATGTCAACAAGCAGCCTAGCTCTGGCAGCGAAATGTTGCGATTCAAAGCTGTGGAGAACACAAACTATGCGATTGAGCTTGGGAAACATATCGGATTCTCGCTTGTTGGAGTCCAGGGTGCCGATATCACCGACGGACAACGTACACTTACCTTGGGACTTGTTTGGCAGTTGATGCGGAGAGACATCACCAACACCCTATCTAGTCTCGCACAGCGGATGGGCAAGCGAGAAATCACTGATTACGAGATGATCCAATGGGCAAATGATATGTCTCAGAGAGGTGGCCGGACTTCATCGATTCGCAGCTTCAAGGATCAAGCCATTGGAACCGGAATCTTCCTACTTGACGTGCTGAACGGAATGAAGAGCAGCTATGTTGATTACGACCTTGTTACTCCAGGTCGATCGGACGAGGAAGCATATGCCAATGCCAAATTGAGTATCAGCATAGCAAGGAAGTTAGGTGCGACTATCTGGTTGGTCCCTGAAGATATCTGCCAGGTGCGATCTCGCTTGGTCACTACATTCATCGGTAACTTATCCTTTATCTGTGCATACTCCGCATTTGCTGACTTGCTTTACAGGATCTCTGATGGCCACTTATGAGAAGATGCAGTGAACATGAGATATAATTTCGATTGTGGCCAAGCATGGTTTAATAGCTTTCTGCGCCTTGAAACAATGAAGGTTGCCTTTGACACTCCAAACAGCGACTATCAGCCGCTGTGATTATAATTCCACTATGGTGAATTGTCTATGAGCTAGTTTCAATCATGCTAGACAGATTATGATTAGACTTCAAAATGTGGGTTCTTTTACTCAAGTGCTTACCAGAAAAATAACCCCCAATAAACAAATGTATGGATCTCTAAGAGGGAGATGCCTTAGCTATCCAGTGAGCTATTAAATGAGTCGGGATCCGCGAGCTGCCTGGCAACCCGCGGTAATGTCAGTCTTTTGGCTTTGTGGTCTGCTAGTATCCAGCTAGCATTCTTACAACAAACCAACTTCTTTATCATGAAAGCCAGTTCAGTTGGGAGTTTCCTGGCTACCTAATAGGGTATGTCAAGGAGTGACACAATGTTGGTAGCTAGGTTCAACATCCAAATTGGTAGCATATGAAAGAAGACCAGCAGAATCTGCTTACCTGTGGTAGTAGCAGGGAAGCAAAAGAGCAGGAAATCACAGTGAAGTGATTAATGATAGCAAGATTGTATGTACTCAAGTCTTCCTCCAGGACTAAGCTACGAGCGATCCAGTTGATGAAAAAATGCACTCCATAGTCAACTGGTTATCATGAATAAAGATCAATCACTAGCCAGGGGCCTCCAATTCAGTAGCCATGTAGCTACGGATAAAGCATCCCGGAATACTGAAGCTCAGTCTAGTCGTTACCACGGCTACCAGAAGAGAGCTGAGAACCTGTATCACTTCCTTGTTTGAATTTCGGTATAAATACTTGGTTCATTCTCGGTGGCTATTAACTATTCCGAGGTCCCTCATAAACTACAACACCGTGGCAGACTTCGTTCTTGGGTGTGGACAGAACTAACAACCGCATGAGGATACCAATCACACATATACCACTGATTATGAAACTCCCCTGGGTTCCGTTGGGAGCGACAGCGTCATTGATATTGGCCATGCAAAGACCCGAACATCTTGGTCAATGGTCGGAGGCTAGTGTAAATTCACTCCGCTAAAAATAAGGCCCCCAATTCAGTATGAAGTCAGAAAGGGATATAAAAGAGGGCATCTTCGCAAATCAAGTCAACTTGAAATATCTCTAGGTTTTACAGTGAGCAGTAACGGGATTATTGACTATGAATCAAGGCTCCAATTCATTGATACTTCACCCTTGCGGGGAATTATACTTACACAACTACTTCTACTAGATCAAGTCCCAGAAACTGGGGCTTAGAACGATATAAGAGACCTCGCGGAGCTCGGCCGTTCGGGAAAGACGGGGAGGGAAAATAGTGGATAATCGTGACCATATTAGATTGCGAAGACGGACGAGGGGAAGCGGTTCTCGGGACACACGCAGGGACGACTAAGATTGGCGCGGGTAGACAGACAACGTTCGCTCGACGTTCGATCGGAGATAATTCGAGCTGCTGACCAGGATAAATACCAAACGTTCGAGAAAGCAAAATCAAATCAATGAGCCGAAACGACAAAACACTCTTCATTACCACCCTCTTGTCTCTTTCTCGCCTTTGCTCCTCACGGATCCACCAACGAGGCTAAGAGGAAGGGCGATGTGAGGAGGACGGCGGAGAGGTTGGAAAGTCGATGAGAAGCTCAGAAAGGAAAAATAATCAAATCCAAACGATGAATGAGAGCGCAAAAAGAGAGACGATAGGAGAACACGGAGAAGACGCGGACGTGAGGCAAAACCATGATGATCAAAGTCCATGGCTTCAAATGCCCGAGGGACCCGAAGTTAAGTTTTGTTAACACGACCATGATTCCATACCTTGAACAAGAAAATGGCGATGCCGAGGGTTTTCCTGTCTATGTTCCGATGAATAAAAATAGCGAGAACGAAAAGCCGCCGCAATGAGCACCAGAAACATCCATCTACTCGGCAGTATCTAACTCGTCATGAGCAGAAGTCAGGGCGTCTAGCGGAGCTGTCAAGGTTGGTGAGAATTGCACAAACTAGAACGATAGAGGCAGGGCAAATTATGAAAATACCTTTCCTATCTTCGCCATTCGGGCCGTTTTCTCGGTCTTCTTCACGGCGTTCTCTGTCATCATCGCGGCGTTCCCTGTCATCCTTGATGTCACGATCTCTTTCATCTGGACTACGCGAGCGGTCCCGAGAGCGTTCACGGTCGCGATCACGGCGGTCATAGTCCCGGTCGCGCCGATCATAGTCCCGGTCACGGTCCCGACGGTCATAATCGCGCTCATATCTTTCCTCCCTGCGAGGCGAGTAGTCACCTCGACTGCGGCGAGGAGAAGGCGAACGACCACGACGAGGAGGGGTGCGGTCACGGCGACGATCACGACCTGAATCAAATCGCCAGGAGGCAGATGGGGGAGTTCGAGCCCACTAATGACTAGTTAGGTCATTCAAAGATAACTGATAATCAAGCAAGCCTACTTCAATCTTCAAAAGATCATCACGACCAATTCTCTTGTTATGCATCTCGTGATATGCGTCGTCTGCATCGCGACGACTTTCGTACTCAACGAAAGCAAACCTAAAGGTTATCAGGATGGTGCGCGATGGAAACCAAATGAGCGCTGACATACAGTCTGCTTGAAGGAGTGCGTGGCGCCGGAATATCACATCGAACAAGGCGTCCATATCTGCCAGTACGTCAGTTTCAGACAGTTGGATAATTGACAAGAAAAAATGACTTGATATGATGGATGAATGAGGCATAAAGGAGTGAAACGATTGAGCCAGCAGAAGGAAATTAGAAGGGTATATGATGGCAACAACATATCATTGATCGAGCAATCGGTTTTGCATTCTTTCATTTGATAAGTTGATTCCTTATCAGAAACGCGAGGCGCCATCGATATGAATTGCGATGGTGCGTACGGAAATCGCGAGGTTGTGGTAGCGCATATCATCGATGAGCGGCACGTACCGTTCGAATTCGTAGGCAAGGTCGCGGGCTCGAGTCCCGTGTCCAAAACCGGTGACATAGAGAGTCGTTCCTGCACGGGACATCGTGTGTGGCCTTGAAGTGAATGTATCTGATGTTCTATGTAGCGTTCAAGGAACGTGTTGACTTAAACTTCAATTAGAAGATTTGCTTGCAAGAGGAAAGATTGATGAAAGAGGAGAGAAAAGAGAGTTGAGATAAAGTTGAGAAGGATGTACGGGAAGCCAGATGCACCACAAGTGAAGTACCTCAAGACACTAAGGAGTAAGGTACAAATTTGTAAAGCGCAAGCAGACTACGTGAATTATATTGATTGAGTGGCATGTTAATTTGATTATTGAAATCAGACTGTTCTGTCAAAGTACATATGAAGGATATTTAACAGTCACCACTATGCTTTACATAATCCTATAAGGTGGAATATATCGACTTGCAGATATTGGTTTCCTCCGATGACTGCATGGCATCAGCTGAAAATGGGCAGTCTTATCTTCAGCTGACTCCATGATCGAAATTGGGAATGACATGTTTACTTGATGATAGATGATATACCTTAAAGATCAAAATTGTAACTCTCTAATCAGAAAGGGACTATGATCACTATCAAGGCTCTTTTCTTCCTAGTGCTGCCCCAGGACAAACCTGACCAGGGGCTAGAATACTCTAGTAATGGCTCAAAGTACCCGACTACCGAGGACACTAACCAGTCTCAACATTGACTCTACAACCCTCAGGCCTTTGATGTCAGATTATATGAGACACTATCTAGCCTAGATTTTTGGTGAGAAAGTTATTACTGTCGAAGTGATTTCCATATGAACATATATGTGTGTTCGTTTCGCATGCCTTCGATTGGTTCTTAACAAGAGACTGTCTCTCATTATTTCCTCTCCATTCTCTTGCCGTTCTTCTGCCTTCGTCCATACTGCTTTACGTGCATTGTCAGCTCTTATCTACCCATATGTTGAACTGCTCATGATAGAATAATACAAAGTTGCTGGTAAGTTATTTTCTTCATGAGACGGGGAGACATACTGTCCTCTAGAATCCAGATAACTCACTCATAAGTAGTGGCACAGGTTGCTTCGAGCAGTGCTATTCCTTGAGACCCTGTTCCAGTGACAAAATGAATCCAAATCGCCAGCAGCAAACACAGAATGATATGTCAGAGAATTCTACAAGGGATAGTAGAAGGCCTCCTCTCCCTCAATTGTCACCATCGGATCCAGTCAAAGTGGGTTCAAGAAGTTACTATAACCCCCATCCATTCAACCTCTTACAGTTCATATTTATCTACAGACGACGTCCTTCAGAAGTCCACTATTCTTGACCAAAACCAGAGAGAGGATATCCGACCCGGTTATTGCAGCGTTCATTGCAGGAGGCGTGGCTGGTGCTGTCTCCAGAACAATTGTGTCACCTCTCGAACGCCTCAAGATCTTGCTCCAAATCCAGACAGTTGGTAGAGAAGAATATAAGCTATCTATATCGAAAGCCCTCTTGAAAATAGGAAAAGAGGAGGGTTGGAGGGGATTCTTGCGCGGCAATGGTACAAATTGCATCCGCATAATACCTTATTCAGCTGTCCAATTCGGGAGCTATAACTTTTACAAGAAGGTGTGTTGAAGTCTGTGTTCAATGAACATGAAACTCCATCCTGAGCTACTTATTTTATGCTAACCTCAAGTCTGTCAAGTTCGCAGAACCCTCTCCGAATGCTGAGTTGTCACCATTTCGTCGTTTGATATGTGGAGGAGCCGCTGGAATTACTTCGGTCACCATTACTTACCCTCTTGATATTGTCCGAACCCGACTTTCCATCCAGTCCGCCTCTTTCGCAGCACTCGGTCAAAGAGGCTCTTTTGAAAAACTACCTGGAATGTTTACAACTATGGTTCTTATATACAAGAACGAGGGTGGACTCGTTGCTCTATACCGTGGCATCGTCCCTACAATCGCTGGCGTCGCTCCATACGTTAGTGTCCCTTTTCTTGCCGTTTTATTGTTCGGTATGAAAGAAGATGACTGTACTGATGACAATAGGTGGGTCTAAATTTCATGACATATGAATCAGCCCGCAAATACTTGACACCGGATGGTGATAAGACACCAAGCCCGTGGCGGAAGCTCCTTGCAGGTGCTGTCTCTGGGGCCGTAGCTCAAACATTTACATATCCATTGTAAGTCCTCGAAGAAACGATCTTATCTCCTCTGGTAGCAATGACTACTAACGTGGCCATAGTGATGTCCTGCGACGTCGGTTTCAGATCAACACAATGTCCGGAATGGGATATCAGTATAAATCCGTCTGGGATGCCGTGAGAGTCATTATGGCCGAAGAAGGACTGAGAGGATTCTTCAAAGGGATCGTGCCTAATCTCATGAAAGTTGCTCCGAGTATGGCCAGTAGTTGGCTCAGTTTTGAGTTAACGAGAGATTTTCTTGTTGGCCTAAGTGAAGAAATATGATTATACCCTCCGTCGTTCCAGCCATGCTGTTGAGCGGTGGTGGTGGTGGTGGTGGTGATAGCTACCTGTCTTCTCTCAACTACCTCCAATCTATACGTTACCACGTCCAAGGAGTAATGGCAGTATCTCCTTGAATTCCACTTACAGCAAGCAAGCTAACTAGATATGAGTTAAATCCTAGTGGACGGCTTGTAATTAAGCATTCTTAACTGTGTTTGTTAACTTCGAAGACAAAGAAGCATCAGATAAGCGCTTGTTTAATAAACACCAACTACCACGAAGTACTCCTTACACGAAGGAGGGATATCACTATATCAAGATAGTTAATTTTCTCTAAAATCACATAACAAAAAATCCAGTTATCTCCCAATGAATAGACTACAAAGCGCATTCCCTTTTGTAGAAGTAAGGTACAGTGACAAGAAGGAATCAGTATAGCAGAGAAGCACGGAGTAGACAGACCACTATAAATCACGGAGTTTAAGTAATTTAGTAAGCTTGAGATGCTACTTGAGATTTTGCCTTGGTATCAAAGTATGGAGTTTCTAGACAGTTTTGGATGTTAATGTCATTTTGAATTTCTTTCAAAGAACCTGGAACAACTATTGGAACAATTTCACACCCACTAACGTCTAGAGAGTGGGTACCCTACTTCAAGTCTCAATACTCTTTGCTTAGTGGACCCATACTATAATCAACAGAGGTCACGGGCTCTAAATTCCGAATATGTACTAGGGTAGGGCTCAACCCGCACACACCGTCTATCTGAAAATCGTAGATCAAAATCCTCTACAGATTTACATCGCGTACGGGTGCGACAGCTAGCCAACACTCAGGTGTCTCATCAGTATCAGCAGCCATGGGTATGTTTACGGGCCCCCTCGATTGAGATATCTCCATTTTATATTGAAGTATCCTTAAATGCATCATTGCGAGCCGGGAAGAATAACCACTTGAATTATAGGTATCGACTTGGACCGTCACCATGTGCGCAGCACCCACCGCAAGGCGCCTAAAAGCGAGAATGTCTACCTGCAGGTCCTTGTGAAGCTGTACCGTTTTCTTTCCCGTATGAGAATTCCATCATTGATCCCCGGAGGGTGTCGGAAACATCACGAACAAGAAAAACTAATTGGATTGACTGAACAGGCCGCACGGAATCCAACTTCAACAAGGTTGTGCTGCGTCGCCTCTTCATGTCGAGAATCAACCGCCCTCCCGTGTCTCTCTCGCGCATCGTTTCCAATGTCACCGATTCGCACAAGGGCAAGACCATCGTTGTGATTGGCACTGTCACCGACGACAACCGTCTTCTTACTATCCCCAAGCTCTCGGTTGCGGCTTTGCGTTTCACTGCTACAGCTAGGGCTAGGATTGAGAAGGCTGGAGGCGAGACATTGACCTTGGACCAGCTTGCGCTCCGTGCCCCTACTGGAGCGAACACCCTTCTCCTCCGTGGTCCCAAGAACGCCCGTGAGGCTGTCAAGCATTTCGGCTTCGGCCCCCACAGCCACAAGGTAAGGCTCAGTTTAGACTACTTATGGGGGCTTGATTATGTGCTCACAATTGCTTTTTCTTCAGAAACCTTATGTCCAAAGCAAGGGCCGGAAATTCGAAAGAGCTCGTGGACGGAGAAGGTCCCGTGGCTTCAAGGTCTAGTCGAGTGTCTTCCTGAATCTGACTGTGACTTGGGAGCGGGTGGATGCTGTTACATACGCCATTGGTGTCTACACAAGATTCCCTGTGTTTACTGTCAAGTCTAGATATGGGCAGCTCTAGGTAGTGTGCCAGCGAAGCTCACGCTGTCTAAATAGGTCTCCAGATCCTGTTTGGCCTAGAATGATGAATGGCGAAAAAATCAAATTATTTTGCGATGTCAATTGAAATGCAATGTTAAAGAACCTGAGAGTATATCATTGTAAAGCTAAACTCTCATGTTTCCATTTCTTCCCTCCTTCTCCCTCGGCGTAATCGCTTGCTCGATGGCCTTGTCCCCGAAGACGATATTTGTAGATGGTCAATCCATCCAATCCCACAGGTCCTCTGGTGTGTATCTTATTCGTACTAATCCCAACCTCCGTGCCAAATCCAAATCGCATTCCATCCGCAAATCTTGTTGATGCATTCCAGAAGACCCCTGCACTATCCACTCCGCTCATAAATGCTTCTGCAATATCCGTCGATTCAGTCAGAATTAGATCCGTATGTTTAGACGAATGCGAATTGATATGAGCGATGGCAGTCTCCACCGCAGACATTGGTGAAGCCGTTGACGAGATGGTCTTAACCGCCAAAACCAGATCCAGAAATTCTGTATCATAATCAGAGTGGACGGCATCCTTGATTAGCTCCGCAGGCGCTGTAGGTACACTCTTCGCTATAATAGATTTGGATTGAGCATCGCATCGAAGGCAAACTCCCTTGGCTAGAAGAGCCTCCGCGACGGCAGGGAAGATGGTCTCCAGAGCGTCTTCATGGACGAGCAACGTTTCTAACGAATTGCAGGCGGCGGGGTAATCTGTCTTTGAGTCCACAATTACTTTGACAGCAATGGTGAGATCCGCATCGATATGAATATACGCGGAGCACAGGCCGTCAGCATGGCCGAGCACCGGAATTTTAGTATTCTCCTTGACAAATCGGACAAGATCGTTCGAGCCACGTGGAATGACAAGATCTATCAGTGAGTCTTGCGCTAGCAAAGACGTGACGATATCTCTCGTTTTCACAAGCTGGACTGCTGCCTTGGGCACACAGGTCCCTGAAATTGCTTCAGATATTACTCTTGATATTGCAATGAAAGACTCGGTAGACTCCTTGCCCCCTTCACGAAGTTAGTAAGAGATAGCCAGGTAATATTTCACGAGCTTGTACCTTTCAGAATAGCGGCATTACCCGATTTGATAGACAGAGCGGCGATATTCGCGATGACTTCTGGGCGTGCCTCAAAAATGATAAGGAGGACACCAATTGGACAAGTCACTCTCTCGAGAGTCAAACCATCATCCAGAAGAGTCTTCAGGGTGACTCTGCCGACTTGAAGAGGTCAATCAGTTTGGGTACATCGCAACCATGTCCTATTTACATACTTGGATCTTCCAAATCCCGAACGCTAAGAATCCCTTTGAGCATATCGTCATATTTTCCCGACCTCGATAGGTCCAGTCTCTTAAGAGCGCTATGGCTGAGACTGCCATCTTCCGCCGCTCGACTTGCAAGTTGAACATCCCGTGCATTAGCTTCAAGAATTATTTCTTTATTCTTGGAAAGTGCATCATGGAGTGCTGTCAATGCTTGATTGCGGTCAATCGCGGATAAAGTGGCAAGTTGGCGAGATGCCAAAGATGCCGTTTTGGCAATGTCGAGTGCGGAAGATTCTGTCAGGGACATTGCACAAATATCGTGGTTTAAAAATTTACTCAACCCCGGTTTATAAGGAGTAGAACAGAATATTAGAGAATAATGGTTGGTTCTTGTTAAGATATCAGTTTAGATGATGTTCATGACTCATAAATCAAAATTAGGACACTAGCTTGCCAGACAAGACATTAGCCGAATCTCGATATTTGTATGTACTATGTACCCACGTCAGGAGTCGGTACCCAACTACCCATGTTGCGATGACCCATACATGGCGGGGTAGATAGGTGTCAGTAGTCCAAGTAATCACTTAAGTATTCAATAATCAATGCCCTCACGTTGTGGCTTGCAGGGCACTGTGATATTTTGACAGGGCATTATTTGAATCGTGCTATTCTAACTTTTGGCTTTACAGGCAACATTGGGTGGGCTACAATCAAGCTACTATCCGATATCCAGATTTTTAGTCAGGGTATGACCAATGCCGTTATACATGCAATAACCATTATCGACATCTCCATGAGCTGTCTCACTTCAAGTCCAGTAGGTGTGAACCTAAGATCATGAATTGAATCATTGGATCATATATTGTACGTATATGCTGGATGTAAAAACCTTTAAGAATCTCGACATCACCTACAACCTTGTTGGCATTCTTTAAATTGGGGGACATACTCTACGTAATATTAGAGACGGCTGTCATAAATACATTATCCCCATAAGCTGTCAAGGATCAAGCCAAGTCTCACAACTGTTATTCCATCTTACAATCAACTTTGACGGCGACCTCCACTTGATTTATTCTGCTCGAATATTGAGGCCTCCAATATCGTTATATATGATCTTCGGAGAAAGAACATAAATGACCTGAAACATGACAGAGATCCTCGCGCGGCTTACTGCACCGTCAGCATACCGATATGCATCGTGTGAAATACTCGAGGACTATGGTCGCCAGCTCCGTGAGCTCATAGCTTATATCAAGCAACCTAGAACAACTGCCGATATTGCCACCGCCGCCGAGTTCCTGCTAGATGTATGTGAAGAATACTATGTCATATGTGCTCGAGGCTACGGGTTTCCATCGTCGCTCGCTTACACGTTGATGACCATGTCCAGAATCTCGACCCATCTCTGCACTCAGCGAGCTATTTGTTCGTTTTACATGCGGAGATCAAAAATCACAGCACCAAGTACAGCAAACATCCACCAGATGTTCTTCAACCCGGGCAACGGCTATGGTCAAAGGCTGTCGAGTGTCTCAGCGTATTTGATCCCGTGCAAGTTCGTTATGCTGGTTACGAGTGGCGGCAGTTAATTGAACTTGTAGCTCAGGCTGCGCAGGCTACATCAAAGGCAAGTTTTACTGACTCCAAGCCCATTCGCAATCACCTTCCTATGCTAAGTCCTACGAGGGAAAGCTAGACCTTCCTGGCAGTCCAAGTTATCAAGAATGCAATACTCCGACTTGATCCGTCATCCTCGACATTCACATCCACACATGTCCTGTTTGCTAAGATATGTTTAAGTACCAAGTCGTATCGGCATGCACTACCTGTTCTGGATAAAACCATGTGCTACCTTCCTCCTGATACGGTTCAATGTCCACGGGTCGGGCATGGAGGACTTCTTTGCTCCGAGCACGAGTCTAACGCGTCGTATATCACCTTTTGTTCGGGTTTATCTGCCAACCTAACGCATAGGGATCATCTGGAATACTTTTTGTATGGCGCGATGATATACATGGCTCTCAAAGATTGGGACAGGGCCCTTCATTTCTTGAGCATAGTCATATCTTGTCCTGTGACCAACGCTGTCAGTATGATCATGATCCAAGGTTACAAAAAGTGGCTTCTTGTGAGCCTCCTGGGCAAGGGCAGGGTACGTGCTGACCAGTGTCAAATCTTCGTCGAGATGCTAATATGTTCCTCTGCAGGTCGTTACGCCGCCCGAGATCATAAGTCCGCATGTTATGAAAGTCTACCAGTCGATGACGCTGCCATACCGCTCTTTAGCCTGTGCGTTTGAAAATGGTGACGTGAAAATATTGCAGGCTGAAATTGATGCCGGGCAAAAGATATGGGCTGCGGTAAGCTGAACACTTCGCTTCTAGTGAACTATATTTCTGAATCGATCCAGGATCACAACATGGGCTTAGTAGTTCAAACTATTCGAGCACTCAGGAGGTCTGTGATTGTTAGGCTGGGCAAGACTTTCTCAGCGCTGGCAACTCTGGACGTTGGGCCACGAATAGCATCCTTTCCGGTTTCAGCTGCAGAACTGGAGGCGCTCATATCATCCATGTTGATGTCTGAAGGGCTAGGGTCCACATTATTGCACTCGCAGAGCCATGATCGGCACACCATGCTTCGTTTTCAAGTTGAGAGAACGCCTCGTTCCATTCGAGAAGGGGCCATCCAGTTTCTCATAGATCTTGAGAATCGATCGTTAAGTACACTCGCCTGCAAGATCGATCAAAGCAACCATGATCTAGGACTAACCAGCGAGCAACTCCAATTTATTCGACGTGCAAAGAACTCCGCTGAGCTTGGGTATCAGAAAGGCGGAATGACATTCAGCGATGACACTGTCAATCAGGACATCGATGAAGATATCATGGGAGACCATTGAGCCGTTTGCAGCAACATGTCTGTGGTGTTTGGGGGTTGTTTGGGTCTGCCCCTGCTGCTTGTGCGCTGTATCAATTAAGCAGTGCATCTGACTGCTGAAACAGAGGTCCAGATGGCTGCCAGTTGTTATGATTTAGACATATGATTGACAGGTGCTTTGCTCTCCAACACTGCAAGTCTGAGCTTGGCATTGGAGTACTATGGAGTGTATATGTTAATAGCTCTTTGAATCCTTACTAGCACTGATACTAAGCATGGTTTCTGTGTTACTTTTCATGCTGTAATGGTTATATCCTTATGCATTCTATATCCCAGGGCATATAGTTAGTAGAGATTTTGACCAGGCTATGCTATCTGATGGTAGCATTTAAGTTAGTTGACTATATAAGGATCACAAACCTTGGTTGGGGGTATTTTATAATTATGTAGAGCAGAATAGAAATTAGCTTCTAAATTTTAGTATTGTATGAGCCTACTTAGTCAAGTGGTAAACCTGTGAGATTAGTATAATATCTAATCTAGAATTATTTAGATTGATTGATTGGCTGATTGATTGATTAATCAATTAATTTATTCCGTACTCTGTTTTAGCACTAAGCTAGGCCATACTAGAGGCTCCTAATAAGTAGTACTGACTATAGTATTTGTTATGATGGTAGTCGTAAAACCACAAGAGGTGGTGATGAATTTAGTTGATGGTTAAAAGATGATTATTTTACTAAGGCTTCTACTGTAGGGATATCTTATTATGTTATATGATTAACTCACCCCTTACCATATAGGGTGGTGGGACCATAATAATATCCCTATCATATAAAAGATAGAGCCTAATCATAACTTAGTAAAATAAAAGAAAGAAAAAAAGGAAATACTTAGTCTGATGAAATATAGTTATTTTAAGGAGTAGGGAATGGGAAAGATACATAGTAATCTAGTAGTAAGGATAAAAAGGAAATATCTTAGTCTAATAGAATATAGTTATTTTAGGCAGTAAGGAATGGGTAGGCAGTAGGGAATAAGTCTAGGATATTAACTACTAAACTTATAGTAAATAGTATTAAGATCCTTCTATACTATATAAGATAGTTCTTATTTAGTAAGTAGTATATTAAGCTGCTTATATTTATTTATAAGATAGTTAAAATACTAGGCTTTAAGGTTGATAAGTAATTATCTAATATATTAGATAAAGAAGTATTTAATAGTAAAGTCTAGTATAAATATAAGAAGAATATATAATAATATAATAGGTTTATTTTAATAATATTTAATAAAGTCCCCTTCTAGTGCTTTAATAAACTTAATATTATAGTTAAATAAATCTATTTATCTTTATTTATTCTTAGATATAGTATTAATATTCTTCTTTAAAATTAGGTTAAAGATTATATAGTACTTATCAAGTATTTAAATAATATATTTAGCTATAATCTAACTTTTATAATATGTAATTACCTAAGTAATATATTATTTTAACCTAATATATAGAATATATATTATTATTATTAGTATTAGTATTATTATCCTTAGTTAGGGCCTCTTCCTCTTATCTAGTAGTATAGATAGCTTTTTCTATCTTTAGTAAGGCTATCTTAATTTTAGTAAGTTATATAAGAACTTAGAGCTTAGCTAGGAGGTTATAAACTCTATAGTATAATATAATCTAAAGAGTATTATTAAGTCTACCTATATATTATAGAGATAAAGGCTCTAAATTATTCTATACTATCCTAAATTAATCTATAGTAGTAATATTAGTATTAATAACCTAATATATAAAAAAATTAGGATATTAAATATAAGTCTATTTAACTAGAGAGAGCTCCTAGTTATATCTATATATATAGTAATATATTATCTCTAGAGTAAATCTATCTAATATATATTCTATATTCTTCTTATATCTTTTAAGAAATTCTATAGCTCTATTAAGATTAAATAAGTATTAAATATAGGTAGGGTCTAGGTAGATATATTTAGGCTTAATAAGATAGTTATTAAAGTTAATAAACTTATACTAAGATTTAATTAGCTTTAGATAGAGGAAAATAGCTTTATATACTAAAGAGAAGAAAACTAAATATATTATATAAGTAGCTTTAAATACTTTAATTATACTAATTATTATAATAGATATATATACCTCTCTCTAAGTTAGGGACTTATTAAGGATATTAAATAAGATCTTAGTTAGTAATCTAGCTTTTAATAAAAGTCTTTTAGAGAGAAAGTATATAATATTTACTAATTTAGTTAGATATTTAATTAATACTCTAATTTTATAGATTTTATACTTCTTTATATTATTAATAATAGACTTATTATCTTCTTAGTTATCTAGCTTAATATTAGTATTAGTATTAAGTTTAATATAACTATTATTAATATTCTTAATTAATTTAAAGTACTAAAGAATCTTCTTAATTCTATTTTTATTAGTTTTTACTTCTAATTTATTCTTATTTTATTTTCTAGATATTATTAGTATTACCATGGGTAAGGTAGTATCACTAGGGGTAAAGAGAGATAGGCTAGGCTAATGCCTCTTTACTTACCTGGGGTAAGATCTTATATTTATATCTAGCTACTGGCTATCTATCTAAAAGATAAGTTATAGATATTATAGAGATTTCTTAGATTAACCTTAGTAACCTAGGGTTAACCTTAATAATTATTAATCTATTTATAATATTTATTTACTAATATTACATCCTCCCCTACTTAAGGTGAAGCCTATCCTTAGTAGATTATCTAGCTTCTTACTAAAAGATTCTTATAGTCTAAGGAAGTAACATCATGCATAGTAAGTAGGATTAGATTTACCCTTAGTAAGTAATATTAGATTATATTTAGTAAGTAGTATTAGATTATACTTAATAAGTAGTATTAGATTATATATAGTAAGGAGGGTTACTAGCATGGTTATTATAGTAGAGGTAAGGTAAGATTATATATTATTTATTTTAATTTTAAGTAACTCTACTTTATCTTATTTATTCTTTTTTTACCTCTTATATTTCTTCTTCTCTTTTTCTTTTCTTCTTCTATAAGTATCTTTCTTTTTATTATATTAATTATTATCTTCTTTTAGTAATCCTCTTTCTTTATATACTAGTCTCTTATATTCTTCTTATACTTAGTAAATATAAATACCCTATAAAAGAAGAATAAAGGCTATCTTATCTATTAAAAGAGTATAATTATTTTTAGTAAGTTTAGTAAGTATTTTTTTTAGCTTTAGTAATTATCTCTTACTAGTAATAAAAGGTTATCTTAGTAGGCCTAATAAAAGTATATTAAAGGTAATAAATATTATTTATTTAATTATCTAGAGGTTTAATAAGAATAGGAAGCTAGATATAAAGGAATATACTTATTTAGATTATATATTAGCTATTATTCTCTAGTAGTAAGATATATCTTATAATTATATATTAGCTTATAATAATTATTTTTTAGATAAGGATTCCTTTAGGAGATATATCTCTACTTCTAGTTATAATAAATTTATATTCTTTTAGGGGTCCTATACTAACTATACTTAAAGTAACTAAAAATTAATATATTTATTCTATATATAGAGCCTTTATATATAAGATTCTAATACTCTTAATAAGTATATATTCTCCTTAATAAATATTTTTATCTATAATTACTAATCTTTTTTACTCCTATAAACTTATTATTTAAGTTAGTAGTCTTAGTCTTAGTTTCCTTACTAGTTATAGTAATAAATTATATAATTAGCCTATAGAGTTAGTAGTAGTAATTAATAATTATAATAAGAAGTTAGATAATAGTATTAATAAAGATTCTCTATATAATAATAAGTATATATAGTCTAATATAAAAAATAATATTAATTCTTTTATAATAAAGATAGATCCTTTTAGTATTTCTTATAATAAAGGCTCTTCTCCTATAGTAGAGAAGGCTCTAGCTAAGAAGTATTATCTTTCTTTAAAATATTTTATAATAATAATAATTAGTCTAGCTAAAGAATATTATTCTATTATAGTAATTCTTTTTTATATTTAGGCTAGTTCTTCTTTAGTAACTCTCTCTCTTACTTAAGATAGTTTAGTTAGATTAACTCTCTCTCTCTCTTAGATTAGTTTTATTATAATAATTTCTTCTTATACTTTAATAAGTATTTTATTAATAGCCCTAATAAGAAGCTCTATTAGATATTATTCTTCTTTATTATTACTTAGTTATAAAAATTTCTTTAATAAAGTTTATATTCCTTAGCTAGTAAGTTATATTAACTAGGGTAATTATTATAATCTTTTTATAGTTCTTTAAGATTTTTAGATATTTATTTATTATATTAAGACTTATCTAGAGAAATTAGTACCTTCTCCTAATAATAATAATAATTTATTCTAGTTAGCTAAGGTATTATCTTATAGGGTTCTTAATATAAAGTTTAACTTAAACTTTTAATTAATAATTATTTATTACTTTAGTTAATTAGTATAATTCTTAATATTTTATTATAATTAGTTTTTTTTTATAATTAGTAAAATCTACTAGTTTATAATTCCTTTTCTTCTTCTTAAGAAAGTAATTCTAGTATAGTATTATTTTCTAATTTATCTATATAAATATATTACTTTTATACTACTCTATTTACTCCTAATAAGAGGGTATTATAATTATAAATAATTCTTTAAAATCTATCTCTCTAATATTCTTTTAAGATATTAATTCTAAATTATTACTTTAAATTCTCTTCTAATCCTTATTATCTAAAATAATTAAGTCTTTATTACTCTATAGCTCTAGTAACTCTATTTATTATTATATAAGATAGCTATTTCTTACTAATTTTTATTTATTAATATATTAAGTTCTTTACTTATTTATCTTATATTATATCTCTAATCCCTCTTTTACTTATTATAAACTTTCTTCTAAATATTTTTTATTTATTATATCCTTCTACTATATACTATAATAGTTCTTTATATAATAGTATTAGGGGGTTAGTCTTATTAA